TGTTTAGGAACAAAAAATTGAGCATTCCATTTTAACCACTTATTTTCTTGATTTCGATCGACTTTGGTTACTTTTTTTTACTGGTTTTGACTGCCTCTTTTTGTCGGTGGTCTTTCAGCTGGTTTGTGTCCAATTAATATTGCTTAAACCTGGTTGTATCGGTCGGGATACCAATGGTTTGACGACCATGGTTTTGGGTCAAATGCACTAGAAAATTGGAATTTTATAAAAAAGAAAAATTATTTTAATTACTGAACTTTATAATGTTATGATTGCAGTAGGAAGTGACACCAAAGTGTTTTCATTGGTAGCTTGACTATTTGTAGATTATTGTGTGTGATTGCTCGGTTTCTTGTAGTTACATATCTTCGAAAGAGGGGGCGGGGGGGGGGGGGGGGGGGGGGGGGGGGTTGTATTATGAGTAATTTGGGGTATGTTTATTAGCTCATTCAAAATTAGAGACAAATGTTTGAGATGATTGTGTATATGTTAAGTTCAATGGTAGTAAATTCATTTTCCTGTCATGTCTAGCTATGCTCTAAGCATTTGTTTTCTTTTTCACAATATCATTTGCAGTTATTTATTAAATCAACTTTGTTTCTAGCTTTCAATTCCTAATTATTCATTTCTTCATACCAACTTATGGGAATGCTAAATATATTTTTCATGTCTAAGTTGATTTAAGTTCAATGGTAGTAAATTCATTTTCCTGTCACGTCATCCAATATTAAATCTTTTTATTTAATAGAGATTAAAAAAGCAGCATGTTATGGGAGTGGGGGTTCGAAACCAAATAATAAATAGTTAACTAAATTTAGCACAACATCTACATCACCAAACTACAACTCTTCTATTGAAACAATTACATATTGACAAAGTTTTACCTTCTTTTTTTATAAATCCACGTACATTCTGAAATTATGTCTATGATAAAAGTTGTAGTCCTTAAAAAGTTATGTGAAATGAAAAAAAAAATCATGACGTTAGGATTTTCAAGAACAATATTATAGCCGCCCAAAGTTTGACGAAATCGAAAAAAGGCTCATTCGGGGTGGCAAACAACGTTTTTTCGGGACGAAAGCGGGACCAAACGTCCTACGGTAGTTTGCGGCTTGAAAGATCTCGAAAATTTATGCGGAATAAAAAAAAATTGGTACGATCGGATACCCGGGAACAAAGATACGTTCGTTTGAAGTTTTTCCACCTAAGTTAGGAATACTAAAAAAAATAAAAGAAATAGGACCAAAATCGCTGGGTGGGGCAGCGGTTTTGGACCAAACCGGTCTGACCCCAGGCATTCATGAAAACCGTCCCCTAATCGTACGGTTTTTATTGCAAAACCGCCCCGCCACCCTGCGGTTTTCGTGTAAACCGTTGGGTGGGGTGGCGGTTTTTGGAAAATGGTGCTATTTTTGAAATTTTTCGGGATTGGGTGTGTTTTCTGTCGAGGAAATCTTGTGTTTGAACTCAATTAATGCACCTTGACTTCTTGAAGAACGAAAATCAACACGGTTCACTCCTCTCCGAACAATGTTCGAACGAGGGTGTTTGATATTTTTGATGGTTTTCTGGGAACAAGCTATGTTAATTACTCATACTCTTATGGATGTTTAGTGAGAGCTCCAGAAACTAAAAACTATGGCTAATTTGCAGAGAAAAGAATAAAGTTTGACATTGTGCGTCAAATGTTTGGTGGTGAAACCCTTGCTTCGTCTTTCTTTCTCCTATTTATAGTCATCCCTTGTAACCGCCATGTGACTGCCTCTTGTAACCGCTACCTCCCATGCTTGGTACTTGATGTAGCCTGCTTGACACCTTAACCACCTTGCCTGCATGCATATCACTTGGTACCTTGATAGCTTGACGACTTCACTTGACATATAACTACCTTGTGTCATGGAGGCATCTCGCTTGACATCATCTTGACATTGGATGCCTCATGCTGACCACCCTTGCATGACGTCATGCGCTACACCAAGGTGATTGGGCGATTGATGGAAGCACACTGACCCCCTTGGGGTGGCATCATGCTTGCAGGGTCTTGACATGGGCGTCTACCATGTGATGATATACTTGGGTGGCACTTAGAAATTTAATGACCCTTGTATACTATGTACCATGTATAACTCCCCACGAGGCATAACATGCCTGCTACTTTGTGGTGATGTCTTTGCACGACACCATGCTTGACACCCTAGCACACAGTAGATGGTCATCCATGGTGTTTGGTACTTGACCCCTCTTGCATGACATCATGCTTGACCCCCTTTGGATGATGTCATGTTTGACCCCCTTAGTGGTAAACATGGTGCTATTTTTGTATAATAAAAAAACAGTGATATTTTTGGAAAAAATCCCATTATGTTGCCCTACTTCCCCTTCCTTCTTTATCTTCTCTTTCCATCACCCCTATTACTTACCTACCTTTGCCCTCTTGCTACATCTAAAAAATCCACCGAAAAAGCAAAGCCACCAGCTGTGGCCTCGTTTCCGAGCACCAAAGGCTTATAACAGGATCGCAATCAAGTGGTGCTAAGAAATCAAAACCATACACAAAAGCAACCTAAATCCACATCCAAAATAATCAAGTTGAGGGTGATGTCTCAATTCCTCTTCGCCATTCTGTCTTCTTGAATCCAAAGGAAAAAAAGTCTTTTGCTTACAAAATCTCTTAAAAACTCCCCCCTTTATTTCCAAAACAGTTCCAAAAACCAAAACCAACCATATAGTTCTTTTGTTCCATAACAGAAAGAACACCCTGTCTTTAATCTTCGGGTTCTTGAAACCTTATATTTTTTGTTACTTGCTTAAGCTCATGCATGATTCTAGGCATTCCCCATCTCTGCTCCCGAGCGGTTGTGCAACCCACAACAATGTTGCAAGTTGTGGTCACGCCAGTTGGGTTGTACCTGCCATTCAGACGGTTGTCGATGTTGCGGATTTGGATATAACTGGTGTACATGCTTGTTTTAATAAAAATATGATAGAATGTGAAAAAATTATTAATGTAAAATGAACTGTGCATACATATAGTCTATTTTAAAACAATTTTGATATAATCTATATCCATATTTAAATGAAATGTTAATCCACAAAAAATGATAAATTTATATCTAATTGCAGCATTTAACGTCGAACATCCATATTTGTAGTCAAATTCAACGAATGATATCGATGTCTAAATGTTCTTACTTGAATCTTACAGAGCCCTTTTCTTTTTTTGATTATTAATTCCAGCAAAACGACGACATTTGTTTAGGAACAAAAAAATTGAGCATTCCATTTTGACCACTTACTTTTTTTCCGATCGACTTTGGTTACTTTTTTTTATTGGTTTTGACAGCCTCTTCTTGTCGGTGGTCTTTCAGCTGGTTTGTGTCCAATTAATATCGCTTAAACCTGGTTGTATCGGTCGGGATACCAATGGTTTGACAGTATCGCAATCAAGTGGTGCTAAGAAATCAAAACCACACACAAGCAACCTAAATCCATATCCAAAACAATTAAGTGAAGGGTGATGTCTCAATTCCTCTTCGCCAGTCTTTCTTCCTGAATCCAATGGAAAAAGTCTTTTGCTTACAAAATTTCTTACAAACTCCCCCCCCCCTCTTTATTACCAAAACAGTTCCAAAAACCAAAATCAACCATATAGTTCTTTTGTTCCATAATAGAAAGAACACCATGTCTTCAATCTTCGGGTTCTTCAAACCTTATATTTTCAGTTATTTGCTTAAGTTCGTGCATGTTTCTAGGCATTCCCCATCTCTGCTCCCGAGCGGTTGTGCAACCCACAACAATGTTGCAAGTTGTGGTCACGCAAGCTGGGTTGTACCTGCCATTCAGACGGTTATCGATGTTGCTGACTTCACCAGTCCTAACAAACCTCAGCCCATGTTTTGCCTACGCAAGAAACAGCTCAGGATTTAGAAACTTGAACCATAGAAAGAAAGAAGGAGAGACAGTCACAACTCACAAATCACACCCACTCATGTAGTGAGCAAGCGATTCTCCTCTCCCCCTGCTTTCATCGACGCCGAGCTTCCTAGTGATCAACTCGAATAACACAACTCCGAAACTGTAGATATCTTGGGCCCTGCTGATGATCAGCTCGCCTAGGGGATTGTACCCTTCTGTTCCTCTCCTAACAGCCAAGCTAAGCTCCCCACTGGCTAGCAGTTCCTCTGCAAACCTGAAATCTGTTAGAAGAACTACAAGTCAAAAATGGCGGTTTCGTGGAGAGGAAGAGTACCTCTCAATGAACGAATGGATTCCCTATAGCACTTTCTATGACATTCTTCAGCTGATGTAAAACCCCACCCATCGCTCGGGAGGAAGGAGGGGAGACTGCAGGGTGAGTAGTAGTGAGTGAGTGAGATTGTTTGTTTCGGCTGTGTTCGATCGAGGCTGGGGACGGGGTTGCTAACTTTCGAATTCTACTTTTGGTCAAAGCTCGTCAAAGGGGTTTAGACAATATATTGGTTTAGGAAATGTTATGGTCCGATTTGGATATAACCGGTATTCATGATTGTTTTAATAAAAATATGATAGAACGTGAAAAAATTATTATGGGTTAAAGACACATTTGGTCACTGAGATTACAAAATCGGGACATGTTTAGTCACTAGAAAAAGTTAATATCAAATTTGGTCACTACAATTACTAAAACTGGACGCATTTAGTCACTCGCCGTTAGTCTCCGTCCAACTCCGTTAATGAAGTCCGTTAAGTGCTGATGTGGCAAACAGAATTGCCTAATCAGCCGGATATAACCCAACAAAAATAAAACCCGACCCGCCACATCATTATAACCCGCCACGTCATTAAAACCAACCCAACCCATGACCCAACCCCACCCAACCCTTCTTCCTCCTTCCTCACACCTCCTTCTTTCCCCAAAACCACCGCCGCCGCCGCTCTCCTCCTTCCACTCACTCACTCCCAAAGCTCCAATCTTTACACTCAAGCAGCAAAAAAGAAGGGGAGAGACACAACAAAGAGAGATGGGATCAGTGTCGCTGAAAATCGGCAACGACACCGCCAGATTCAAGCGGGCAACGCTCTGCACATCGCCAGTAAACCTTCTCATGATCCTTTCAGTGCTCACTACAAATCTCTTCGCTCTCTACGCCTTTAATTACTCCCCCATCCACCTCCACGCCCACAATCTCAATCCCCACAAGAACATCTCCTTGATCTCCGAGCATGTCTCCTTAATCCTGTGAGAGATCGGTTCATCCCAGAAAAAGCTCGCCAAGATGGAGAAGGAGCTTCTAGGTTATGACACCATCGACATCTCAAGACCCAATATTGCTAGTGAGCTCAAATTGTATCTCCAGCATCACCAACTGCCTATGGGGAAAGATTCAAGAACTGGGATCACAGAGATGGTAGCTTATGTAGGCCATTCCTGCGAGAGATCGACCGATTTGCTGTCGCAGTACATGAACTACAAGGTTTCTGGTTCTTGCCCTGATGATTGGAGCCTTGCCCAGAAGTTGATTCTTCGTGGGTGTGAGCCTTTGCCGAGGAGAAGATGTTTTGCTAAAGGTGGGAGTAAGTTGGGGCTCCTGAAACCTTTTCCTTTGTCTCTTTGGAGTTCTGTTGTTGATAATAAGGTAGTTGGTAGCTGGAGTGGTTATGGTTGCAAAGGGTTGGATTGTTTGAGTAAGAAGAAGTTGAGTAGGGAATGTGTGAATTGCTTCGACTTGGGTGGGGCTGAGAATCAGAGGTATGTGAAGTCCAAAGGGAAGAATGATTTCTTGTTGGATGATGTTTTAGGGTTAGGCAGTGGTGAGATTAGGATTGGGTTCGACATCGGTGGTGGTCTGCTGGGTTTGGTCGAACAGGTTTGCGGGAGGAGGTGGTAGGAAGGAGGAGAGCAGCGGCGGCGGTGGTTTTGGGGAAAGAAGGAGGTGGGAGGAAGGAGGAAGAAGGGTTGGGTAGGGTTGGGTCATGGGTTGGGTTGGTTTTAATGACGTGGCGGGTCGGGTTTTATTTTTGTTGGGTCATATCCGACTGATTAGGCAATTCTGTTTGCCACATCAGCACTTAACGGACTTCATTAACGGAGTTGGACGGAGACTAACGGCGAGTGACTAAATGCGTCCAGTTTTAGTAATTGTAGTGACCAAATTTAATATTAACTTTTTCTAGTGACTAAACATGTCCCGATTTTGTAATCTCAGTGACCAAATGTGTCTTTAACCCAAATTATTAATATCAAATGAACTGTGCATATATATAGTTTATTTTAAAACAATTTTGATATAATCTATATCCATATTTAAATGAAATGTTAATCCACAAAAAAATGATAAATTTATATCTAATTGTAGCATTTAACGTCGAACATCCATATTTGTAGTCAAATTCAACGAATGATATTGATGTCTAAATGTTCTTACTTGAATCTTACAGAGCGCTTTTCTTTTTTTAATTATTAATTCCACCAAAACGACGACATTTGTTTAGGAACAAAAAAATTGAGCATTCCATTTTGACCACTTTTTTTTCCGATCGACTTTGGTTACTTTTTTTTACTGGTTTTGACTGCCTCTTTTTGTCGGTGGTCTTTCAGCTGGTTTGTGTCCAATTAATATTGCTTAAATCTGGTTGTATCGGTCGGGATACCAATGGTTTGACGACCGTGGTTTTGGGTCAAATACACTAGAAAATTGGAATTTTATAAAAAGAAAAAAATTATTTTAATTAGTGAACTTTATAATGTTATGATTGCAGTAGGAAGTGACACCAAAGTGTTTTCATTGGTAGCTTGACTATTTGTAGATTATTGTGTGTGATTGCTCGGTTTCTTGTAGTTACATATCTTCGAAAGAGGGGGGGGGGGTTGTATTATGAGTAATTTGGGGTATGTTTATTAGCTCATTCAAAATTAGAGACAAATGTTTGAGATGATTGTGTATATTTTAAGTTCAATGGTAGTAAATTCATTTTCCTGTCATGTCTAGCTATGCTCTAAGCATTTGTTTTCTTTTTCACAATATCATTTGCAGTTATTTATTAAATCAACTTTGTTTCTAGCTATCAATTCCTAATTATTCATTTCTTCATACCAACTTATGGGAATGTTAAATATATTTTTCATGTCTAATCTATTAAACATAAATGTTGCTTATCACTTAAATTCAATGCTATCCATGTTAGGTTTGAAATCACCAACATATTCTCCCAATTTCTCCAAAAAGCATAATATCTTGCGATTGATATCATAATTTTGTTAGGTAAAGTTCAACAAACTCAATCAATATTTGAACTCTTCGAAATAGCTATCTACATGCGAATATGAAGTACTGAGTAGCTAAAACTCTACTTGAGTTAGTACAATCTTTTGCGCTATCGATTCCAAATTCAATACATGATTATCTTATTACAATTTAGTCATACTAATTGTGCAGTAGGAGACATCTTATCAAAAAAATCTTAAAGAAATGCTCTTTGATTGATCGCTTTCATGATGTAATCAATTATACCAAAATAGAAGTGATCAAATTTATAAGATGCACTCAAAGTTTGCTATAATTATTGAGATTCAGCAGCACGTTAGGCGTACGGCGGTCATTGGGCATTTGTCTATCTCCTAGCTCGCCTAGACATGCTTAGACATTATAATAAAAATAGCAATTTTAATAATAATGAATAAAATAACGATTCTAAAGCACTTTCATACTTTAGTTCAAATGATTTAACAACAAACGAAATAACTCTCAAGTTTATAAATTATTTTCTTTTACCAAATGATATAATTAATTCATTCGTGAGCTGAAATAGCTAATTATAAGCACTTCAAATTTAAATTAAAACTCTATATGGTGCAATTGTTTGACGAAATGGGTTCTATAATCGAGTGGTTCTATCGAGAGAGGTCTCTAAGAAACATGGCTTACTTTATTATTCCTTAGGTGGATATAATATCTATCTTCATCGTTACTTTTATATTAGATTCAATTTAGTATACTTTTTCATTTAGATAGATTTTTGGGCAATGTCTATTTTTTACCCAAACCTATTTCAAATTCTTTTATTTTAACCAAACCTATTGAATTCCTAAAAATTATCCAAACGTTAACTCTCCGTCAATTTTTCTGTTAGTAATGCTGACTAAGTATGACCATAATGAGTTGACTTCCTACGTGGGGGTCAGAATACCATCATTTACTATTTTTAATAAAAAGATTATAAAAAAAAATCCCACTCCTCACATGGACGAAATAAGTAACGGTAACAGAATGAATGCCCAGACTTTGATAAATTATAATACGTTTGGATAATAAATAGAATCTCTATAGGTTTGGTTAAAATAAAAGAATTTGAAATAGGTTTGGGTAAAAAATAGACATTGCCCTTGTTGATGATGTTCTGGGATGTAATATATCATTATATATGATGGTGTAGGATATTAATTCCTCTCATTTTGGGTTCAAATTGATGGATTTCCCCCTTTACCGTTCCTTTTTATTGGTTAATAATTTTTATGATATTTTTCACTTTGAAATATCGTGAGCGGAATCTATACACAACTTCTGCTTCCTCTTCTCTTGATTAGATATTGTGTCCATATTGATTCCTATATTGATTATCGAATTACTACTTTTTTGTTCTTTTTTTTTATGCAAGATATGATTTTATGTTTGATAATATAGATTTATTTTTCAAGCATGTGGATGCTTGAGACTTTTCATTTGCTTCATAACATACATTTTACAATGGCTCCAAACTCGGATGGGTTTCTATTCAACACATAAATTTTTAATGATGTAAAATTTATGAAACTAAGATGCATATTAATAAACAATGTAAGGTCTCATCTTCCCTCTTAAGCACTACATATCATTGTTTACTTACCATTAAATCAAAGTCTTTCTAACTTGAGTAAGAGCTACAATGACTTTTATTAACTTTCACTACTCATATATCACAAGTGTTCATACAATGACTTTTATTGTTGTGGATTTCCCCCAAAATGTTAGGTATGTTGCTTTTAGTTTTTGCCTTCTTTTCGTTTTGATTTAGCTTTTTATGTGTTGCTCTATTAGTTGAACTTGCCAGCTGGACATCTGCATGCTTTGTTTCATTATATCATTGAATACACAAAAGTCAATGGAACCATGACTGTGTCAGTTAGTTTGTTTCTTTTTAAGGACACTCTAAACATATACTTTGTTTCATTATATCATTGAATACACGAAATTTAATGGAAAAGGCAAAAAAATTATCGTATACTGAAGATTGATTATGTATATGTGATGTAAAACAACTCTTATCATTGTTCTTCTCAGACATTTTTATATAGATACGACTTTGTTTTAAAATATGTATTTATGTTAGTGTAGTTGGACGTTGTTATTCATTTTTTAAACTTCATTAGTCAAATACATTAAATACTTTCCTATATTATTCAAGGAGAACTTACCAAATTAAATAGTTACTTCAATCCCCAACAACATGAACCATAAAAAAAAATATACCTCAATGTTTACTACGCATACACATGAAAACCAAACTCTCCTGGCCGGGCCTAATCTAGTTAGAATTTAAAGTATATTATCATGGCTTAGATCCTAGTTAACTCTTGGTTTACATATCAAAACTCAATAGGTGTATGATAAGATTAGCATATGCGAGACATTGTGTTGAATCATGGGTTGTTATTTTCAGGTTTTAACATTCAAACCCACCCTCACACATAGAATTTGATTTTCTCTAACATTTCATATGGATCGGTTTTAATTTAACGAGTAAGTCGGATTTCAATTTGTTTTGTTGGCCCAAGTTTCAACAAGCCCCTTTCCACATGTGGTCCTAGACCACTAGTTACATAATAGGGTAAATGCCACGTTTGGTCACTGGGTTTACTAAAATGTGTCATGTTTAGCCACTAGAAAAAATTAATATCAATGTTGGTCACTCGAATTAGTAAAACGGTCCACGTTTAGTCACTCTCCGTTAGTCTCCATTAGTTTTTGTTAACACCGTTAGTCAATTGCTTAAGTGGCTAACATAAGTGCCGAATCACCCTTTTTTAACCCGCCACATCACCAAACCTGACCCGCCATGTCACTCAACCCACCATGTCATCTATTTCAACACAATCCTTAAACCCAATCAACCTACGAACCGACTACTCCTTGCTTGTCTAGAACCCGTGTTTCCGACACTTTATCTCAACGCAACTGCTGCTGCTCCGCTTCAAGATCATAACATCTGCCGCCGCCGGCGGCTTGCTGGAATTCGAGATCAGGCGGCGAAAACCCTTTCCATCTCTCTCTCTCTTCCCACAAAAGCAGATTGTGGCGCGGTCGACAGATTTTGCGGGGATCCACTTCTTCCTCTGAAAATCTAGAAAACAAGGAAAACCCTTTCCATCTCTTCTTTGTCGATCTCTGCCATCACCACTGCACGCCTCCGTCTTCCCCCTTGCCACTCGACTCTTCTTCTTCCAACCACACAGTTGCACCAGGAATCGCCGCCTCCATCTTCAGCTTCGTCCAATCGTCGTCGTGGGTGAAGAATCGGCAGAAGCCAAAGGAACATGGGAAAGATGATTGGACCGCTGCTTCTATTTTCAGTCCCTAGTTTATTGATATGGTGGGTTGAGTGACGTGGCCGGTCGAGTTTGGTGATGTGACGGGTTAAAAAAGATTGAGTCCGCACTTCAGTTAGCCACTTAAGCAATTGACTAACAGTGTTAACATAAACTAATAGTGACTAACGGAGGGTGACTAAACGTGGACTATTTTACTAATTTGAGTGACCAACATTGATATTAATTTTTTTCAGTGACTAAACGTGGCATTTACCCTTACATAATATTCTTACATGTGGGCGTCCAGCCCTACTCAGTCAAACAACAAGCAATACACTTGGGCTTTGGCCCAGCCCAAATGAGTTAATATTGGCTCTAGAACAAGGATCGCAATTATGAACGGCGTCGGACGGGATGAGTTTGATTTTTTTTTTTGATCGGAAACCTGATAATACTATTTTTTTTTTTTTATAATGGTGATGATATTATTAAACTAAGAGAGAGGTACAAGGAAGGAAACAAAACACAACATAAAGAAAGAAAGATGGGTCAAACAAACTTGAACCCAACGACGCAGCAAAGCAACGACAAACCAGAGGCTGCTGAAGGGGCCAGACCCTCCCTGCAGCACGCCAGCAACGCTAGACCTGGGATGAGACAACAAACCGTGCTGGTCCAAAGCAAGGCAAAGAACAAAGCAACAAACCCGGGGCCGCAAGAGAGGCTCGGGTCAACGACGAACAACAAGCAAAACAACACAATCCAGAACAAAGACGCCCCTGCACAGACAGATCAAACTGCTGATGAAGAACGCCCGGCAAGAGGCAAACTCGGAGAGCTCAACGAGCACCTCGCAAAGGAGGGAGCTGGACGTTGTCAAGCCAATGTTGTCCTTCTTCCCTGCTGATTTTACCCATGACAATGGGCCATTCCATCATCAACTTGACGGCCTTGAGAGTGATTGCAGTTGAGGTGAGTTGCTTGTTTTGGAAGATCCTGCGATTTCTCTCCAACCAAACCTGCCAGAAGATTGCGTGGAGCGCGCAGTAGTTGATCCAGCCATCCATGCTCCCCGGGATATCGGAGCTCCACCTGCTGATTGAAGATGAAGTGTTGATGGACGGCAGGTCGATGGTCAAGCAGATCAATTGACTGCTTCTCCAAACCTCTTTGCTGAAATCACAATGAATGAAAAGATGGTCCACCGTTTCTTCTTCAACTTTGCAAAGCTCGCATCTGCTGTCCTCTTTTTTTGATGTTGTCGATCGTGAGAATTTTGTTGAGGAAGGTCAGCCAAATGAAAATGCAGACTTTTGTCGGAATGATTTGTTTCCACACCGAATTGTAGGGAAAGTTGCTGATTCCTGGGAACTTGTTCTTCGTCAAAGACCTGTACATGGAACACACAGTGAAAGGTTGATCTGCTCCAGGGGACCAGATCAATCTGCACGGGCCACTGGAAACTCTCACAGCGGCATAATTATCAAGGAAATTAAGCAAGGAACCCCTCTCTCTCTCAGCCCCCCCTCTCAAAGAAACGTTTAATGGAATAATCCAACCTGATTGATCACTGGAGGTGATTCTGATGTCTGCGACCGAGGCTTCAGGTGTGGTAGTAGCAGCAGCGATCCGAGGGAAAGAGTCGGCCAGCAACGCTTCGGGGATCCACCGGTCATGCCAGAAAGAGGTCCACGCTCCGTTGCCAGGGTCGATATAAGCGAAACTCCAAAAGTTGTGGTGTTCTTTATTAGCCCAGGCAGAGTTAGCAAAGCCGCTGTCGATGATTCCAGTGTGCCAACTTGACCGTGGATTTGGATATTTGATGTCAATGAGTGTCCTCCACCAACTGTTCCTTTCATTTGCAAAGCGCCATAACCACTTGGAGAGCATTGCGCTGTTAAAACTAGCAAGATCAAACACCTCAAGGCCACCATTGGACTTGGGAGCTTTGCAAACATCCCAATTGACAAGCGGAGACTTACTTTCATCTGCAGTCCCACTCCAAATAAATCTCCTCTGGATGCGTTCCATCCTCTTGATCACAGTGTTCGGTGCCTTGAGAAGAGAGAAAAAATAGATTGCTTGACTTGACAGCACCGCCTGATTCAAGACGAGCCTACCCCCCATTGACAGGAAGCGACTTTTCTACCCTTCAAGGCGTTTTTGATATTTTTGGATGATGGGATCCCACGTAGCAACGACATTCAGCTTCGCCCCAAGCGGGAAGCCCAGGTAACGGGATGGCTGGTCACTCCACTTGCATCCGAATAACGAGGCGAAGAAGGCCGGGTCAGGAATGTCACCCACCGTGTACATGATTGACTTCTCGAGGTTGATTCTGAGACCAGTGACCGCCTGGAAGCAAACCAGGGTAGCAGTCAGATTGAGAACTTGGTCCAAAGAGGCTTCGCAGAAAATCAAGGTGTCGTCGGCGAATAAGAGATGGGTCACCTCGCCTTGTCCTTCCTGCTCGTTCATGAAAAAACCTCTTATCTTGCCATGATCTCTTAGCCTGTGCAACATAAAGTCCAAGATATCCATAACCAGAACGAAGAGGCCGGAAGAGAGTGGGTCGCCCTGGCGAAGTCCCTTCTGCATTGGAAAGAGGCCATTGGACTCGCCATTAATGAGAATGGAGATCGATGGTGAGCACATCGTGCCTTGGATCCATTTATTCCATTGAGTGTGAAAACCCAGACTAGACAGAACCTTGAGCAGACAATTCCATTTCACATTGTCGAAGGCCTTCTCAATGTCCAATTTGAACAAAAGACCCGGTTTTTTGCTCTTTTTCCTGCTGTCGATGAGCTCGAAAGCGATGAGACCGGCATCACCGATTTGGCGCCCCTTCACCGAGGCTTGCTGATTCAACGAAACCAACTTGGGGAGAACCCCACTCATTCTGTTAGCGAGGACTTTGCTGAAAAGCTTGTTAATGCAACCCATGAGACTAATGGGTCTCAAATCTCTGGTATCCTCGACCACGTCTCTCTTGGGCAACAAGCAGAGAAACGAATGGGTGGCACACTTAGGGATGTAACCAGAAGAGTGAAATTCGTGGAAGGCATTGAGAATATCATTCCTCAACCAGGCCCAACACCTTTTGAGGAACTCCCAAGTGAAGCCGTCTGGTCCCGGGGCTTTACTGCCATCACAATCCGAGAGACAGTCAAAAATTTCTTTCTCGCTGAATGGCCGTATAAGGAATTGGCTCTCTTTGAGTGTTAACTGACGCTGTGCAAAACCCCAGGGGAAAGGTCGAAAAGGTGTGCTTTCGAGGAAGAGATTTTTGTAGAACTCGACGATTCCTGTTGCCACTTCTTGTCTGCCCTCGGTCATGATCCCGTTGATCTTGATACACTCGATCCTATTGATTTTCCTTCTGAAATTGGCAACCTTATGGAAGTAATTGCTGTTTTTGTCGCCGAGCTTGAGCCAAGTTTCCCTGGATTTCTGTCTCCAAGAGATCTCGATTAGGTTGAGAAGTCGACCAAGTTCAATTTTTAGGAGATCCCTGCTTCTTCTTTGTGAATCATCAAGCTGCTGGGCTTCCTCTAGTTTGTCAGACTCGGATATCCTGGTAAGAAGATCGCTAATTCTAGCGTTGACATCCCCAAAAACTTCTTTGTTCCAATGCTTAATCTTGTTCTTAATGTGTTGAAGTCTTCTAGCACAAAGGAAGATCATCCCCTGCCCAGAGATAACGTCGCCATACCAAGAGCTCAAACCATCATAGAATCTTGGATCTTCCAACCACATATTTTCAAATTTCCATGGTCTTTTGATGCGGAGATCGCCACCCCATTTGAGGAGAAGAGGGTTGTGATCAGATTCTATTTGTTCGAGAGCGATGAGGGTGCAGTCATGATAGATGGAGTCGAAATCAGCACTGATGAAAGCTCGATCGATGCGCGAAAAGCACTCATTAGATCCGCCACGGCTCCAAGTGAATCTACTCCCCCCGAGGGGGAGTTCCATCAGGGTATTGTTGTCTACGAACTCGTTGAACTCCATCATAAGATTCCAGTCCCGACGAGCGCCTCTGTAGTCATCGTGGGAACGAACTAAGTTGAAGTCCCCCATGATGCAGATAGGTTCGTTGAGCTGCTGGCACAGGCGATTCAATTCAAGAAGAAAGGCAATCTTATCATCTCTAGACTGAGGCCCGTAAACAATGACCAAGTTCCAGTATTTGCTGACCATAGTATCAAACAGTTCAATAGCGAGGAAATAATTGCCTTCTCTTATGTTTAGCTCTCTGAATCGACTCTGATCCCAGTAAGCAGCGATGCCCCCGCAACTATTAACAGCGTTCTTCGCCGCCCATCCGTAATTTCTGGAACCACTAATGCTGCTAATAGAAGTAACATTGCAATGATCCCACTTGGTTTTCACCAGGCCGACGATTAGGGGTTTGCGCCTGCCAATGATACGCTTGATCCTTCCTCGCTTGTTGGCGTCACAGAGACCCCTCACATTCCAAACAAGTATAGAGCTCTCCATTTAAGACTCATTTCTGGGCAATTGACTTCCCACGCGCCGTCTAGCTCGGCGTGATTCGACAATGACCTGTGGCAATGGCCCAATTCGATGTCTTTCCATTTCAAGTTTGGACCTGCTCGTACGGACTTTTCTTCGGTGGGTTTCCTTGGCTTTGTCGATAATCATGTTGGTGACCTGGGTTTCCCCCTCTTCGTGACTAAGCTCAAATATCTTGGCCATAGAAAGGCAGGTGGACTCGAGCGTATTGAGGTCAAAAGGGTATTGCGGTCCCGTCTGGAATCAGGATGCATACCCTGATAATACTATTATTGATCAAATACTGGGGTTACATTGTCCTTCAGAAGTTGATCAACAAGAACGACCGGAGGCATGTCAAACCAAACCATAGTCTCGTACCATCTGGACTTCACGTGTGCCATTATGTGTGCGGCCTCATTTCCTTCCCGTCGAACATGCTTCCAGTTTCCGCCATTTAATCCATCCAACCTTCGCCTTATGCTGCGGCATATGATTCCGGTCTCGGACTGATCCTCCACTGCTGTGCTAAGCTTCGAAGAGAGGGAAAGACTGTCCATTTCAAGGGTAAACTTACTTCCATTACACTGCTGCGCTAGCTGTACGCCGAGCTCGGCTGCCAATGCCTCAGCGTACTCAACTTCAAGTTTGCCAGGGATGCTTTTCGTTGCTGCCAACATAAACTTCCCCCCACTTCCTCGAATAACCACACCAAGACCCGTTCCTTCATCCTGTAGAAACCCAGCATCAGTGTTTATTTTAATCTCGTCCTCTTCCGGTTTACTCCAACATTTTGGGGCGTTTTCCTAGTCACTTCTCATCACTTCTGGTCGCACTTGATGTGCACGGTAATCCTCTAGGAATAGGAAAGCTCTTTGCACGATCTCTTCCTCGGGGAGTTTGGCGCCGTTGAAAAGCTGCGCGTTACGCTCCTTCCAAAGAAACCATAGCAATGCACACCACTGCTCAAGCGTATCCTCGTCTTTGTGGTCCATCACTGCTTTTAGCCAGCCATAACAGTCATTATTCACCCGATAATGGAAACAGTCTCTTACCGCTGATTCCCTCCACAGCCGAGACACCCACTCGCATTCTCCAAAGATGTGATGTTGCGTTTCCTTTTCATCGCAGAACGGGCACTTATCCCCCCACCTCGTGCTTCTCCTGCTAACGCGATCCCCTGTTGGAAGGGCCTCTCTAGCGAATCTCCAAACAAAGTGTTTTACCTTTGGAGGTAATTTCATCTTCCACAACTTGTTCCAGACCGCTGCTTCTCCCTAGACCTCCACCTGATTTTTTTCCATAAAACCTCTTAGCCACACCTTGTAGCCATCTTTCACTGTATAAACCCCTTTCTCGTTTGTAGTCCATACCAAAGCATCTTTCTCCTGCTAACGGGATGAGTTTGATTGCTAACCCTTTAAGGGGTTAGCATCATACTAACTAAGATAATTATCGTTAGATTAAAAAACTAATCCAAGGGTCGGAATTAAATAGAGGACAGTTTAGTCAATATATTATTAAACCCTAATATAAATATACATTTTCATCTCTCGACCCTCACTCGGACGCCTACGTCTTTTTCCCTCCCTCTTCGCCAGAAACCATCTTTTTCTCCGCCAGGGAACCGTCTTTTCCTCTGACTCTTCCGTCTCCACCGTGACGCCATCGCCCCCTCCAGCCTCGCCATCGTCTGCGTCGGACTCGCCTTCGTCTTGTCACCGGGTTGCCATCTTGAACTATTGATCAGAAACGCCACCGTCAACGACATCCTCCCTCGCCTCCCTCAACTAATCTCAGATCTGTTTCAAGCAAGATCGTCGTAGCGCTGCCCGTCATGCACGCATCGATGTCGATTACCATATCCGTCCCAGCAACGTCGCCGTCTCGCCGTCAAAATTGACGGATCTCTGCAATGTTGGCGGGTCTCTTCCAGCCGTGAGAACGCCGCCGTCACGATGCCTCATCGATCTCCTCTCCCTCCAGCGTCTCTCTACGTTGGCAGATCTCCATATTTCACAATCATATCAATCGTGACAATGAAAATTGTTATATGTAGACTGTAGTAGTGATTTTCCATATTTGTAGTAACTTTTTCTGGTTTAATTAGTAGTGATTTTATAGATTAGATTGAGGTTCTATGGTTTAGCAGTGGTTCTTGGGTAACTACCTATTTTAATCACTATAAATTGCTACGCATGTAATATAAAACAATACAAGTAAATTCCTAAATCACTACTAATGACAATTAAATTGCTACAAGGAAAGTCCTAAATCACTACTAATGACAATTAAATCGATACTAAAAAATTCCCAAATCTCTACGGATAACAATTAAATTAAAAAACACTACTATCAACCCCAAAAATCATATTTTTCGATAAAAAAATCACTAACACACAAATGAGAGAGAAAATATATATATTTACTAGAGTTGGGCCCGCCCGTTGGTCAGATGAATTATATCAATAGTATAGTAATTACCCAAATCAATTATTTGATACCATGAAAGAATCCAAATTATCCAATTGTTACAAATATAACATAACAACATACATTATAAGTTTTACAACATCTTGATCATTCATGGAGAAAAATCTTTATAAAAAGTAAACAACGCAACTCATGCATGAAATCGATACCTCAGAAACTTAATACTCAAAAAGCACTACAATTTACTCTTTGTAGTTGGAAATTACTGTAAATTATATTTTGTATATATTTTTCATTGCTCCGCCATCAATAGCATCTTCTCCACACAACTTCATCATCATCAGAGAAACTTTGTATTCACTATCAATAGTCTCTTCTTTCTTCTCTTGTATTTCATTGAAAACCAAATTTTAATAGTAAAATGTTTGGCAATGTGAAACATCTTTTCACGGTATTATAATTTCATCTCATACAACACCATTATCTCTATCACTGAATTCACTACCTTTGATATTAGCTATTTTTCCTTCTTCTCTTGCATTTTACTGAATGCAAATATTTAGGGGTCGTTTGGAGAATATGAGTTTAAATCTATAGATTGTCAACAATCTAAAGATTCTAACTCTTCGAATTGTTGAAAATAGATTTTAAAATGTTTATTGTTTGGTAACTGTGATTGTTAACATTCAATGAAAATAAAAAAATTATTTTATATTAAATAACGTGTTTATCCATAATAAAAAATTAGAGTGGTTCGAGAAATATTAAAAAATTTGTTGATAAATATATTTAATATGATAAATAAATAAAACAAAGAGAAAAAGTAGGAGGAAAAAAAATCTCACGAATCAAGATATAAAATCTCTCTGATTATGAGAGATTTTATATCCGTAGATTTTAGAGATTTGAAATTTCTAAAGCTCAAATCCACAATACAAAAAACAACAAAAAAACATAACTTTCTACAAAATCTACGGATTCAATGAATCCACGCCCTAAATCTCATTCTCCAAACGACCCCTTAATGGCAAAAGTTTTTGAATTGTGAAACAATCATTGATAATTATATTCATAACCTTCTCATCATTATCAATTATTTTTAAGGCCTTAATTTTTTATTTTGTTTTTTTATCAAAAACTCAAATCCGATGTCATATTTGGTGTATTTAGTTAAGTTATTAAGAATTAGTTAATTAGAAAAGTCACAAATATATTAAGAAAAGTCACACTCAACCTTATAATAAAAAACATTATAATAGAACAAAAGTGTCGCTCCTAAATTCTCCTAGTAACTAAAAATAATAGTTTAATAGTGGTTTTACAAAAGTTACCAACGAAATATTTGTTTGGGTTTTTATTAATTAAAAGGTGTTTGGTTTTTTATTAATTAAAAGGACAAAAGTGTATCTCCTAAATTCTCTCATAATGCTCGAAATTTAAAATTAAGTATTTTTTTATAGAGAATCTCTTTATACTAGTGATGATGATTAATTAATTATTTCTAAATTTAGGAAATACCGAATAAACCCTTCATCCTTCATCGCGTATCACTGTTGGATTCGATTTAAAAAAATAGACGGTGATTAGAGCAGTTATTACTGTGCTAACTCACCTTAACCTCTCCCACGCGCCGGACAACAGAAGGCTGTGAGGGGAGGAGTTACGGTGCTAATTGTACAATAGTTAGCACCGTCCTAACCAAGGGAAAAACTACTACTAGTTTGAATTAGTAGTGATTTAGCTTAGATGTTGTATTGATTTTATAATAATCCGTAGTGATTTCGTTATTTTTAGTAGCGTTTTTTGCTAGTTATCACGGTGCTAACCCCTATAAGAGTTTAGCACCTAATCCCATCCCGACTGCGGGCGAGCAGGGGAAGGTGGCAACTAGCCCGGCATAGACGGCGGCGATTGAATTGAAATTTTGCATTTCGGATTGGAGCTCACTGTTTGCTGCCATGACGAAACAACCGCTCCCGCCTGGCCCCAGATGGCACGGGGCACGCTTGCCGAATTCTGCCTGACAAATTCTGCCGATGCCTCTCCCGGCCAAAATCCAAAAACCCTCTGGTGAATTCAATCGAAAAGAAAGGAACATGGCGATGGTGAAAGGGCTCAACTCGAAATGGTTCTCGACCGTCGCCAGCATATGGATTCAGTGCACCAGCGGCTCCCTCTACACTTTCTCCGTCTACTCCCAGTCTCTTAAGTCAACCCAGGGTTACGATCAATCCACCCTTGACACGATCTCCGTCTTTAAGGACATCGGCGCCAACTGCGGCATCCTTTCCGGGATCCTCTATTCCTCCGTCGTCGTCGCTGCCAATCGGAACAGTAGCCCACTTGGCGCCGTTGCTGGTCCGTGGATGGTGCTGTTGGCCGGCGCCCTGCAGAATTTCGCTGGGTACTTCCTCATGTGGGCTGCCGTCGTCGGGGTGATCCCTCCGCCGCCGGTGCCGGTGATGTGTCTGTTCATGATCTTGGCCGCGCACGCTCAGAGCTTCTTCAACACGGCCAACGTAGTCACCTCCGTTAGGAATTTCCATCAGTACAGCGGCACTGCCGTCGGGATAATGAAGGTGGGATTCTTACTTCCTGAAATCTATGAAGTTCATGACTTGGTTTCGTACTTATTGGTTATTCCTCTGGTTTTTTTTCTTTTGCAATCAGGGTTTTCTGGGTCTAAGTGGAGCAATGTTGATTCAATTTTACCAAACCATATTTGATAACAAACCAGACTCGTTTCTGCTGATGCTAGCCGTTCTGCCCGCTCTCAACACGCTGTTACTCATGTGGTTTGTGAGAGTCCACAGTAGACATGAAGAAGATGAGAAGAAGCGTCTTGATGGATTCTCATTGATTGCGTTGATTGTTGCTGCATATCTCATGATCATCATAGTCCTAGAAAATTTCTTCAGTTTCCATTTGGTACTGCGTGTGGTTGCTCTTGTCCTGCTCTTGGTGCTCCTAACTTCACCTCTGGTGGTTGCTATTAGAGCTGAGGGAAGGGGAAACTCTGTTGTTGGTACTGGGGATGGTCGTTTTTTAGATGAGTCCAGGTTACTTCCTGAGGAGAATGATAATGTAGAGATCCATGAAAATGTTGCTCTGCCAGAGCTGAATCTCTTGCAGGCGATCAGTACGGTGGATTTCTGGATCTTGTTTCTTGCTATGGCTTGTGGGATGGGGTCAGGACTTGCGACGGTGAACAACATGGGCCAGGTGGGACAGGCTCTTGGCTACCGCAGTCTGGAAACAAATACCTTGGTTTCATTGTGGAGCATTTGGAATTTTCTTGGCCGGTTCGGAGGTGGGTATGTGTCTGATTACTTCCTGCACAAGGGAGGGTGTGCGAGGCCAATGTTCATGGCGATCACCCTTCTAGGCATGAGTGTGGGTCATGGGGTGATTGCTTCTGGTTTTCGTGGGGCTTTATATGCTGGTTCTGTGTTGTTGGGAGTTTGTTATGGTTCCCAGTGGTCTTTGATGCCCTCGATTGCATCCGAGATATTTGGTGTGGAACATATGGGCACAATCTTCAACACAATCACTATAGCTTGTCCGGTTGGGACTTATATATTCTCAGTAAGAGTGATAGGGTTTATATACGATAAGGAAGCATCAGGGAAAGGGAACTTATGCACTGGAACTCATTGCTTCATGATGTCCTTTGTGATCATGTCATGCGCCACTTTTCTGGGGTCTCTTGCTGCTTTGGGATTGTTCTTGCGAACACGAATGTTTTATCGTCAGGTCATACTCAGGAGACTCCGAGCATCTTTCAGAAAATGAAACATATGTCTGACTGTTGGCTCATCATGGTACTCTTGTTGTTGCTTGAGCAAACTTCATTTTCCCTGATATGGCATAGATGGGTCCTGGCCATCCATGCTGAAGCTCAATGGTTTGTAGAGTTGTAAAATGGCTCACAACTTTCATGAGATGGGGTATGCTTTCCTCTTTACCCTCTTCAAGAAAAACTAACCTTCAAAGCAAGAGTCGAAGCTTTGCCGCAGCCATCTCTTTCACCTAGGACAAGGACTGCTGTGTGGAATATGGCTCATGTTATTCTGGGTCATATATGGCTGTGCAATCTCTATAGATAGATAAGTTGCCACAAATTTCAGAAACTGCAGAAGGCAGTTACTGGCCATTAGTTTGGACATTGTCACTAGTTACTGCTCTTTGTTTTGTTTGTTGTTTCAGGTGGAATTGTTACTGTATAAGTGTTTTAACTCTTTTGCTGGTTCAGGGTGGAGGCTGTAAATCGGTTTCAGGGCGGCTGATTCCATGTACAAATCTCTTCTTGTGGGCTCCTTGTTAACCATAGGCATTTATCGACACAGATGATTGCATAGCGTGTATAAATCTCTTTTTACCATGTTCCATGAAATCGTACCGGATATCGTACTGAAAAAGTCAGCGATATGATATTTTATGATAAAACCGTGGTTTAACCGTAGTTCAACCATTAGACCGTTAAATACCGTTTATCGGTTTAGCCTCCGATATTGGTATTTTGTGGTTGAACCGCCGGTACGGAACGATTTCATGGACCATGCTTTTTACCCACATGTGTCCATGGCTGAATTCAGTTGTAAACGTTGGACCATTATGAAAAAATTAAGTAGTAAAATGTCATTGTTAAAAATTTGGCTTAGCAACATGTAATTTTGAAGCGTACTTTTCATTAAAAATTAATTTTAGGTATCAAATTGTAATATAGATAAATATATTTACTAAAACGTACTTTTCCCAGAAATGGGCCTAGTTAAATGGACGTGCCGAAATGTCTTAACGTAGATAGCCCAATCCAATCCCAACATTATGATCGAAAATTTCAGAAGAATAAATTACACCCGAACCGAACCGAACAGGTAAAAATTAAAAAAGGAAAAGGAGACGAGAGAAAACAGAAGAGAAGGGTTTCTCCTGCAAACGTCTTCTCTCCTATCGAAGCTTTCATTGATTCGATTACTGTAAGCTCTGCTCATCCCGGTACCCCATCCCTCAACGTTTCCCGCCCTCTTCTTCTTTTCGTTCCTAAGAAACCTCGCAATCTTCCAATTAGGCCGAGAGCGGAGCCTGAGGGTTTTTGTTGAGAAGGAAAGATGGTGAAGACGACAAAGGGAGGCAAAGTTATGAACCCTACGGATGCCTACCGTAAGGAGCTCCGTAAGAAGGAATTGAAACGGGCAAGTTTATCCATTCCCTTGCCCTGTCTCTGATTTTGTATGGTCGTGTTTCAGAGACTCTCAAGTGTTTGCTTCCAATTTGTGAATTGAGAGCTGAATGCTTTTGGTTTCTGCCTTTCTGGGAATTGGGAATTTTTTTGAATTGCTGTTTAGCTGTAGTTAATAGCCCATGATTCCATCAACCCAAGCTTGGAGCTCCCTTAACCTTTCCAGTGCTCTCATTTTTCTGCTTAGTTATTCGGAATTGGACAAGCATCTATGTCTCTAATTGAATTATCCATCTGTTTAGTTGATCTAGAGGTGTTAGTACTATGTGTTGCTTCCCACAGTTTGAGTTCGAGATGTACATTGTAATAGAAAATGGAGATAGCCAAGAGAGAAAGAATGTTGTAATATTTATTGTACTTTAGATTTTGAAGAGTGGATCAGAAGTTGGGGTAATAACTTCTCCTGTTCGGAAAATAAGATCAGTGTTCTGCAGTTCAGGTCTCGAGACGCTTTAACTTTGGTCATCTGATAAATTGATGGCAGGGCCGTATGCTTAGACTTGGATGAGTGCAGTTCACTTGTCCCTTAGTATATGGTTTGCTGGATTGTCATCAATTAGTTTCAATCATAATATATGGTCATGCTGCTTATCTGGTTCTTGTTTCGATGTTCTTAAATCCAATGTTCGCTAGAAATCATAGAATCTTATGCACTTTCTGGGATTTGTTAATTAACTTCCAACGTTCTTGTTCCTGCTTTGTGCAGAACAAGAAAGAAAGGAAGAAAGTAAGAGAGGTTGGCATTTTGAAAAAAGATCCTGTTGTCATCAAGGATCAGATACAGAAACTGGAAATGATGAGTAAGTGCTTCTCATGTCGACATTTTTCTTGCTTCTTTCTTCATAGCTCTTTGAATTAGGGTAATGTCCTGTTGTCGGAGGAGAACTTCGATGGTTTTTGTTTTATGTTGGTTATAGATTTATATGCAACTGTGTATTATCACATGCGGTGCTGAGTTGATCCTGTCATCTTTGTCTGCAGTAACTTACATTCTCATTGCCCTTGTTTTCTTTCTTCTCTGCTGATTTAGCTTCTTCTACTATTATGCAGAGGCTGATGGTGCACTGGACAAAGCAAGAAAGCACAAGAAGAGGCAACTTGAGGATACACTTAATCTTGTGATGAAGAAGCGAAAGGTATTTTCTACTGTTTCATGTTTTTGTCAACTCCATTCACTTGCATGTCTTTAGATATCTGGTCAAGCACTTTCCAGGAAGTGATACCCGTTTATTAAGAAGTATAGAAAAGTTATAGCAGGCTTTGTAGAAGTGATATATTCCTTCCGCAATGTGCTTGCATATGCATCTTTCTTTTTCTATTAGCTTTGATCTACTTTTTTATTAGCATACCTGTAAGCCTAAGACCAAAAGCAAAGGTTATGGTATATGATTAGTATTCCATTTTGAAGATGATCACTACCTGGTGAAAAGTTCTATTTTCTGTCTTTATGGGAACGATGAGTATTCCATCTTAAAAATGATCTCTAGCTTTAAGCTTCTCGAACTTCCATAACATTTTCAAATAGAAGATACCACTGATGATTCCCTTGGAGCCCATGAGGTTTTTGGAATCTGCCTGAGGGAGCTGTCATATAATTTAGCTTGCTAACAAAAACAAGTCTTTCATATTCTTCTAGCATATAACTCTGAGGATGATCTAAGTATTCTTTGATTGTTTTATGGCTTCAGATACTGCCATCAAGTTTATTTGTAGGGAACTGGTATGCTATCCCTCACAAAGTCTTAAGGACTGAAAGATCCTGAAACCTGAAATGTAGGGCTGTTAACGAAGAATAATATTTAAGCTTTATTTAATGATATTGAACTATAAAATGTTTTCTTGGGTTACTACACTTGGGTGATAATCAGTTTTTCCGCTCCCATCTTTAGGAATATACCGACAAGATGAAGGAAAAGGGTGAGACTCCTGTTATGTTCAGGTGAAGTAGCCTTTCTTTCTCTTGGTCCATGTTTGGCATGTGAGAGTATATATTTTTTGTCCTTCATCTGATAGCAGCAGTACATCTTTCTTCAGTCATCTGGGACCTCCTCGACGAAGAACATCTGCAGAAGAGGAAGAGAGAGCTAAGCACCCACAGCCTGAGGTATACTTCTACAACATTGCTTCATATATTCATTATAACAAAAAATGGCTTCATATATTAGTTTGTGTAGTGAAGTACTCTCTTTTTAATATAAGCTATAGTACTTGTTTGATACCAGCTATTCATATGATTGCAGGACTCTGTGTACTACCATCCTACCCTAAATCCCACTGGGGCTCCACCACCTGGAAAACCTCCCATGTACAAATCGTCGATAGGTCCTTTTCCACTCGTTGCTTTTTCCAAATCATTTATATGGCCTCTGTCTTGTTTCCTTCACTCCTTCAGATTATAACTTTTGCAGGTCCTCGGATTCCGTTATCTGCCGGGTCAACCTCTGGTGCGTCATCTTCACAGACAGAGTCTGAGGATGGTGCTCTGGGAGTACCTCCACCTCCATTGCCTCCGCCTCCTCCTTTGCCAGAATCTGGTGATGTGGGTTCAGGGGATGGTTCTGTGGTACCTACCACATCTATGCCTCTAGCAGCGCCTCCACCAGAACCTCCTGCACCAAGCTTGGGTATGTCATTGCCTCCACTACCTTTGCCACCACCACCTCCTGGTCCGCCTCCGCAAAAAGACCATATTACAAGTTTTGCATCATTTCAGCCGCCACCTCCTGGCACTAATAATGACAATGAGAATGAGAAAGATTCATCCACATTGGCAGATGACTCTTCATCAAAGGAGAATGTTCAGGTGAGTGAGGATTCTTCTCCTTTACTTCCGTGAAGTGGAACTCTGCAGTAGAAGTGGAACTCTGCAGTAAAAAACTTATCTAAAGGAGTGAATGATTAAGTGTCCCGTGATTTTTTAACCTTTTCTGATTTATGAAATTATCAAAAGATGTGAGTTGTGAAAATGCCTGAATTGGTTCCACGACTTTTGGAGTTTGATAGCAGGGAAATGGTAGAGTTAGAAATGTAGGAAACATGATGTAAATTTGATCCATTTTTATTGTAAAGGAAAATTTTATAAGTTGAATGGTATGTTTGATAGAGAAGTTGATTATTTGACCAATCAGAGGCACCGACAAGTGCCAACTGGTTGTATCTCAGCTCTGCAAAATGGAAGATCCTTGAGGTTTGGAGTTGAATTGGTAGGAAGATTGCTGGAACTGGAAAACATAATGTTCCATGCTTCAGGGTTACCATTTCCATCTTTGTTAATGTTTTCGTTAACTGCTGGTCCTTGGTACTAATCCGTGAACTTTGATTTGCGTGTAAAATGGACCTCTTGTGCGTTATGTTCTTGCAGAGTTCTGTAACCGGTTCACTCTTAATAGTGAAGAGATTGTATTAATGTTATCTTCTGTCTTGATTCAGGTGCCCATTCTCCCACCTCCACCTGGAATGCCTATGAAGTTGACCATCCATCAGTTTGAAGGCGATAATTCATCTGAATCTGATCCCAGTGTTCCTCCGTCAGCCATTGATGCAACAAAGATGGTTCCCCCTCCCCCGCCTCCACCTAGGCAACAGCCCCTACTGCCTGGACCACCACCCATGATCCAAAGCATACAGCCTGATTTTCTACCACCTGCAATGGCAAGATTTCCACCCCCTCCACCTCCACCAGGTATGCGGCCACCTCTAGCAGCTCCTGGGCTTCCTGGCCCTCCAGTAGGGATGGTCCCAATGATGCCAAGACCGCCGTATGGTCCACCACCTGGACCTCCCCCAATGATGAGGCCACCACTGCCTCCGGGCCCTCCTCCCGGTATGATGCTAGAAGACGGCGTAGGTAGTAGGTTTGTTGCTCCCCAGAAACCATCTTATGTGAAATCCGCTGCATCTACTGTTGTGAAAAGGCCGCTGGCACAACACACCCCAGAACTTACAGCCATGGTTAGTTTTTATCCAACCCCTTAGAGTAACGACTGCATTAAATACATTTTCCCTGGAAGATTCAAACTCAATTTCTTTTTGTTTAAATTCAGGTTCCTGCATCTGTGAGAGTCAGGAGAGAAACAGCTGCTGTCGCGAAACCGAAACCAAAGGTGACGACGCCCTCAGCTGTTACAATGTCAACGAGGCCTGTAGTTTCTACTGTATTAAAGCCTGAACCACCTTCAGCAGCAGCAGCAGGAGTTGCGCCTAAAGGCAAGAGCGTTGATGACTCGTACTCAGCCTTTTTGGAAGACATGAAGGCACTTGGGGCGCTTGATAGTTGATCCGACGCAGCCTAAAGAGAGATCGATTCGCTGCTGTCAACTGGAACAGTTGCACTCCTCTGGCTGTGTAGGGAAAACAGTTGAAGGTCCCGATGAGCAAAAAGGCTTTGTCCACTTCGAACTCAGGAACTTTTCGATTCTGCTGCCATCATGTCAGAATCTGACAGTCAGATGCCTTGGTTCTAGCTATCTAATATGGTTGAACTGTGTGTGTTCGGTTGTAGGTTTAGATGGGTATGTGGACCTTGTAAAAGTGATTCGTTCCTGGGTTCCTTCAATCGAATTGACAGTAGGAGGATATATCATATATGTATCCAATGAGGGCTAAAAATCTATTTTTAAGATATTTTACAAATCTTACATATAAAATAATTCTACATAATTTTGAGACTTTAATGGACTACAACTTTTTCTGGCATTAACATGGCTAGTCGGAAGAGAAATATGAAACAAGAAATAGTCCGTCCGACGACGGACGGCCGGGTGAAATGCTAGTTAGTTGATTTTCACGGAGGAATTATCTCACCGACTCACCGTGCCGTTTTCTCTAATCATAAAAAGCAAACACATAATCCAATTTAGTGTTCGCATTTCCCATTCGCCGTCTACAACATTGATTAATGATTAGTAATTCTAAAACCATCACTCAGGAATTAGTGCTGGTAATACACAATGTTATGAAAAACCGGGCCGGGCCGGCCGGTCAGACCGGAGAAAACCGGACCCGGCCACAAGTCCGTTCCCCGAAGAATGAAAATGGGCGGGCTGTATGCATCCGCTTATATTTTCACTTTTCAGGTAAAATAGACAAGCGCCTTACTTTTATTTTTTGTTTCCTTCCGTTTCAACAGACAATTAATAAATGAAGCAAGCCACTAGCCAGCCGAATTTTGACCTTATTTTATTCCTATTTTTTCTTTTATTTCTTCTTATTTGAGAGTCAATCTCCGGTTTATGTCCGGTTTGTAGTATCGGTTAATCATCGATTATTCGATAAACCTTGAATCTCTAGTTAATCCGGATCGATATCCGGTTTGATTTTAACAACACTGGTAATTCACCGCCTCATGCAACTAGCATCCGTATGACCATATACTCAGTGGTTAGGGGTGGGCAACGGGAAACGGGTATTTGAGTATACCCGTACCCGTCCCATTTTTTAAGGGTTACGGGTACCCATATTACCCGTAATATTTTAAACGGATGGGACTTGGGATTGTACAGTCCTAATATGGGTACCCGCGGGTTACCCGTGAATACCCGTTTGGGTAATATGGGTACCCGTTGTACCCATTCAAATTACAAAGACATATAATTCAGCCCATGCGCCCAGGCCCAACCCAATTCAAAATCCATTAAAATTACAAAATCCATTTAATTCAGCCCGTGAGAGTTGAGACGCTGACGCACCCCTAGGCCCTAGAAGACGCGAGACACGCGACGGCAGGCGGCAGCTTCTCTGGAATTTGGAAAGGTTTGTCTCTGTCTTGTCCCTGGCTGGAGGAGTCGTCTTCGCGGGACGAGAGAGAAGAGACGAAAGGTCGAAACCTAGCTCGCCTCGGGCCTCGGTGCCTCCTTCATTCACCGCCGCCGCCGCCTCTGAGTGCGTGACTAATTGTTTTTAGGTAAAATGTCATTTAAACTTTGGGTATTTATGGGTAGTATGGGTACCCGTTATCCGTGCCATACGGGTAATGGGTACCCGTTTCCCATATGGGTTTGGGATATGGGATGGACTTTGATCTCCAAATGGGACTGGGTACCCGTTTAAAACGGGACGGGTATCCCGTCCCATCCCGTTGCCCACCCCTACCAGTGGCGGAGCCAGAAAATTGGCCAAGGGGGTGTCTTTATCATATCATAAAAAATCACCTATACAATAGAAAAGTCAACTTTAAACTAAACAAAAAGTCAACAACGCAATACTCTAAATTCATACAATTACATTAAAATAGTTTCACGTACACCGGTTACAACGTCAAACAAATAAGTTCAATACATACAAATCAAGACTTCCATTCATCAAATATTACAAATTAGAACTCAGAAGTACCTTGGAATTGATTTTGTGAAACAAACAAGTGAACTTCAATTGATACTTCTTCACTTTCAACTTTGTTTAAACAAAAGACAAGAAATTTCTCTGTTGTAGAGCTAAAAAAAAAAAAAAATGAGCGAGTTTAAACAAAAGACAACAATTTATTACTATAAATAAAAACGAAAGTGCATTGCATAACAAAACTCACTCGATCGAAATGATAAGAAATTCTTTCTGCAACTGAATGGTCATTGGTTCGAATTTGTATATACCCCTACTCGAAAAAAAATTCTCCAAACCTTGCACCCCCCTCCTCTACAAGACCCCCCTCTTCTACAAGTGGCTCCGCCACTGCATATACCATTCTCCTTTTATAGAATCAGAAAAAAAATGTTTGGGTAAATACTATTTTTTAGCCAAATTGTTTTTCTCATTCCAAAATAATAGCCAAATCTTTCATAATACAAAATAATAACCGAACTTTTTATATCTATCTAAAATTTTAGTCATTGATATGTAACCGTTAATAACACCGTTAACCAACAATCCACCTCAACATCCACATCAGTATATTTTTATTTATCACTTAAATAAAGATAATAATAATAATGTAACGCCCAACGACTAGGGATGACAAAAATATCAGTAACTGTGGATATCCGCCCGAATCTAGCCTAATCGGGTAGGGTAAAATCTGAACCCGAAAGACATTTAGTGGTACGCGTAAAACCCGCACCCGAATATTGCGGGTAATGGATGGGCATGGGTTTCTCGCTATTCAATCCGAACCCGTCCGATTATACACATGCATATGTATTTTGTCTATAAATAATCATTATTTTACTTTAACACATTTTATATTTAGCATATAAATATAATATTTTCATGAAACTGTGTTGTTTTAATTAATTTTCTTCACTCCAGTGAATTATTGTCGTACTTTTCCTCTTACGTAATGTGAGAATACGTGTGAATGTTAACATATTAGTTGGAGTTATGATGAGAAATTACTACCCATGAATAATCGTGGATACCCGAAACCCGAACGAGTATAGGTATGGTTTTGATTTTCTATCTATTTCACATGTGGGTATGGGTATGGGTAATACCCGAACTACTCTGGTTTGAGATTTGCTCGATGGGCTCGTTGCAAGAAGTCAGTTGAGTTACCGTCAGGGCCGGCCAAGAGGGTGTGCTGGCCCGCCCTCCGGCACAGGGCCTCAGAATATTAGGGGCCTCTACTTAGATTCGTTAGTTACCGATCATATATTGTATGTTGTATTTTTAGTGTATGATTGATTGATTATGAGTATGATGATGTGTTTAATAGATAAATTTAGCTATAATAACAATTGAAAAGGATCTCATGGAGAATACGAAAATCTGAAAAATAATAGATAATTTTAATTTAAATAATATAGAAAGATATTACATTTTGAATAATGTTATTAAAATCATTTTAGTTTTATTATAGTTAAAGGTCGATTTGGACCACGTCTAGATTTTGAAATAAGGCCTCCACGATCTAGTAGACAACCCTGCACCCACCTCTCGATCAATTTAGACTATTTACATTTCTCCATTCAATCTTTGCGCTATATCCATTTTCTCTTCCTTCCAGATTTACTTTCCTTCCTACTAGGGCTGAGAATTCGGTCTTGGTTTCTTGGTCAAACTCGAAACGAGATCGTTTATTCCTGATGTAATCTTTTTCTGAACTTAAATATTTTTTTACAATTATTTACTAATTTTTAATTTTGATAAATTTATGGGGAAAAAAATTAGGGCCACATTTTAAATTTTCGAACCGGGCCTCCAAATATCATGGGACGACACTGGTTACCGTCGTCGCTCGTTGCAGTTTCCTTCATCGTGGAACCAGATTCTGAACACGCGCTCTAGAATCGTGGATCCAGAGTCGCCAATCGAAGAGAGAGATAGCCGATGCTTCTCCAGTTTCGCATCGCAGGCCATCCCCCAGCCAACAATCCGATTCAGGAAGAAGAGGAATCCAAGTAGCCAGAGGGAGAGATAGCTCGACGGTGACGGCGAGGAAAAGCAGGGGATTATTTCTGCGCAGAGATCTTCCTACCTCACCTGCCGCACTCGTTGGATTGAGACGGCGAGGCATTAATTTTTTTTTCTCGTTGTGAGACAAACTACTTTTTTTTAATCAATAATACGACTGGACATAGTTCTATAAAAATATAGTGCGTGACTCAATATCTTACATTGAGATCAGAGTGAATTTAGGGATGGCAATTACCAAGGGTAATTATTCCCAAATCCAAGTAGAGCCATTGATAATGGGTTAGGTATGGGTGTAGTGCATATGAGTTGGGTAAGATATGAATATTGCTTCTATAATCTAAATGGATATGAGTTGGATATGAATATCCATTTACTTGACGATATTTTAACTACATTGTAAAACTTAAAAAGTTTAGGTGCCAAAAAGTAAGACAAAAATTTTTAGGTACTAAAATGTAATTTTCCATCAATATTTTGAGGACTTATATGCAAAAAAAAATTAAATTTTTGGTACTAAGTATGTGTATCTATTAAGTTTAGGTACTATTGGGACGAGAGAAGATACAGCCCACAGCTGTTGCGTGTGCGTTCCATGAGTCGTGGATGACAAGGAATACTACTCCTTGTAGGGATTGTTGCACTAACGTTTCATGTACTTGTGCCCCAGTTAATAGACGTGTTGATGGGCATATATATATTGATGTAAGGCAAATGGCCGAACCAACCTAATAAGAAAAACCCTATTCTCCGTGGATGTAAGCCTCACACACCGTGAGGAAGAATTACGTTAAATCTCGTGTCGTTTACATTATCGCTAAATCTATTATGGTATCAGAGTTGTGAGTTCCAGCGGATTGTTATCTAATTACCATGGGCACAAGTGGTGATGAAGGAGTTGTTGGAGACAAAGAGCTGCAGCTCACCGCCGACAAAGAACCCGCTCTCCCGCCCGTTTATCAACTCAGCAATTCGGACGGCCCGAGTCGGATGATGGTAGGTGAAGCCTTGACAGCCTCCAACTACGGTGAATGGGTCCTCGATATGAAGGACGCTCTCATCGTCAAAAACAAGTTTTGTTTTGTTGATGGAACGCAACAAAAGCCGACAAATCCTGTTGAGCGTAGCGCGTGATCCGTTGCAATGCAATGGTGAAAGGGTGGTTGAATACTGCGATGGATAAAGAAATTTGAAGTAGCATCCGTTTTGCTGAGACAACTCATGCGATTTGGGCAGATCTCCAAGAGCGATTTGGCCAAAGTAGTTCATCCCGAGCATACGAACTTCGGCGGCTTATAAGCACGTTGCAGCAAGAAAAGAATTTTGTGTCCTCGTTTTACAAAAAGTTGAGAGGTTTATGGGAAGAGACCTCAGCTATAGCGCTTACACCACGATGCACTTGTGGCTTGTGCACATATGACGTATCGTGGAGGGTCCGTAAACAACAAGACAATTCCAGGCTCTTCGATTTTTTAATGGGTCTTGATGATGCGCTTGCAGTTGTCGCATGTACTGGCCATGAAGCCTACGCCATCACTCCCTGAAGTCTTCAACATCGCCTTGAATGAAGAACAACAGAAGGCGATATCTCAAAACCGGTGTCTGCAGCCTGAAGCTGCCGCGTTTAACACCCATAGTGATGGAAACAAGCTGTCTCGTGGTACGAGGGAGCGTGACCGAACAAGGTGTACTCACTGCCAGAAGGTAGGACACTTGCGAGAGGCCTGTTACGAGCTTATTGGCTACCCAAGTAGAGATCAGGATCGTTCGGGAGAGAAGCCGCAACGTAGGCGTGGTAGTCGCAGTCCAGCTGAGGGTTCAGCTCCCGAACCCATGGCCTCGCAAGCTGAGAGTGAACAAAGTCTCGTCCCTGGTTTCTCGATGAAGCAATTGGAACAACTACAGAAGTTTTTTGGACAGTCTACGACAATTGGTGATGATCCGGTTGCTAATATTACAGGTATGGTTTCTGATACTTCTGAATGGCTGATAGATTCCTGTTGTAATGAGCATATCACCATGGACGAATCATTATTATCTCATAAAGAAGTCAATATCAATGGGAAACGAGTCTGAATCCCCAATGGTGCGAGTATTCCTGTTAAGCACATCGGTTATATACCTTTGCAACCTGTTTTCACACTTGGGCTATTTCTCCATGTTCCTGAATTTAGTTGTAATTTATTCTCTGTGAGCCGACTAACGAAGGATAATCATGTTGAGTTGATCTTCATTGATGATTTCTGCGTTATTAAGGACTTACGCTCCAAGAAATTGATTGGGAAGGGGGAACTTCGTGATGGTCTTTATTATTTGAGATTTTTTGGCAGCGACAACATGACAGCTTGTGCAGTTCGTGGGGATGAAGTGGATTTTGGTGTTCTTTGGCATGCTCGACTGGGGCATCCCTCTGCGGAAAAGATGGAGAAGCTTAGCTCTAGTTTATCTATTTCGGTTTCATCTATGAATACTGATTTATGTCATTCCAGTTCAAGAGCTAAGCAAACTCGTACTCCATTTGTTTTGAGCTCCATTAAGACGAAGTTTTTGTTTTGAACTCATTCACGTGGATATATGGGGTGGATATAAAGTTCCTTCACTTAGTGGCACACATTATTTTCTAACGATAGTTGATGAATTCAATCGCGGAGTGTGGGTTTATTTGCTTCGGTTTAAGTCTGATGTGGGTCGCCACTTGTTATTTTTCTGTAACATGGTTCGAAAACAGTTTGGCAGGCCAGTTAAGCGAATTCAAGGCGATAATGCTCATGAATTCAAAACCGACATACTCCAAGAATTCTATGAGCGTGAAGGGATCCTGCTTCAGACCTCCTGCACTGACATGCCTCAACAAAACGACGTCGTGGAAAGAAAACATCATCACATTTTGGACAGCGCACGGGCACTTCGTTTCCAGGATAGTTTACCACTTCGCTTCTGGGGCGAGTGTATCTTGACTGCCACTTATCTCATCAATAGGTTGCCGACCAAGGCTACAGGTAAGACTCCGTTTGAGGTTTTGTTTGGGAAACCTGCCACTTATCAACACTTGTGTGTTTTTGGGTGTTTGGCGTATTACAAAGATATGCATGGTCATTTGGACAAGTTCTCGGCACGAGGGCGCGCGAGAGTCTTCCTTGGGTATGCTCTTAGCCAAAAGGGATATCGGATCCTTGATTTGCAGAGTTAGAAGTTTATTACCTCTCCTGATGTTCAGTTCCACGAGAAGAAGTTCCCGTTTCAAGATGATGATGGTCGAGAACCATATTGGGTACCTCGACCAGTTTTTCAAACGGCAGAAGGCGAGTCAGCCGCGTCTACTCCTCTTCCGGATCGCCCCTCTTCGCCACTAGCTCCCACGCCCATCACTAGCATACCCCCTGTTGATGTAGAAAATTCGGGCTCATCACCATCGTCTTCCGATGCATTCAGCCCGTTGGTCAGTCCAACTCGTTCCTCGACCACCTCGTCCCTAGTCGTCGATGGGTCACCAGTCACTGGTAAGGACACTCTCAACTGTCCTCCCAGCTCTTCTCTGTCCCCACTGTCTGCGGGCTCTTCCCCTTGTGATGAGATGCCAGCGCCTCTGCGCAAAAGTGAGCACGTTCGTTTTCGGCCAAAGCATTTGGATGCTTATGACACTACTGGCTCTATTTGTGGTACACACTTTGCTCAATATCCCCTTGCTTCTTATGTTAGTTATGATCAATTTAAACCCACTTATCGTGCTTTTCTTGCAGTGGCGACCCAACACGACGAACCTACTTCCTTTCACAAGGCGGTTCTTGAGAAGTGTTGGCGGAATACTATGACCCGAGAGATTATTGCTCTCCAAGAAAGTGGGACGTGGAGTTTGGTGTTTTTACCACCTGCAAACACACGATCGCATCAAAGTGGGTTTACAAGATCAAATTTCTACCCGATGGTACGATTGAGCGCTATAAAGCGCGATTGGTAGCGAAGGGATACACTCAAATCGAGGGACTGGATTTTCAAGATACTTTTGCTCCCGTTGCAAAGCTTGTCATAGTTCATTGTTTGATTGTGGTTGCAGTTAGTCGAGGATGGTTCCTGCACCAGCTCGACGTCAACGCCTTTCTTCATGGGGATCTTGAGGAGGAAGTCTAAGATTCCTCAAGGATTTCGTGCTCCAAGAGATACGCGGGTGTGTATACTTCACAAGTCTATTTATGGTCTTCGTCAAGCATCTCGGAACTGGTATAAAAAAATCATTGTAGCGTTATGTGAGTTGGGGTTTCGAGCTTCGCTAGCGGACCATTCTCTCTTTATCTTTCGACCAGGGGGCATCTTTGTCGTCGCTCACATTTACGTTGATGACGTGATAGTGACAGGTAATGATTTATCGTTCATCATTAAAAGCCAAGCAGTTTCTCAAAGACCGGTTCAGTATTAAGGATCTTGGGAATTTTCGTTATTTTTTGGGAATCGAGGTTGCACGTACTGCAAATGGAATCTCTCTTAGCCAGCACAAGTACGTTTTGGATATTCTTGAGGATGCGGGTGTTCAAGGCTCTCGACCCGGTGAGTTTCGTATTGAATAAACCAACTAACGCGTCTGAGTGAAGATGTGTTAGCCGATCCTTCACCATATCGGCGCCTGGTTGGGAGGTTATTATATATGACTGTTACTCGACCGGATATCACTTATGCGGTGAACATCTTGAGTCAGTTTGTTCATGCGCCTAGCCAGATGCATATGGATGCAGCTTATCGTATACTTCGTTATCTCAACTCTCAAGACGTCTCCCGGGCAAAGGCTATTTTTCCTGGTTGTTAATCCTCTTCGACTTACTGCCTGTTGTGATGCAAATTGGGAAGGCTATCAGAGCAGTCGATGCTCGACCACAGGTTATTTTGTCAGTTTGGGTGGTGCACTACTGTCATGGCGCACTAAGAAGCAGCGTGTCGTTGCTAGATCTTCAGCTGAAGCAGAGTGTAGAGCCATGGCCAGCACAGTTAGTGAACTTATATGGCTTCGATGGCTACTTCGAGAATTAGGGGTGTCACCGTCTCGTCCTACGCCACTGCACTGTGACAATGAAGCAGCTCTTCACATTGCGAACAATCCGATTTTCCACGAACGCACCAATCATGTTGAGATGAACTGCTACCTCGTTCGAGAACGTGTCCAGTCACGCGAGATTCTCCCTGTCAAGGTTCATACGGAGTGGCAGCTTGCTGATATTCTTACTAAAGGTCTTGGGGCTGATCGGTTTCAATTCTGGAGGTCCAAGCTGAATGTGCGTGATCTCCACATGCCAGCTTGCGGGGGAGTATTAGGCCGAGAGAAGATCCAGCCCACAGCTGCTGCGTGTGCGTTCAAGGAGTCGTGGATGACAAGGAATACTACTCCTTGTAGGGATTGTTGCACTGACGTTTCATGTACTTGTGCCCTAGTTAATAGACGTGTTGATGGGCATATATATATTGATGTAAGGACAATGGACGAACCAACCTAATAAGAAAAACCCTATTCTCCTTGGATGTAACCTCACGCACCGTGAGGAAGAACCACGTTAAATTTCATGTTGTTTACGTCATCGCTAAATCTATTAGGTACCAAACTATAATTTGCATTTGGCCATGAATTCAAACCTAAATCCATTTGTTAAAAACCCAACCCAAACCAAACCAACCCAAATAAATGGGTATGAGACTATGGGTACAAACTCATCCTCTACCCATATCCATCTATTTGAATTTTATACCCAACCCAATTGGGTAGATTTTATGTATAGCCTTTTCACCACGATTCGAGGCACACTAGAGACATTTTTAAGTGCGTTTGAATAGGCAGTAGTCGAAATCGAAAGGCCATACAGAAGAATCCGGATGCAAGACGATCGAATCGAATGGCCACACAACCAGGGCCATAACATCACACATTTACAGGTCAAAGCTCATTGAATAGATACTGAGCAGTAGTAGCCGTCGAGGACTGTCGTTTCTCCTAAACCCATGAATTAACTTGTCCTGCTTTGGCAGCTAACCCCATTATTATTCACTGTCGTCAATCCTTAAGCCCACAAGATGAATATCCCATCTCATAGTACTATAAATAGGGTCGAGTTTTGCATATTTTAACCATCACATTATAAGCAGTACCATCTAATCTGGCATATATAATCACCACATATTGAATAAGAAAATGATGATGATGATGGGGAAGAAGGCTACAGACATGAAAGCTGCAGGAAGGACTGCTCTCATCTTCCTCATCGTGGTCGCTCTGTTTCTCGCTTCAGGCGACAACAACAGCATCAGTAAGTTCAGCAATCATTTCCTTCTTTTCATAAGCAATCATTGTTTTCTTATATATATGATGGGATTTGGACACGGGGGAAAAATTGCAGTGGTGGGAGGAACAACTTGCAGCAAGAGGAGACACTCGCTTTCCTCCTCAGAGACCTGCTGCTCAATAGCAGCTAGTACCGGATTGAAGCTGCAGAAGCTGCTGAAATTGAACCCGGGAATCGACTGCGAAAGTAACCTCCAAGGCCAACTAATCTGCATTCAGGGCTAGCTATTCCCCACTTTGGTTACAATGTGCTGATATACCACTACTGCAATACTCTTTCCTTTTTGCTTTTGGACTTGTATCAGCAATCATCATCAACGTTATTACGTTTCTTCAGAATGATCGATGTTTTGAGCTTTGTAGTTGGCTTCCCTATGTTGCTGGTTTAATTCTAAAGGTAAAACTCCTCTGGAGTTGTTTGCTGGGAGAGATACCCCATGTATTTGATGAGCTTGCTTATCTTTCATGTGAAATTCTATCGTAATTCGAAAAATCGTCTCAATTAGGATTGAGAACTTGGAGGCATTTGCTCGTCTAACTACTACGATTACTCTTATCCGAATTTACACAAGCAATGTTGATAATCAATGATGTTGGCTTGTTACGAGTAGAATAGGAGTAATACTTGACTTGGAATTAAGCGAACAAGGTCCTAAATTATGTCACTCCGTAGATTGTCGTCTTATTAATACTTTTGTATGACGGGTTCTTGACTAAAAACTTTGGTGGATGATTCTACATGATTTTTCATACAATTATTTTCTTATTATTTATGACGAGTGGATAGCTCCGCACAGTGGTTCGAAACTATCTCATCCCTTAGATACTAGACAAATTAGCAATTTCACATTCAACTGTCATTGTATTTTTTTTTTTTTTTTCCTTTTCATTTAGTTGAGTTCTCCCCTCAAAATGTCATTAATTGACTAAATTTGTATGCCTATTATTACCATATATGGATGGATTAAAATTTTAAAATATAGTATAGACCTTAAAATAACCGGCTTCTACATAAACAATTAACATAACAGTTTGTATCCATGGAAATGATTTAACAAAATTTCTAGATATATCGATTCTACCCATTGTCATCCACAATAATTAGATCTGAGATTATGAAAAAAAGTGTTTAGGAGAGGTGTTTTTCTTGCAAAATTATGTCAGACCTTAGGGCCCACCCACCACAGTAATTAGTAGCCCTTCTACTAATTATTCTTTTCCTTTTCTGGCAGAGTTCCATTTATCTTGACAGCAGCCATTAATTGACGACCATGTGAAATAGTTTCAGTTTGCCCCTTCTTCCCCTTCTTCCCTCCTCATTATTCTATCAACAAAAGACCAATCCATATCCATTCTCAAGCTCTCCTTTTCACTCAAGATATCTTTGTCTCTTCTTCTTCTTCCACAAATCCCAACTTGCTTGATGTCATGGGTTCTGTCACTAAAGCTCCTTCCTTTTTGAGTTCCTTATATTTAGTTATTTACTGAAAAAACTGGTTCTGGCTGGTTATGTCATGTAATCATGTGAAAACGGCTGGTGCCCTTCTGTCACCTATTTTCTGCGCTCACTCACGGTTTCTCGCTGCACCAAGCTAGAGTTGTCTTCACGATTAGTCATTGAAGAACAAACTACTAGCTCCAAACTAGGTCTTTGAAGGCTTAATAGCGATATTAATGACAAGCACAACTGGATTTGCGAATCTTTCTTCCTGGATTATAATAATGATTCCATTGAACCAGCTAAGATGGTATGGCAGGCAGTAAACAGGCAATGGGGTGTTCTTCATTTTCTTTTCTTTTCCCTCCCAACCACTCTCATTTACTTCCCACTTGTTTATTCATGGAGGATAAGAGTCAACTCTGCAGTTCTTCCCCAATCACTGCACCTCAAAGGCCATTTTGTTGAATTTCATTGCTTCTGGCCATTGATGAATGAATCAAGTTGGCCATGAACAGATAAAAGCATGTTTGACTAAGGAGGAAAGAAAATGACTGCAAAAACAAATATTTCCCTGCTTCAAACTTCAACTGGGATTGTTATGAGTGGGAACAAGGTGGGAACCCGAATTTTTTCTTTAAGGAGAAAAGAAAGGGGACATCCCATTCTGGGAGCTGACTTCTTCAACAGGTGGTTGATGTCCACTACCATATGAATGAGAAAGACAATAATATGCTTGCGGCCGTGCCAACCCAGGAAGCAAGTTCGCATCTTTCTTAGGAGCACGATGTCCCTGTAAAATAAGATTTTGATTGAGAGGACCTCTGTTTTTTGGACTCGGGTTTTGGCACCATGGGAGTAGGAGGAGGAGCTTGTGCTATTGTCTTTCTGTTCTTCAACCTTTTGCTGCTCTCTCACCATTCATTCTCTCATCCCTTGTGTATTGATTCAAGTAAGTTCCTTCACTCTTTTGTGGTTTCTATGTTCCGTTCTTCAATTCCAGTTTGGCACTTCCTCTCTGTTTTTATCTCTGCAGAACTGATTTGTGCTCTATTTTTTTCTGGACTGTGTTGCTTGCAGCGGCTCCTTTGACCTTGAATGCCTCTCTCAGTTTCTGTAGCTACGATGGAAGCTCCTGCTGCAACTCTGCACAAGATTCTCAATTGGCAAAGCAGTTTCAGGCCATGAAAATCTCTAACCCTGGATGTTCATCTCTACTCAAATCAGTCGTTTGCTCTGTAAGACAGAACCCTTTTGCCTCCCCCCACACTTCCATTTGCAGGAAAAAGAGAACAGAAAACTAAAAAGTTCATATCTTTCTTGATTTAATCATCTACCCATCAATTCTTAGTGATTATTCCCCATCTGGGTTTCCGTGGTTTTTTGTTTTCGTTTTTTTGGCAGAGATGCGATCCATTTGCAGCAGAATTGTATCCAGCGAAACGCCCTGTTCCTGTTCTCTGCAACTCAACCGTTGCAGCAACTTCATCACAGTCAAACCAAGCAGACACAAACTTCTGTTCCCAGCTGTGGGATACATGTCAAAATGTCTCCATGCTCAACTCTCCTTTTGCTCCTTCACTAGGAGGCCAAGCTGGATTACCAAACAACTCCAATTCTACCAAGCTCACTGACCTCTGGCAGTCCAAATCCGATTTCTGCACCGCATTTGGTGGTGAATCTGCAGATGATTCAGTTTGCTTCGGTGGAGAACCGGTTCAACTCAATACCACCGGAACAAGTACTCCCCCAGCGCCACCAAATGGCCTCTGCCTGGAGAAAATTGGCAACGGTTCATATCTGAACATGGCTGCTCACCCTGACGGGTCGAACCGAGCATTTTTTGCCAACCAACCCGGTCAGATTTGGATGGCTACTATACCAGACCAAGGGTCCAAGACAACAATGGGAGTCGATGAAGCCAGCCCTTTTCTTGATCTAACCGATGTGGTCAACTTCGATACTGAGTTTGGGATGATGGGCATTGCATTCCATCCTAACTTTGCACAGAACGGCAGGCTTTTTGCGTCTTTCAACTGTGATAAGGTCAAGTGGGCGGGCTGTAATGGGCGGTGCTCGTGTAACTCTGAGGTGAATTGTGATCCTTCAAAGCTGGCTCCTGATAATGGTGCTCAGCCGTGCCAATACCAAACTGTTGTTGCAGAATACAGTGCCAATGCCACGTCCACCACTCCTTCATCGGTACATTTTTGTGTCTTGGATAACAAGTCATCAGGAAGCTGTTTTCCTAGTGGATTTCTTTGACTGATTGTTGTTTGCTGGGTTTTTTTGGTTATGCAGGCGACATCTGCGAAACCGGCTGAAGTGAGAAGGATATTCACAATGGGCCTTCCCTTTAGGTCTCACCATGGAGGGCAGATTCTGTTTGGACCTGACGGTTATCTCTACTTCATGATGGGGGATGGTGGCGGTACAGGGGATCCTTACAACTTTGCACAGGACAAGAAGTCATTGCTTGGGAAGATCATGAGACTTGATGTTGATAACATCCCAAGTGAGTATCTTGCAGCTATAGATATAGCGGTTAGATCTTTTTCCCAAGCTGACACAATCCGTTTGGGTACTGAGGTTGGGACCTGGTTTTCCGACCCATATGAATCTCCCCCAAACCACAAACTTGATTGGTACTATTCACCAGGAGAAATTAATTACAGTGGTATAATAGAATCAACTACTGGATATGGAACACACCCCACTGTCCGGAAAATTTACTCCGTTTTCTCTGTTGTGTGTACTTGTGTTCAAACTCTTCGTTGATATCAACCTGTATTAAACAGCTGCTCAAGAAATAGCAAACAACAGCTTTTGGGGAAACTACTCCATCCCTAGTGACAACCCATACAAACTAGATGCTGATCTGCAACCTGAGATATGGGCACTTGGGCTCAGAAATCCTTGGCGCTGCAGTTTCGATTCAGCAAGACCCTCCTACTTCCTGTGTGCAGATGTTGGACAGGTCTTTATTGCTGTCATTTCACCAAAACATTCTCCAATTAATCATGGTCTGCAATCTGGACTGCTTACCTTGACCTCTAACGCTATCTCTGCAGGATCAATATGAGGAGGTTGACTTGATCACCAAGGGAGGAAACTATGGCTGGCGTGTCTTCGAAGGAAACTATGCTTACAAGCCTCCAGCAACCCCTGGAGGAAACACACTTCCAAGCTCAATCAACCCAATCGCCCCAATAATGGGATACAACCACTCTACTCTGAGCAAGAATGAAGGGTCGGCTTCGATAACCGGAGGTTACATCTACCGCTCCCAAACCGATCCATGCATGTCTGGAAGGTAAGTTGATGAAAATCAGGTTCATCTGGCTGCCCTGCCTGCAGAATATGGTTAAAACTTTTGGAATGTGGCAAATGCAGGTACCTGTATGCAGATTTGTATGCCAGTAATGTGTGGGCAGGAACCGAAACACCTGAAGATAGTGGGAACTTCACTGCCAATTCAATTCCTTTCAGCTGCGCGAAGGACTCTCCTATCCCATGTACCACTGTTTCAGGAAGTGACACCCCATCCTTGGGGTATATTTTCTCCTTTGGCCAAGATAACAACAACGATGTGTTCCTTCTAGCCAGCAGTGGTGTGTATAGAGTTGTCCCTCCAAGCCGTTGCAATTATGCTTGCTCGAAGGAGAATGCAACGGCAGCTGCTGGCAGCCCTGCTCCTTCTGCTCCAGGCGCATCGTCTGCAAGTCAGCTGCAACGCAGTAGCAGAGTTGTAGTCCTCCTGTTGGCTTCCTTGTTATTTATGTTCAGTTGTATCTAATTTGTCATAGCAGCTCGTAAGCCCCGGCATTTTGTTTATCAGTATGAGACATTTTGTGGCTGAGTTTATTTCTCTGTGATTGCTGTTCTTTTTTTTTTTTCAATTGCCTTTTGTGACTATAAACAGACATGTAAGACTCCACTTGATTCAACTAGTTGGTACATCTGCACCTGATTTTCACCACCCTCTTACTGATACAAGCTATTTCACCTACAATGATCACCCTCTTCTATTATCACTCCGGAAATGACAAACAGATGTTTGAATGACTTCCCCCAAAACCTTCTCAAAAGGCACCACACTAATAATGGTCAGAAGCTACTAGCATATCATAAACCTTACACTTTTCCCCTGGACCAATCTCCACTTTTCCCACCGGTCTTGCCCTCAAGCTGCACGTCCGTTATCCGGATATCTTTAGAAGCAGCCTTGCACATATCATACACAGTTAGACCAGCAGTAGCCACAGCAGTTAATGCTTCCATTTCCACACCAGTTTTCCCCGTCGTTGCAGCCTCCCCTTTGATCTCCACACTGTGATCTTCAGGGTTCAGCACGAGATCGACACGGAGGTGACTCAATGCAATGTTATGGCAAAGCGGGATGAGCGTACTCGTTTGCTTTGCTCCATTAATGCCAGCTATCTTGGCCACAGTAAGGACATCTCCTTTAGCCATTTGGTTGGCCGAGACCATATCAAACACCTTCTCCCCCAAAACCACCTTGCAACTGGCAATAGCTACTCTCTTAGTTGAGTCCTTTGCAGATACATCCACCATTTGAGCTTCTCCTCTACTGCCGACATGGGTCAAACCACTCAGATTGTTGTCTCCACCATCGGGTATATGAGAGAACTTGTGACGGGATAGCTCTTGCGCTGTATTGCTGTCAGTAAAAGAAAGGGGAAGCTCTTGGGATTTCAACTGAGGCTGCTGCTCTTCAACAAGAGGATTGGTGCTAACTGAACCAGCTAATCCACTAGGGGGTACTTCACCAAAGACCACTTCCATTTCCTAAAACCAAATTGGGGAAATAAGTATACAAATTACCAAAGTTCAGAGCTTTTGTTTCTTCTAACTCCTAAAGACTCCCAAAATGAAGCCAACGTGAAATAGAATAACCATAACCAAACTCTGATCATGAATTAAGCCTGCTCTTAAATTCGATTCTATTTTGCGCAAACAATATACAGGGAAGAATCAATTTGGCTCTGAAAAGGGATTCCAGTTTGCATCTAACCTTATTCATCTCGGCAATCGCACTCCCAAATGCATCATGGAATTTGCTGGTACTGAAGAACCTCCTAGAGCGCGAGAAGGCTGCCGCAGCTGTTCCTCCGGCGGTAAACATTGAGGGCGGGCGGGAATAAAACGATTTCACTGCAAGAAAGAGAAGTCGAAAATCAAAATAAGAGGGAAAAGTGCAGGATGTTGCAGAGTATACAAGTGCAACAACTTCATTTGTAAATAAAAGAAGTTCTTGCGATTTCTACCAAGGCGGAGGCGGTCGGAGCGACGATCGGCTATTTCGGTGGCGGCCTTAGGTGATGGAGGGTGAGACGAAGCAGGGAGGCAGAGAGGTGGTCGGGCGGCGAGAGAATGAGAGAGAAGGGAGGAACGGCGGCTGGGTTTTGCGGAAGTCGCCGGCGTCCTTTTGTTTTTAATTTTTATATGGTCTTCTCTTATCTCACTGGGCCGGCTTTGACATGGGCTTAAAGACACTTTCTATATCTGCTGCCAAATTGGTCAATTCCTCCGCTTGCACAGTTGCACCGCAGTCCGCTTCCATGTTTCCATTCACTTGTAGCAACTAGCAAGACTACGAGAGGAGACAATCCCAGTTTAAAGAACTATTTAACAGATTCGAATCTAGAACGTTCAATTTCTAAATTATAGATCAACCATAGAGTCGTTAGATCAAGCCTAGTTTGCTAGCGTTTGTGTTACTTCAACTGTTTTGTCTCTGTCCAGTCTCCTATTCTTTACTCTTTAGAGTTATGCATTGTGGTGGTGGATGAAGCAACAATGTCTACGACTCGTAGAAGGGTGAGATTAGATGGATACGACGGCTCCAGTATGTTGTTTGCTTTTGAGGGAGTCTTCACTGGCATTATTGATCCTACCTTGATGGAGATGTTGGCTTTTCGAGAGGTTGTGATCCTACCTTGATGGAGATGTTGCATTGTGAGGTTTCTGGTTTGTTTTAATATATTTGTGGTCTGCATTAAAACATTTCTGGTTTGCTTTTGTGGTTTGTTTTACCGTGTTTGTGGTTTGCATTAGGAGGTTTCTGATGTGCTTTTCGCAAATGTTGTGGTTTTCTTTGTGAGGTTTGTGGTTTGTTTTAGGAGATTTGTGGTATGCATTAAAAGGTTTCTGGTTTGCATTAAGAAGTTTCTGGTGTGCTTTCGAAACTTTTGTGGTTTGCTTTGCCGGGTTTCTGGTTTGTTTTAATATATTTGTGGTCTGCATTATGACATTTTTGGTTTGCTTTGCGGGGTTTCTGGTTTGTTTTAATAGATTTTTTTGTTTGTATTAGGACGGTTCTGGTTTGTTTTTGTGGTTTGCTTTATAAGTTTTTTGGTGTGTTTTTGAAAATTTTGTAGTTTGTTTTGTAAGGTGTCTAGTTTGTTTTAGGGGATTATTGGTATGCATTAGGAGGTTTATTGTAAAAATGTTTATATTTTTTTATGATATTTCTAGAGTGCTTTTAAGAGATTTGTGATTTCAATTAGCAAATTTATGATATGATTTGTTGAGTTTCCATCCCATCTTCTAGCCCCATAGATGGTAAATGGTAAAACTTGAAATCAAATGAGCAGATCTGACTTTCATAGTGATTTAAATCTTGTAAAATTAAATTATTTATTCCTTCTCAATCGTTACTGATCTTTTATAATATATGTAAATGGAAGACAACTACGACGCCACCCACCGCTCCACACCAGTCCCGCCGCCTGCCTAGATCTGTGCCACTTCATCTCTTCCTCCTTCTCCGTCGACGAACTACTCCGGCCTAGGTACTTACAAATTACAATCCACCAGCAAGAAAAGAAAATTTATTGATGAGCACCAATTTCCATTCCCCGTTTTCAGAGTAATGAAAATAATCCCTGGTGCTTGATTTTTCTTGCTGCAGGCAACTCGAGGGAGAAGAGGTATTTGAACGTCACTGGATGGAAGAAAAACAGAGACCGAATTCCGACGTAGGCGCCGGTGCTGCCTCAATCGTTGCCGCCACACATGGCGACTCCAATCCCAGAGTTCAGATTTGAGGCGATATGGCTGTGGCCTCACCGATTGCTGACCGAATGGCGCAATCCATGGCGAAGGAGATTCTCTTCGATATCATGACCACCAGAACTGAAATCCAGATCCAGATTTCATAATCCTCTTTGCCAGGAAGCTCATATGTTATCGACTGTAACTTCCGGCTGTGGCTCCGCTAAACTGACCGAGTCTTCGCCTCTCTACCTAGAACTAAGGCTCGTCGGCGCTGCAGTCGATGTGTTCGCTGTAGAGACAACAAAATAATTTCTAATTCCAAAGAAGCGGGGTTGGGGTAACGAATTGCCGGTACCGTCAGCCTCTCCAACGGCCTTCGAAGGCCGGTGACGGCAACAGAGAGTGTTGCAGGCCGAAAGAAGAAACCGATAGGGATGAGGAGGAGATGCCGGAAGAGATGGGGTAGAGGAGAAACGGGTTACACAAATATTTTAATTTTTGTTTATTATCTGTATTGGCATTTTACTGTTATGCCTTTATTGTTAGTATAACAACACTTTTTAGTATAACAATACTTAAATGTTGTTATACTATCCGCACCCTGATTTCACATATCTTGTGTGTCATTGAATCAACGAAGGTACCTTCTCATTGTGGTTATTTCGATATTGCCTAGTTCATCCGAAAAAGGATTTAGGGTCGTTTGCTTGTTGGATTTGGGTCATGGATTTGGTACCCAAATCCCAAGTTTGATGGATTTAACATAAGTCCATTGTTTGTTGAAGGGTAGAGATGAACAAACACACCCGCAAACTGACCCACCCGTCCAGCCCGACCCAGCCCACTCGTATTTATTGCTAAAACGACGGTTTTGGGTTGGGTGAGGGTTTTCTTTTGTACAACCCGCCTCTTTTGGTTTGGATTTTGGATTACACAACCCGTAAAACCCGACCCAACCCGTGTTCCAACTATTAGTATGAGTTCGGATCTAAAATCTATTTATGTAGTATATAGTCATATACTTATGAGAAAATTAAGATATTTCGCCATGTTTTTCTCCAATGGTCTCCCTAATCTAATGCATTCTTCGACTTAAAGTTTAGACATAAATTGAATATAGTTATGATTCACGTAATCTTTTTTCTTGTGTACAATTTTAATAGAATAACATATGATGGATGCGTTTGCTTATAACATTTTTAGCCTATTTCAACAAATATCGTGAAAAAACAAGGCATATGTTGAAGTAAATAACATTTTATTAAAATTTAAACAACATTTGTGAATTTTCATACCTTTCACCTTGGTTCATTCATTTGAAATTTTAATTAGTTATAAAATATTTTTATGATGTAGAATAATTATATATTTTATGTTGGGTTGGGTTTTACTTAAAAATATCGCCAACCCGACCCAACCCAATTAGAAACAAACCGTAGGGTTTAATTTTTTTTGGGTGGGTTTGGGTTTGATATTTCCCAAACCGTAGTGCATGGGTCGGGTGATTAAAATGATTAAACTCGAACCACCCGACCCATGTACACCCCTATTGAAGGGTGCTAAATCCGTGGGGTCCACGAATTTTGTCTTTATTTTGGAACCAAATCCGTGGACCTCACGGACTTGTAAATCCTTGATGGTTAGTTATTTATTTAACAAATCCATCATCAAATCTATCATGCAAACATTAGACTCTTTAAATACATAATCCAATAAATTCAACATAAATCCAAAACCCTAATTTTCAAATCCAACAAGCAAACAACCCCTTATATGACCCAAAACGGAAAAACCCTCCCCCACAGCAAAAGACCGGAAACGAAAAAACCAAACACCAACTTCCTCCACCGAGGGAGAGAAACTCGGCAGCCAAGTTTCCGATTTTCAATTTCCTGGGAAATAGGGTAGACTGGAAGAAAGTGTTGCGAGTGAATCAATGAGAGGAGAGATGATGGTCTTTCCTTCTCTTTCCCCGTTCTCAACCTTGTCTCCCTTTCGTCTTCCAATGGCGGAAACCTGACTTCCTGAAAACCCTTGATCTTGTACATGTAATCCTCCCTACATTAGCTCTACCTTCCCCCCTTTCGATCTCCCTTCTGTTGACCCCTAACTAACTATGTCGCGCGACCAACCTTCTTCCTCCCCTCCTAACCCGATCTCTCCTTCCCAAACCCCTAAACCCGCCGACGACTCCCACGGCGAGACCGACGGCGCCGTCGCCAGTAAACCCCAGCCTACCGACCCCGCTACTCCCACTACCTACCGCACTAATCGCCCTTCTCGCGCTTGCACGCTCCGCGCTGCTGCTAAGCTGCAGCAGCAGCAGCAGGCTAAGCAGAAGCCCAAGAAGGACCACCGCCAGCAGCAGCGGCGGCGGCGGCAGGAGGAGGAAGAGGGGGATGAGGACCAGGAGGAAGACGATGAAGACGGCGGAAGTGGGGATGAGGCGTCGCTTCATAGTAAAGACCAATGTAGTACTGGTGCCAGTAAGATTGTGACTTCCTTGGTGGCTCCTCCGGAGCCCGCTCAATTGCCCCGGTGGAACCTCCGCTCCATGTGGGAATTGGCTTCAGTACTCAATTTCTTGCATGTGAGAGGCGCTTCTCCTTTTTAGCTTTTTGGCTTTTGTTTCAGTTGCTACGGCCTTCCTTAAATTTCTTCCCTTTTTGGGTCTCGCTTATCCTATTGAAATTTCGTGATTTTGACGGATGTTCTTGGTTTTATGATTCTAGGTCTTTAGACCCTTGTTGAACATTCAAGTTGAATTCTCGGCCGAGGAGTTTGAGACGGCTCTTCTCTCACCCAATGACACATTGGGGGAGATTCATATGCCATTGTTAAAGGTTGGTGCTTTCTGTTCCATGTCGTAAAATTTTCACTTAGTTCAACTTAAGCTACTTGATACATGAGTTGAACTTGTTGTTCTTTTGTTTGCAATTGGATAAATGTACATTAGGCAAGGTTTGAGTCTATACCTTTGTTGCTATGGATTCTAAGCAAGATGGTGGACTGGAAATGTTTCACGCCTGTGTTAATGAATTTGGTTTCAGCAAACAAAGACATCTCACTCCCTGGGATCTTATATTTTTTTCCCACATTGTCGATTGACTGTGAACTGCAGTTTCTCAGCTGTTGAACTTTCTGGGAACTTTAGGTGCGACGAATTAGTTCTTTGATCTCTCTGGATACTCGGAGAGGGCTAACTTTATTTATTGATATCAAGTTGCAATTGCTATGGTTGTTGAAATGTTTGTGTGAATGTCTTCTGAGATTGGACATGGTAACTTAGGAGTTTGGGTAGATATAGGAGGTTCCAGATGAATGAGTTTCATGTATCTCGAATAATGGTGGATTAGTTCTCTTGTTTAGTCTAAGATTTGGCGATTTGCTGCTGAAGGAATGATCTTTGTAGCTATTTGGTTATTGGAGGGATTTGAAATGCTTTGTTTGGTTTGGCACAATCTGGGTGAGGTGGTGGACTGTTGTTGCAGAATCTAGGATGATATTATAAACTGAAGGTGCTTCATTATGGTTAGAGTTGAGCTACTTCACTGGCATTTCAAGTCAGTTTTCAATCAGAGTGCCTGCTGACAGATAGATTCGGCAGGAATGATGGAAGGTATAGGTTTTTATACTGATCATGCGAATGCTAACTACAATTGGTACTTTTCTGGATGTGAAATTACTGATGCACCCACATCCTATCTAAGAGGTCACTTGAAGTTTGGGATGGTACGTTTAAGTATATGATGTTCCAGCCACTGAGAATACACTTCTGAACTGGTTTTCACCTGTATATTATGGAAACAGCCAATTTCGAGAATAGAGATACGGCAAAAAAGTCCACATGACCACCTGGTAAATCTGGACAGCAAGTGAAGATGTGTGATATTATGATGCAGCTTCGTATGGATAGTCTAGCAAAGAGTTTATTCTCTCTGACTAGTTCTTACGAGCTCTTTGAGAATTCCTTCTGTCAGTATATTTCGAGATAATCTGCAAATTATTGCTGCCTGATGGGTGCCCATGGGGAGGCTTGGCTTGATGGAAACTCTTCTTGTGAATGCTCTGTTTATGATTGACTACATACACTACCGTATTAGGGATTTGCAAACTGGAGGAAATAATTTGTATATTCTTCCCCTACCATTTTTAATTTTTGTATGCAGTTTGACGAGGTTTGTACTGTTCCTTGTCAGATGGATACTAAATGCTACTTTAACCTCATATACTGATTCCCAGTTCTTGCTATTGCAGGCAATACCTCCTATTACTCGGACGGCTCTTACTCGGGATACATGGGTTACAGTTTTGTGCAGAAAACTAAGAGACTGGTGGCATTGGGTAAGTCCAGCATTTCAATCCAAACTGAATTTTGACACTCTGCACTTGACATAGGTCATCTAGTTGCAGAATGCTAAGATGAGTATTGTATTTGCTTGCAGGTTGCAGATGGAGATCTTCCATTAGTTGCTTCACATGGGTGAGTAGTGATGAATGGGCATCTGTTTTTGTCTGTCTTTTGACTTCTCAACTTGTCTGAATTACTTAATTTATTATTTGCTTTTGATGGCTAGGGCGGAGGTTGAAGCATATAAAACACTGGAGCCTGCTGTTCGTGTGGTGATCCTGAAGGCACTATGTGATATTCGTGTTGAGGTATGACGTCTTATTCTATGTCAGTCGATCTTGTGAGCTATGGTGTTGGTCCAAATATGTATTTGTTTTATTTAACTATTCAGGGATCTTCTTGGTTATCGATCTAAATATTGTATCATCATAATTCATATCTGACTTTGTTACCTAGTGATTTTTGGTAAAGTATATTGTGAAAATGCACCGTAATGGAATTTAGAATTGGATAATATTAGTAACTTCCTTTTTGTTTGATTTCCTTGTATATCTGCACCACCACTTCACTCATTTTTACCTATTGGATGAATTTTTTTTTTTTGTGGCGATTTACAAATCGTAAGTGAAATTTTCATCTCTTTGATGTTATGCAACAAAGGAATTGGCTTCCTTTAAGATCTGGACTTGTTCTCTTGTCTTTTAAATATTATTTACTCTGGTGACTGGTATTATACATTTCTAAGTTATTGCTTTGCTAGCTGAACCCTTTTTGAAGTTTCCACTTCTTTCTGGAGAAACAATTTTCTGGTTGTTGGAATTCTAATGTTATTTGTGTGTTCTCTGTATACTTGGACAGTTGGACATTTAGCATGATTTCCTTATTGGCGACTGGACATTAATGCTCTTTTCCGTTTTTGGATGATACATATTCTTAATCGCATTATCGACGGAAAACTAACTCGAATGATGTTCTGCAGCAAGAAGACATACGGAACTATATTGACAGCTCTATTAAGCATGGTGCTCAACTGCTACTGTTCCGAAAAGAACGTGTTGGGGGTGATTCTCAGGGGATAAATTACTGGTATGAAACCGTTATTATAAAATCATGAAACTTGAGTATTTTGATTTATCAATCTTGCATTATATATTACAAGCTCTTGATTCAGATTTTTTGTTGTTGGTGGTGAAGGTATGAACCTGATGAAATAGTAGGCCACCGGTTATACCGGGAAATAAGAACAGCAGAAGTGCAGACAAAAGGGAAGACAAAAGGTTCCAAAGTCCTTCCTTCTACAGTATACCAGTGGGAAACTGTTGCGACGAATTTTGATGAATTTGTGGATGTCTCTGTAAGTTAATTTACTTATTGTCCTATTTGAACTCGATGGCATGGTTGTTCCCTTATTTTAGAATTGTTAAACTGCACCTAATCCCCTACTACACAAAGTACCTCTTCAAGTTCTTAAAATTTTGAGTTTGCAGACAAAATGGTGGACTTCATTTCTAAAAAGCACTGATGTTTTTTCATTGTATGCAAAGTTGAGGTTTATGTTGTCGGCCAGTTAACTCTGTTCATTTGTATGCAAAGTTGAATTAGACAATGAGTCCACATATATTCGTGTTCTCCATTCTTACTGTAATCATCCTTGTCCTCGACTCTATGTAATTAGAGGGAGAGGTCTGAATTGTACTTCCATCAATGATATCTCAAATATACAAGGTGTACGACCTTGGATATTTTGAGAATGATGAGGAAAAGTTGCTTCAACTTGCTTCCTGCTCCTAACATCATTTTAGTTTCCTCATTTTTCCTGTCTATCCATTGTCGCAGGAGAAGCTTTTTACCAGTAAAAATAGAACAGAGGCTTCATTAGGGAAGAAGCTAAAAAATGACTTGCTCCAGGACATTGAGAAGGTTCATAAGGTACTTGTTTGATGTATCTTAAAATGATGATATGGAATGGGCTAGTGTAGTAGTTCATCTATTGTGCACATCTAATTGATCATATATTCTGTGTGTTCCTTCAGAGGAAAGAGCGTTTGATGAAGAAGCAACACAGACAAGCTCTACTCTTAGATAACTATATGCATGTGGATGGGCTAGCAGCAGGTCGCTCCCTGCGTGATAGAAAGCCTGTCACTTACACTTTCGGTAAGAGATAATTTGTATAGATAAAAACAATAATTTTTTTTTCTTTTTATATGATCCTTGGACCTATCTGCAGCTCTGATTCTTTGTTGATGTTGCAGATGACTATGACCGATCAATAAATGAGGCCATCAAAGTAACCAAGTACGAGCTTTCTCCCCGTTTTCCTGGTAGCATTTTTGTGCAGGGACCAACCAAATTAGACTCTTAAGTTGCTATATCCCTTTTATAGGAACAAACCTTCATCCCCTGAGCATGGTCACAGAAGAGAAGGCATGTTCAGACCTGAAGCTTCTGCAAATGGTGGATGGGGTGGTCCATCAAATTCAACAGCAGCTCATCATGGCAGCTCTTTCAGTGCCATGTCTCCCCTTTCATCTGATTATGATTTCGTTGATAGTGATCAAAATAATAATAAAGAAGATGAATTGGATCGAGGGTAATGATAGCTTCTCTACTGCTGAATACTTCTACTAACACATTAGTATATGTCACCTGATTCAGCTGTTTTAACAACGGTTTTGTAGCAACAGACGCCGACAGAGGCCACAGCGGTATTCGGAAAGAGATTATGTGGAGGCTATCTCAGACAATGAACACGACTTTGATAGTGATGATGATATTGTTGGGGAAGCTGTTTATGATGATGAGTATTTGAAGAAGAGAAAAATGAGGAAGCTCTCAAGTAGCTCTGAAGGAGATGATGAATACAAGTTGGATGGAGAAAATGGCGAGGAGGAAGAGGAAGAAGAGGAGGAGGATTCCTTGAGTGTTAGTGATGAGGAGAGCGATGATCCTCATAACAAATTCAAGAAGTTAGCAGCAGGGCGCACTAGGAGAGAGACCAAGTTGAGGTTGGTCGGGGATCTTCAGTCAGGTTTAAGACGCAGCAAAAGGTCTACAAGAAACCGGATTAATTACAAGCAGTATGAGCCATCGGACTCAGAGCCAGAAGCTGCAAAACAACGAGATAACCACTCTGGTGCCAGTGAGAATGGAGAGTTCTCAGCTGGAAGTCAAGACTTTGATGATGGTAATGAAGAGGAGGGGGTGGAGAATGATGATGATGATGATGATGAACAAGATATGAAAGTAGATGATCAGCAGCCTGTTGAAGGGTACATGGAAGGGTACTCTGAACCGGCAGTGAAAGAAGAAAGTAAGCCACCTGAGAAATCAAGTAGCCCACCACCGCCAGGTGGTCAAGATGATGCGATTGGAGTAAAGAAAACACAGTTCCTCGATCTAAACGAAATGGCTCCAGGTTCTGGGTTTGATGATGGTCCGAATATACTAATGAAAGATGAAGAAAATAGAGATGATTTTTGAGCTCTCCCCCTTCCCCGTATTAGGGTTTCTTGATCTCCCCTGGGGAAAGCTCAGTGTACGATAGTGGAAAGAGCTTTGTTATAAATTTTGGATTGTCCATCCATGGTGGAAAAAGGTCAGGTCAGGGATAAGGATTTGGGTTCTTCTTCCATGGTGTGTTAATCAAGCTACTACCTCAATGCAAAGAATACGTTCATTAGAAGGCTCGGTTTGCAGCAGCAATGGCAAGCAACTTGATTGAAGGTGAGAGTCGGCATATCATGTAGATTAGGACATTAGGTAGCCAGTTTCTTCTTTCTTTCTTTCTTTTGTTTTTGCCTTTTTGGGTTCCCCTGGTATTTCTACGTCAATAGAATAGAAGTGAAAGACCAAAGGATGAAAGAGAGAATTTGTGGGGGAAGCAGTAAAATTGTCTGAATCAAACATTCTACAACTATCCCTTAACCCCAAAGATTGCAACTTGAAAACAATTTGCCTTCCCCTACGCCGGTGGCGGCAGCCGCCGCGTAGTACTATCGCTTCATCACCACTGGATTCGCAGAATCCCTTAACAAGTTCTATTTCATAACCCTCTGACCCCTGTGAACGATTTTCCCTTCTCTTTCTGTCGTCTGTGATCTTGTTTATGACTGTGGTCTTCACTATTTGAAAATGGCGGTTACATGCATGTATTAAAAATCTGCCCTACTCGGACAATCTAGTGAGGGGCTACCCCATTATCCGGCAACATCGCAACCCCATTTTCCGGCGAACCATTAACCATGCCAACTACTTTCTTCTCCTTCTCTTCCACCAGCTTCCTTGCCGCAGCCACCTCCCTCTCCATCTCAGCCGCTTCCTTAGCCTCCTCCATAGCCAGAATCAACCTTGACAGACAAGTATCCGCATCATCCAAAGGCGATTTCGGCATCAGATTCTCAGCAACATCAGCAGGGGTGATCTTCATCTCCTTCATCAACCTCTCCACGGTCGCGAACATCGGATGATCGTCGCCTTCTTCTTCGTCCAGCTTCAGATAGTTCCTCGCCAGCACTTTAAACGCCTCGAAACTGCAGTAAGAAAGCTCGATATGCTTGTCCATCCTCCCTCTCCTTATCAGAGCCGGATCCAGCTTCTCCACATAGTTCGTCGTGAACACAATCAGCCTCTCCCCTCCACAAGCTGACCATAATCCGTCAATGAAATTCAGCAGCCCAGACAAAGTAACCCTACTACTCCCGACTCCGCCTCCTGCTGCCGCAGCAACGGCGGCTGCCGCCGGATCGAGATCCCTCCGACCACCACCAATCTCCTTCTCGATCTGCTTCCCGTCCCTCTCCTCATCCGACACCCACTTCTGATTCTTCTTCCTCTGCCCCGTCAAATCGAGCGAGCAATCGATGTCCTCGATCACGATAATCGACTTGCTCGTTGTCTCGATCAGCAGCTTCCTGAGCTCCGTATTGTCCTTCACCGCCGTCAGCTCTAGGTCGTAGACGTCGTAGTTGAGCAAATTGGCCATGGCGGCGATCATGGTGGATTTCCCGGTCCCCGGCGGGCCGTAGAGCAAATACCCCCTTTTCCACGCCTTCCCGATTCGGGAGTAGAACTCCCTGCTCTCTGTAAATGTGACGAGGTCATCGATGATGTCTTTCTTCTTCGCCGGATCGAGGCCCATGGTCTCGAAGGTCGCCGGGTGCTCGAAATTGATGTGGCTCCACATCGTGTGCTTGTAGGTCGGCCATTTGTAATTGGGGGAATTTGTGAAGAGCTTCCGCTGCCGGTTCCGGGTCCGGATCTCTTTTCCGACCCGGACCACGTGGGGGAGGTATTCGTCGGTGATGAGCTGGCGGTGGCGCTTGTGGAAGGTGAGGCGGTAGTAGCGGCGCTCCGGTTGGGCCGGGTGGTAGAGACCCGGTTGGGTCGGGTTGGCGATTTTGGAGGCGACCCACCGGACTTTGACGCCGGCGAAGTGGTCGGCGACGAGCTCGTGGTCGTCCATGGTGAGGACGAGGGAGTTGGAGTCGCGGGACGACATCTCAGCCTTGAGGCGGTTGGCGGAGCGGGAGGAGTTGGCCGAGAGGTAGGCCTCGACGGCGGAGTAGGCCTCGCTCCGCTTGAGGCGGCCGTCGGCGGTGAACTCGTGGACGGAGATCTTGATGTAGGGGTAGAAGTAGGCGGAGAGGCGGTGGGTGAGCTTCTCGATGTAGCGGCGGAGCTCGTAGGGGCAGTATTGCTGGAGGATTGCCCAGAGGAACATCAGGCTGGCGATTGTGGAGCCCGCCGACGACCACATCTCGGTTACCGATCGCGGCATTCCCGCCATTTTCATCTTCGAACTTGAATTTTGCTGGTTTCGTTTGTTTTGAGTTTTAAGATAATGGGAAGGAATTTTTTTGGAAGAATGGGAGAAAGAAGATGGGAGGGAGAGGTGTGGCTGAAGTACTCAAGAAAGTGAGGAGGTTTTTCTTTTTGTAGGGAGAAAGAAAGTAGGTTTATGGAAAATGAAATCATGATTTGTTGATTGTAATGTCTATGGGAGCAATTGGTTTATGGAAAATCAAATCTTCGTTTATGGAAGAATTTCTCAATTTTTTTGCATTTTCGGCCTACAACAGTGATCCTTTTACGCGGAGGAGCGTCTCCTCGCTGATATTAAGGTATGTCTGCAATTCTCTGTTGTGTTCCGGAAATCAGTCACTTGAAGAGATAATTTGGCCAATTTTGCCTTGTGTAATTGTAATGTACTGGTTCCTTTTACGAACTTTAGATAAATTGCTTAAAAACTCTTGAGTTGATGGTCTGGTTAATAGTGAGAACAAACACAAATAGAATAAAAGAAAGAGAATGAGAACTAAATAATAAGATGAAAGATAGATAAGAAAGAGGGAAAAGTAAGAAACTGATCATGTGTAGTATGTGATGCAAATTTACTGAAGAGATTCGAACCTGGGACCTCCAGGTTTTAGTAGTATGTGATACAAATTTACTTAGTCCGAAGACCAGGATCGTATGCTCTAACGTCTCTCACATTCACTTGCTCAGGTGGTGAGAGACATGTTCTATATGATTAAAATGAAAATGTGGTGGTTGAGGTTCCTACAGGTTGAATTCCTTGGTTTTACAAAACAAAAGAGAAAGGTTGTGCGAAAAAGTAAAACTATACTACTAGCTGGTCAAAGAAACATGAGGGTGAGACGTTGCATAGGCAAGCTCCCCCCTAGAGTCCATTTGACTCACAACCTTGATCCTGATAGAATATGAGTTGCTTGATCATTGCTAGATTTATTCCTACCATATGTCTTGGCATTTACCAGGACTAATAGACAATGATATGGACCAGATGTCTTCTTTGAGGAAGTCACACAGTTTGATCAATTTGAGGACCAATTGTGAGGGACTGGCATGTCAAGTATCATCCACCCACAAAGTTGAGTTTGAAGATAAATCTTTTGAAGATAGTCCTCGTCTTACGTATACAATCGCATCAACAACAAACCAAGCAAATAAATCAAATAGAAAAGACAGATGAAATGACACTCATATATACAAAATCAAAGAGTTATATAGTCAAAGAACCTCTAGGGTTCGCAAGCCTTTGCAACTAAGGAACTAGCCGATCATGGGGATGAAAGTTTAGGGGGAATATTAGCCGAAACTAGATCCCATATCACCCATATAACGCATACTATCACTAGCTCCTGAACTTCTACCCTCTAGGGGGCTATTTACAGGTCTCTGCATCAGGTTTTCTGGGAGGACAAGTTGACCTAGAACACGTTTCTCGAGCTCCTTCGGTATCTTCTGACTTGGCCACCATGTTTGGCATATTTCTTAAGATTTTGGGCTCGATTTGGAGACCCTCCACAATGGCGGCCAATACGCCATTTTGGGTTCAGGTCGACTACTTTCCATGACGTTTTCTGGACATGATCCAATCTCGTATTCTGACTCACAGCAGTCGAGCCTTGATGTTTCCTTACTCATACAAGATAGATCACTGATAATTGATTTAGTTGAAGTAAGAATCATATATTACAGTATCAAAAACATGGATCCATCCTGAAAGAGACGTCATTGCAAAAAGAAGTGGATGAATGTAACCTATTACTTTTCATGTATGATCATGTGGGAGCGGTTACGGTGATTACTTTTTTATAGTAATCACCGTAGTTACTAAGGGAAAATTAGGTATGGAAAAATAAATTATATTAATCAATTAATTTTAGTAAATTACATTTTAGGTAGTTACAAAAATCTATTAATTATAATTCTTTCTCCTTCTCTCACTTCCATAATCTCCAGCCAGATCTCCTTTTCATATTTTTCTCAATCTTTCTGCAAAAGAAAAAACAAAGAAAAAACATGAAATCACTACCAATCCATTAGAAAACCACTACCATTTTGAAAAACATCAATACCATTGCACAAATAAATCTATACCATTACACGAAAACTACCAATATAAATAATCTATACCATTACAAAAGTCAAACAAATACCAAAACAACAAATACCACTACTACTGTGGAATCAAAACAATACCATTGCATAAATAAATCAATACAAACACTATCAAAACAAATACAGACAAACTACCAAAACATAATGCAAACACTACCAAACCAAATACAGAAAACTACTAAAAAACATAATGCTCCATCTAACCAACACAAATGCAGGTAACTACCAAAGCGTAATGCACACACTACCAAAGAAAATGCAGGTAACCCCACCAAAGCATAATGCAAACAGTACCATAATAAAATGCAAGGTAGCTAGCTACCAAAGCAAATTCTCTACCAATGCAAACACTACCATTCCGGAGTACCTGCAGAAGCAAAGCGATAAAATAAATACCAATGCGGAAAAATAAATACCAATGCGATATAGGAGATGTGTTCGTGCCATAATAGATCAAGAGAGTGGAAGTGACTACGAATGATCCAATCAATGGTGCTGTTCTGTTGACATTCTAGAAAAAAAGGAAAAAAAAGAAAAGAAATGGGGGAGAAGAAAGAGATGGAGTGGAACTATGGAAGCTTGCTTTCGTAAGTGTCAAAGGTATACCTATAATTCAATGAAGAAAGAAATGGAAGCTTGCTTTAGGATTTGTGAGGAGGGAAACAAAGAAGGATCTTCGCCTGGCTCATGGCGTAATTACTCAGCGCCAGAGCCTGAAATCCACAACTCTCCATTAGTACCCGCCATTGCTCTCTGTCTTCCATCCTTTCCCTTCTGATTCCGGGCTTCTCCGCCGTGCCGCAGGTCACAGGGATGGAGAGGGAGGAAACAAAAGCTCATGCGGCGGCGGAAAGAAAATGGGAGAAGAAAGTGGTCGTAGGATTAGAGGAAAGGAAGGAGATGGTAAGTCATAAATATAGGTAGTAATCATGTATGTTAATTTTTTATTCCAAAACTATCCTTAATCTAATCTTAACCGTTATTTTAAAAAAGAAGAAAAAAATGGAGATAATGAAGGGTGTAGATGTAGGTTGCCACAGTGATTACTAAAAAACTAGTAATCACCCTAACTCATCCCACTCCCATGATTATGTCAAAACACCTCAATACGTAAACTAGATTTCCTAACCAAAATTTCCTAAACTAGATGAGAATGAGTAACCAAATAAATGCATAGTTGTCTGTATTAAAGTGGATGTACAATTGTTGTTTAAAAAGCATTTGGCCTAAAAGCAAGTGGGGATTGAGTGAGTGAGTGAGTGAGTGAGTGGGATCGAGTTGGATAATTTTGATTTTTGGAATGGATCAGATTTCCGGCTTCCATAAGATGCGGGGAACTGGAAAAAGAAAGAGAGATTCAGCGGGCCACATTTGCATACGTGTCATCCATTCATGGCACCTTAAGTCAGTTTAGCTCAGAAGCTTTTTTATCCGAGGTTGAATGATCATCAAAAGAAAATTTAGGTACAAAATACAACATTTTATTCAAGGAAATCCCTAACGAAAAATCTGCACTATTCCTTCTCTTCGATCGAATTGAGTATTTGATGACTTTTTACATGAATTGTTCAGATTAAGAATTTTATAAGGAAGAATTGACCCCAAATATTTCGTTAGGTAAATCAGACAATTTACATATGTGAGATTTGAACAAAATATTCAATTTGATTGTAAATCTAGGACTTATTCCTCTTCTTTCTTTGCTCCTTCATTGCCGATGCTAGGGGTGTTCAACGGTCCGATCCAATTTTGACCAAATTCATGAGTCATGACCTACAATGTAGGTAAAGTTGGTTATTTGCAAGATGATGTCACTTGTATTTAATTATATATATATATATATATATATATATCATGACAACATCCCACGATAAGATAACATCATATTATACTGAATTTTTTTCAAAATACACATGTTTTATGAAATTTTTTTAAAATATACATGTTGGGCATAACGAGAAATTTGCAACAAGCCTTCATCCCAAAAAATGTTGTTTTCTACCCCGAACGAGCAATTTTTCGATTTCGAAAAACTTTGGAAAACCATAACTTTGTGCTCCACAATCCGAATGTCATGAAACTTTTTTTTATTTCGCAGAACTTTTGAAGGACTGCAACTTTGATCATAACCATAATTTTGGAATGCATGTGGATTTGTGAAAAGTAAAGGCAAAGTTATTCCAAAAATCTTGTAGACCCAAAAATATTTATTTTTTAAAAAATTCTTTCCTAGTAAAAGTTGTAGTTTTTAAAACTTCATGACGTTCGGATTGAGGAGCAAAAAGTTATGGTCTTCCAAAGTTTGGCAAAATCTAAAAATTGCTCGTTTGGGGTAGCAAACGACATTTATATTGGATGAAGGCTTGTTTCAGATTGAAAGACCTTGAAAAGTTATGCGGAATCAAAAAAATAATTCGCTACAATTGGATAACCGAGCGCAAAATTACGTTCGTTTGAAGTTTCAGTGTTATGTCAGACATTCACCACGGCCGTCAACCACGGTGATGCATTCACCGCTTTCGTCTGCCGCGATGAATGCATTCACTGCGGTTGACGACCAAAGTGATACCCAAACATGTGTATTATGAGAATGTTTCATAAAACGTGTGTATTTTGGGATTTTTAAAAAAAATTTTGTGTATTTTGGGATTTTTTCCATATTATACTAGTACTTAATGCCCACCTTTTCAACAATATTAATCAGACTAGCTTATAACCCGGCCCGTTGGCCGGAATGTTTATATTTGATTTTTTTATACTTTTTATGTTACTTTAAAGTCTATTAACCCGTTTAATTTTATTGACAATCTTTCAATTGAGATGAAACATAAAGAAAGAATATATAGGTCGAACATTCAGAGAAATATCATCATCATTTGAGAAAATAAAATATAAAAATGTATAAAACATGTCATTTTCATAATGATAATTAAGCCCAGTTAATATGTTATTAGTTAGTTGATTGTTAAGAAAGATAGAGTATAAAAGCTCACTGGAATTCCCACACGACCCATAGATAGTTTGAAACTGAATCTAAAACCTCACAATCCTACGTAAATGGTTCAATGCTCTCATTTTGGGGGCAATATGCCACTAATAAAAAAGAAATGGAGGGTTGTAGGTTCAAGTCAACTATATACTAACAACTAAGCTAAGAGAGGACCATCAAAACTTGAGAGCAAACGACAAAATTGGATTACCTCCAATATACTAATAGACTCGATCAAAGTAATATGACGCAAAATTAGACAGTCCTTATCTATCAGTTCCAACAGGCTGAATAAAGAATCGACCTACTTCATTAAATCAATCAATAATTACTCGTTTTAAGATAGAAATAGGTTGTGGTAGCTGCAAAAACCATAAACCTAATGATCCAATAGCCACCACTCTCCATTGAACAACCAAATTTTTATCTACTCTATCTTCAATCTCAAGAAGCATATGTTTCAACCAAACATTCACTTTCTAATCCTCCTTCTGCAACTCCATTTCTGCTACTTTGATGGACTTTCTCTCTGCGGCCCTGAATTTCTCTTCCAATTGGGGTTCTTGTCAACTCGCTCTTCAACTCCTCAATCCCCGTCCTGTGTTTTGCCAACTCATCTTCCTCATGGGCAGTTCTAATAAGTTTGCTAAAACCAAAACTCATCTCTAATTCCATAAATATGCTCATCTCCCCCCTTGCATGCCTTCACCTGCTTCAGCACACTTCCATGTCCTTCAATATCCTCTCCATTTTCATCAATATCCTCATCATCTCTCACTTCTCTTTCTTCAACTGCTCCAGTTTTGCTTCCGCGTCTTTCAACACCCTCCTCAATTCGATCACTACCCTCAGTAACTCCCTCTTCTCTGCCTTAACCTGCTACAGTTGAATTTTTCTTCCCACCACCACTCTCATTCTCAAACTCAATCCTAACTCTTCTACTCCAAGTTCAACACCCCAAACTCCTAGACTGTTGCATGAAAGCTCAATTTCTAACTAATTCTAAAACAATATCAAAATTTGATTAGTGAATTGGACCATAAGAATAAAAATTAATGAGGAAAATTAGGGTTGCGGAGAACATTAGTTATCACAAAATCAAATATGAGTGAAAATATTGTAATTGAAAAGAAACCTTTTTTCTAATTTTGATCTTATTTTATTATTTCAATAGCTAAGCAAAGAACAAAAATAAAGTATCGGAAACAAACAACAAAAAAGTAGACAGGGCTCTAGGAAAGTACAACTGCCCTGTTCTACACAAACATCTCTTTTGCTTACAAACAAATATAGTACCCAAACCATCGTTCAAATTCATTTTCTATATTTTATAAAAATCATTCATAAACAACAAACTTAGATAAATCGGGAAGGAAATAATAGCCAACCAGTTCAAGTCGATGAACCTTAATTGAAGATAGAAACTCATTGAAGTTGAAACCTAATAACAGAAAGAGGAGAAATAACGCAGGAGATCCCCCGAGCTTTAAAAATCGTATAAGGCAATAAGATCAAAAGAAATAGATATTCTGCATGTTGTGCTCATGAGACGTCGTGAAATAAAAGTCATTTTGTTATTAATCAGAAAGATAAAGCAATAAGACATAGAGAAGAAATGAATGACTTACATGTGCAAAGCGATTAACCTTGGTCGGAAACCGAAAACCTATTAAAGGTCAATGCCTGGTATAGGAAGATGAGTAAAGGCGAAAGTTATAACTGATCAAACATTGCCTTCAGCAATATAAGCAACAAAATAGTTCTTCTGATAGTACATCGAGGAGAGACAGAACCATTGGGTGATGCCAATGCAGAGGAATCGAGCGAGATAATCAAGGCCAGGCCATGACTACTTGATTGAACTCCATTCTATTCATCATGGATTGATATGAGAGTTGAAATCTTCTACTTGCCCAGCCTAAATTCCCAAGAATAAAACTGCAGTGCCAAGAGATACCCGAATGTTGATTTTCAAATGCTCCTTATACTGGGAAGTGAAAGCACGCAAACTATTGCACGATGGAGGGAATTTCGGAGAAAATTAGAAAGAGATAAGAACAAAGATAAAAAGGCACAAAATTTAAATTTATATTGAAAAATGCAAGGACACAACACGTAATAAAGGAAATAGTTTCTTCCATGTTAGCCAATTACCAATATACCTTTAGCGAAACATTAAGGAGAGAGCATGAATTCTAAAAATTGATAAAATTAAATGAAACTACTATGAAAATTGAAGTATTAAGCACCATGAAAATACATATGGTAGACTTAGTGCCCTTGTTAATCATGATGAAAAAGTTCTCTGCTTTTCACAGTTTCAATACATGTATGTTTTGTATTAAAAAAGGAACAACAAATACACTTAGTATAATTGGTTATGACTGCTATCTTTGTTTGAAGAGACCCAGGTTCGAGTCTTGATATTGATATTTTTTATGAAATAAATAATTAATTGTAAAGACAAAAATATCCTTCCTACTTTCACTCTCATTGGAGGAAATTTGAAATGGAGAAAAGCTTACAAAACTCTACTATATATTAATGGAGGATTCCACTTTGATGCAAGGAGGCATCGAGTCGTGGTGAGATATGGCTTTGCTTCAAAATTTGTTATTATGGTTAGTATAGATTTGATGTTACTAACGGAACAACAAAAAGGAACAATTACCGAATATGGAGCCGAGTCACGGACTAGGTCGCTTTCATTAAGACGTTCGCGACACTGCCCTCGTTGTGCACGACAAACTATCAATTGGTTGTCTCTGGAATAAAACAGCTCCTCTTGGATGCTCGGTGATTTTGTGCGAAAACCGGAGCTCTTTGCACACTCTCTCGCTCGTGTTTCTGCTCGGAGCCAAGACTCCTAAGAATATAACCTCTGACTTGGGGAATAAGTCGCGTTAATTAGGAAGATAATTACTTCCTTAATTAAACCGCGTCGGTAAGTTAATTCCTGACCAAATTATCTCTTGAATATTCCATTGAGTTAATTATCTTCGTATCGGTTAAGAATAGAAAATAATTAATTCGGAGTTTTCCAAAAAAATATAAGTCAGTCCATGGTCGATCCACCCACTCGCTCGACGGACCGGTCAGTCGGACTGCGCATGCACGTATGTGGTGGTCCATTAGGTCTTCCCTCTCCCACAATAGTGTGTCACCCCAAGGGGCACGCCATTAGTTCAGACTTGAGAGAACCCAATCTTTATACCCATTTGGTAGGAGTTCTCCTACTAATGTGGTATTCTAACCTTGGGACCTATAGATTTCAAAAACTATTCACTTACATTTTCAACATTTGAGTGCGGGCGGATAATATCAGATTGTACTGATTTATGATTTTATTGGTGGTTTGAATGAGAAAACAATAACTAATATTATTGGATTATTGGTCGATTGGATGATTCTAAAAATAAAATCCATAGTGTATGGTCCAATACTATCAACCCAATAAGTCAAATAAATGTACACATGTATGGCAAAGTGGATGATGCGATTTTGCAACAAAAACGTCTAGATCCACATAGCTCCTCCATTAGCAACCAACCATACTTCGAAACCTTTCTTGTAGCGGAAAGGGAAAGTAACCTTTATTGTCTAAGAAAAAGAGGCTTGTCTTCTTCTTCTTCTTCTTCTTCTTCTTCTCACAAAGTGCATTTCATCAACTCTAATAATGTGTAATTATATATGGTTGTTTTCTTGATCTTTCAAACTACTTTTTATTGATAAGGTCCTTCACTGCTTATTGGTGTTTTCTTTGTATTTGTGCATATATAACTATCTCCCATCCTTGTGCATATTTGTGTATATATGCTCGTCATGTACATCTTATATAATCATAGGAAAATATGCAATAACAATTGTTCTTTCTATGATGCAGAATGTTTTAAATCATTATCTTCGCGTTAAGTCCGATTATATTGATCGCATGTTCATTTTAAAATCATGCTCTTGGTTCTTGTTCAATCCTAGCATGTTGTTGTTGTTACTCCGCCAGGGGCATGTGTTACACCTTTTTTTCCTCGTTTTGTGCTTATCATAGGCTTAGTTACTATCCAACTAGCTTATGAAAATGGTTAGTTGAAAGATAAACAAGCAGCTCAGAAATTTCACATAGAAACTTCAATATTTCGCACTTTGAAAATCTCAGACCAATTAGGACTATGTAATCAGAATTAGTATATTTCAAATAACCATAACGAATTATGTGTGTCTTACAATAATTCACCATACGCTAGGTTTGAATTTTTAGGTCAACACTCAACAATAATAGAAAATTACGTGTCCAACCATAGAGCTAATCCAAATTACACATTATTCAATAAATAGAGAGGGAAAAAAGTTTTCAACTTATTGATGACTGATGTATTTCCATTGTTTACGATCTTCATTGTAAGATGGATAGGGCACAGATTCTCCTCAATAATTCTCTAACTTTTGGCAATAATGGCTGCCATGACGAGAAGCACCAAGTCATGTATTGTCGCCAATATGTTCCTCTACCGCGACACTGTAAATCCATGGAGGAACGGGCTTTCTTTGCGTGATCCTCTAGGGCCCACATGAAGCCCAACACTAACCATCTAATCCACGAAAGAACTTAAAAGCCAGGCAGGCAGGCCCACATCAAATCATACCTGAAACGGTTCTTCCTCCCAGAAAGCATATTATGATAATCAAAAGCATATCTTAGAGTGTGAAAGTAAAACGTAGGACGCACGGCATAATAAACTTCCAGAAAGAAAGACGAGCTCCGGTGCCACTGGCCTGAACATACAAAATTACCATCGTCTGCATTCAACAATCTAGAATTATCGCACATATAATCCAACGACGTAAGCTTGAGTTTATGCCGAAGATCCGAGCTTGTAAATGGTCGACATGACGGTGGAAAATGACTGGAAGAAGCATAAACGAACATGCACGAATTTGTTAAAAAGCAAAACAGCGCAAAAGACCTCTTCTTTTCCCCTTTTGGGTGAAGGCTGACTCGTTCTTCTGGAGTTGTTCTGTCACAAACTCAGAATACTACATTACCCACTTGCTGCCAGAACAAAAATAGGAAAAAGGGGAACCAGCTTCCTTTCCAAATGTGCCATCAAAGATATAATAAGTAGGGTCTCAATCACCCATTGCTAGCCGGCTACCAGCCATCTCCACCGGCCGGGGAATGAGCCATGATCAAAGGATAGAAAGAAGATTCTACCCAGGAAAAAAAGATAGAAAGAAGAACTGTTTGCTTCACTAAGATCAGTTCCTGTAACGTAAATCCTGCGACCAGAACTTTCAAAAGAAGGATTTTTCTCGAATTGGGAAAACTTGGTGCAGTAGTACAGAGTTCTAACATCAGATTTTTCTTGTTTTACTTGAATTCACAAGCATATATACAAGAATGTTTTTGGCCTACAGTTAAGTTTAAAAAGAACTCTGGTTTTCCCTTCTTCTACCTCTTTCTCCCCGCCCCCGACATCTCAACTCCAAGATGTATATTCTTCACATTACTACACTGTTCCGGCATTTTCTGTCATTGTTAGGCCGACTAGGGGAGGAATGATGATGTCATGTCATATCGGGGTGGTTCTCGTACCTGGTATTGAAATACAGGGCGCGGTATACATTAGGAGTTGTTGTCATCTCATGTTGCAGCATTGAGGCAAACCAAACTTCTGCAGCTTTTCCCAAAGGCAGATCATCTGCCGTGGGGACTGGTAGTGCGATGTGTAATAGCCGTCGAAGCATCCGAACTGGCAGAACTTCAAGCTGTGCACTAGTTCCACTGCTTTCGTCCTGTTGAACTTCTGAACCCACATTCCCATGCTCACATCTTCCATCTTGAACAGCTGCAGTACAAAAACAGAAACGAAACAAAAGAGTAGCTACTGTGTCAGCTGAAGATGTGTATTTTACAAATGGACGACATGTAACTAAAACAAGGGCTACACGTACTCTTAATTTATGTTTCTCAAACTCGGAGACGATGAATCTGGCTATGTCCGCTGACAAAATGTAGCCAGGCCCATTGGCATAGGGCGGGTAATCTTCCTCGGGCCACTCCTGTTGAACAGAAATACTTATTTAAATTCTTCAATATTCGGTGAACATGCTGATATGGATTGCTCCAAAAGCGTAACAGATGCTTGTCAATCTCGATGAGAGGACTAGATCATACCTGGTAAGTGACCGCCCATTTCCCGTGTCGGAGGGGCTTGTGGAAGTAATTTATATTGCCAATATACAAGCTTCGTCCCTCGGGAACCTTTTTAGCTTCATCAAGAACTGTCTCTACCCTTATGAAAGTGTCGTCATCTCCCTTCATTATATACTTTGCGCCAACAGTCCGGACCTGCAGATAATAAAAAGCCCCGACATTAATACCAGACTATTCAGAAAATGAACATTACTTTGAGATGAAATCAGCCTATTTCTCACCCCATATTCGCAGATGGCAACGGTTTTCAGAACCACAAGGTCATAGTTATCCATGTAAGGCACTATCACAATATCTCCAAAAAATTCGGCTTCTTTCTTTAATTCCAAGTTCACTTCTTTTCGTGCATGCTGGCAAAAACACAAATCCAGTTCATTTACCACAACTTGGATAGACAGCTTTACCCAACATGAGTGTAGACAAAAATCCAACTTACAAGTGATACAAAGAACCGAGCAACCACATGTGAAGTTCTGATCAGTCTGTGGCGCATCCAAGACTTCCTGACTGCCATCCTTTCAGCAAAATGGTTACCTGCTGAAAGAATGCCAATGAAAAGTTCCACAGGCCCTTTAGGAAGGGCTGGTGCTCTCCATACAATGGACTTCTCAAGATGCCTCTGAGGAGCAAAGCTAGGGTGAGCTGCAGGCAATGATGCAGCAAATATGGAGTGCACATCAACATCCCCATACACAGTTAGTCCTGTGGCATCCTCAAGTGTAAATCCCTGCAAAGATTAACAATTAAGGTTATCAGTTGTTCCTGTATAACATATTGAAATGGAAAATAGGATATATTACTTACAGTGCGATAAGGGAAAGAGGTCACGTGCCTCCCATCTACATTGAGGTGATAACCTTCCAAACCAGCAGTTAGAGTCAAAACAAACATTTTCTCCTCTGCAAATGGGAATGGCCAATCAAACGTCACTTTTTTGGTTCGGCCAATCAACCGGTTTAACCACCAAGTAGCCTTTGATTCCTCTGAGTGATTGTTATCATCACGGATCCACTTCTCACACTTCACCTGACCATCAACTGCAGGCAACAGGGTAAGATATGGAGCTGCAGATCGAATACCAAACAGCATATGCATCTAATGTTTTGGAATGTTTTATGATCAATTTACTGTTAAGTAAAGAAGACAATGGGTGAAGCACCAATGATCACAAGGCTGGAATCTTGCAGACATATTATCTATCTAAATTTTTTTTGCAGGCATCACATTTTCGTGCATTGCCACTTTGATTAATAAGGAAACCAATCAAAGAGGAGCATATCCTCAGTCCTTCAGGGAGAAGCCATAAGCCTAAACTAGTAAACTTGCAAAATTCAGGTCAATCATTAAGCTTCCTAACTTGAATAGGACTCCAAGAGAGTTGGGTCCAATGACTTCCGTGCAAAATCAATCGAAAGAACTCACTTTAGCCATCTCAGAATACCATATTTCTATTTCGAATGACAGACTATATAACCACAGGAACTGATTAATTAACTCTAGGAGACACATAACAACAGATCACAGAGTCATTTTCTGTCTCTTGTTACCAATCAAGCACCACTTCTGCCAAAAGCAAGATGCTTGTTGAACACACCTCAAATGGTGAACAAGAGCTTAAAACCATCAACTAAATACCAAAAAAGGACACTATAAAAATGATGAAGGAACAGCTTTACCTGTCTCCTCGTCAGCATTAGATTTCCACCCTTCGCATCGTACACCTGTGCCCCACTGCATCCTGTAACAAGTATTCTGCTCGATCACAGGCTTGCCACTCCAATCCCCTTTCAACCTCGGATTGAAATGCAGAATCCTGGGCGGATCCTCACCATCCACGATCTTCAAACCCTGCAACTCCATCATAAACTGGGACACCATAACCGACGACACGCCGTCCTTAACCAGAGATATCTTGGGCTCAGCCTCTGCATGAGCTGCCCTCGGCTTCCCAACCACCGTGATGTGGGAACCAATCGTGAGCCCGCAAGGAAGCTCCACGACCCGGCCGCGACTCAGAAACTCAGACCCAGTCAGCGTCACCGAGTTGGGGCACGACTCAGTACGGTTCTCGGGCTTCTTCAGCTCCAGGAAGTCGAATTCATCCCTCTCGATCTCAGCCCACATCTTCCTGCCAACTTCCCAAGCAGTCTTGGCACTCTTGTGGAGCTCCACGGACCTGTCCTTCTTAGTCGGATCAAAAGTCTCCGGGTCGAACTTCAAGCTGGAGAGGATGTTCTTGGGGAGTGCGATCTTTTCAGCGGGCAGGAGCTGGGTCGGACCCGGTTGGGCAGAGGCAGCGGTGGTGTGGGATTCCCATGAGCGAGGGCGAGAAGGGGCGTCTTTGTCCAGCAAATCCTCCTCGCTCTGGAGCTTAGACGGGCGAGTGAGTGCGTCGGGGGAGACGGAGGAGCTAGCGCCGGAGTTGAATAAATAAGGAATTTCCACTGTGACGAGGAAGAAATACAGGACCCCCAAGGCAATAAGAACGTGGAACGATCGCTGCCGCGTGACGGCGCCGAACTTGTCCAATCGGGTGTCCGATTTCCCCCTCTTCATGCTCCTATTGTTTCCAGACGCTAAAGGGGGGAAGGGGGGAAAACGGGTTCTCTGGAACCCAACAGCAGCAGAAAAGGAGGGATTTGAATTTCTGGGTTTGGTTCAAAAGTTGCAGAAAGGGATGGGAGAGGGAAACAGAGGGGATTAGGTCATCACCATGGAAGAGAGAGTTTGAATTCAAAAGGATGGGCGATTCCGGTTTGCGATTGCAGATTATGAAGAGGGTGAATTGGTGGGGGGGAGATTGGAATGTAAGAAACGGAGGAGGGGGAGAAGAAGTAAAACGGAATGCGGAGGGAATCAGATCATTTTTCTGTCTTAAAACCGAAGCCAAATAATTAGAAACGGGGAAGAAGAAGAAGAAGGAAAAAGAACCCGATAGGGTTAGCGAGCGAGTGGGGAAGAAGAGAAGAGAGAACAGAAAGGGAAATTTTTAAAATTCTAACCGTCAGAAAGTAACCTTTGCATATAATTATGGCTTTATTAGATGGACTGATTAATTAATAAATGAATGAAACTTAAATCTTGGAAAGGGTTAAAGAGAAAGGGTGTTGTTGTGGGCGGTGGGCGCGCTCTCTAGGAAGAACAGTCTTTTTAAGGCAAAGGAAAAAAGATTCCCAAGGACAAAAAAAAAAAAAATATATTAATCAACAACTAATGCACAAGGTTGTCAACCGGTCCGACCCGTGGTTGACCAGGATTGACTCGAACCGGGTGAGAAAACAAGCGCCATATATTCGTAGGTTAATTTGCAATAAGATTCTTGGAGTTGGTAATGATGACAATTTCTAACCTGACTTGCGCGATCCAATCTATTTCGATCTATTTGGAGTGGCTATTACCTACCCGCAATAGTGTATGGTGCGACATGAGTATTGTTTCCGACCTGTCACCCTATTTCTATCATGATTTGCATCAATATATAGATGTATGTCTATTCTTTTTACCTTTCTAAAACCATACTTTCATCCAAATTTTTTTTAAAAAGTATCTTTCAACTGTTTAGACACAATTATTCATTCTACTACATTTATCATTCAATTATGAAGCGTTTTCTCTATGTGTTCTGGTAAACGAGTTAAATATCGACATTATTTTTTCAAATAACATATATGAATGAGTCGAACCATCCCGCCCCCTATAACCAAGTGAATATTACTCCATCAGAGCTGCGCTAAGTGCAAGATGGGCCCGCACAGTCCAGCTCGGCCTCATTGTCATTACTACGGGTTAGAAGGGTCACATAACATTGTTTATACCTTTGGTTTGCGAATTGCGCATCTTTTTTCCGGCTTTCCCCTTCCTCTAACTCTACATTTTGGAATTAGAATATTTGAACATCAATGTTATTTGCGTGTGTTTGAATGTTCACTATATGTTGGCGAACTATTATTTTGGTGTAACGTTATAAGTAATTTTATATATGTTAGATGAGATTTAATATAATTTTCAAATAAAATTTAATGTAATAATTTTATATATATATATATATATATATATATATATATTCTAGCTAATTCGAATTAACACAATCGAACCATTAACCTTCGAATCACTTAATCGATCGGACAAATGGGCTTAAACCGGATGGACAATGCACAGCGGCAGCAGAAGAGCGAGGTGGTCCCACCCGCCACCACAGAGAAACAAGAAGAAAAGCTGCTGCAGCTTTGTGGTTCCGCTGTCAAACACCTGGCGCACCCAGGACGTACAGGTACAGGTGTCCACCACATTTACTCGTTTCGTGGTACAGCCAAACGCCAACCCTAGAAAGAAAGCAACCCCAACCAAGTACTTGTTTTGAATGATTTGATTTGACTTGACTAGTAAGAAGACCTGTTGTTGAGGTCAAACAACTTTCACCAAAAAATATGACCGCTCATTTGGTTGAATAGTCATTAGTATTACCAGGTCAATGGAAGCTCATTGGCTAGAGGGATTAGGGATACGTGAAATTTGGTCAATGGGGGGTGAAGATACGAAAACTTAAATATTTAATACTAAATCATATTAGATAATTGAAGGACTAAATATGCTTGTGGGGGAACCATCATGCCTATTATATTGGCTGAGTGAAATGTGAAATGTAACTAAAATCCTGCGTCAAATTTGAAAGTTCATATTTTTATGTGTTTTTCTTCTGCTAAAATGCTTTAAATATCCACGTAAAAGAGGTTAAATATATAAAATCGGGCAAAATCAGTTGTAAGCGGTGGAAGCACACAAAAGTGATTGCGTTCACTCAATAGACCTTCTCCTCCTGTTTCAGCCGGTCTTTTTTTGTCACGTACCCCTCTCTCCCATCAGTCTTCGCCGCACACATCGTCTTTGCCATCTACACTTCCTGTGTAGTTGCAAAAAATAACATCTCATTTCCCGTGATGAGTTCTTTATCGCATAAGTTTTATTCTCCTGGTCTAACTGGTTAATATTGTAGCAATCACAATCTGCTCGAAAACTTGTTTTAAAGTGTTAGTTTGTGTTTACCCATAAAAATTAATCTTGTACCACATTGGTTAAAAACAATGAATTAAATGGCTTTATAAGGCCAACTTAATCATATTAGTTTAAATCAGTTGAGTGGGCCATGAGGATTGGGTTTTTGGGCCCATTACTCCGTGCCACCACGCGCGCCATGCATATCCAAATTTGACTAAGTATGGGAGCCACCCCCATGACACGCAGAGGGGGGTGGGCATCATACCACCACCCCCAGGACGTGGCAAGGGGGAGGACATCATACCGCCACCCCACGACATGGTGATGGGGGTGATTGTCGAATTTGGCTAAGGCAAGGAGTATGGTAGCCACCCCCAGAAGGTAATGGTAGCCACCCCCAGGAGGTACCAAGGGGGGTGACCACCATCATACCACCCCCAGGACGTGGTAAGGGGGTGGGCATCGTACCAAGGCACCTCCATAACATGGTGAGGGGGGTGATGGCAGAATTTGGCTAAGGCAAAGAGAAGAATAACCACCCCCATGAGGGTACCAAGGGGGGTGGCCACCATCACACCACCCCCAGGAAGTAGTAAAGGGGTAGGCATCATGCCTCCACCCCTAGGAGGTACCAAGGGGGTGATCACCAAGGATGGCAAGGAGAACCCCCCATGAGATGATCAGGGGGTGGCCATCAACACACCCCGCCATGAGCATGCAATCCCCATGATATAATCAGGGCGGATATTTGTTATGGTCAGGGGGTCACCAGCATACGCTCCCATGGTATGACCAAGGGGCGTGGTCAACATCGCCCTCATGAGGTTGCCAGGGGGGCTACCAAGACATCACCCTCGTGATCTGGTCAAGGGGGGTCAGGTGGGCACGTGGTCTCCCTACTCCTGTAATGGTGAAGTATTTTTGCCATTTTTGACTCAAGTGATTCTGCCATTTTTGACTCAAGTGATTCGAGTACCCACCCATATGTGGCATGTGGTGTGCTTTCATGCCTTAACCATTTTTTCTCTATAGACAAGCAAAGCTACGGAGGGGATACCAAGAGCATGGAGTGAGGTCTCAAGAGGAGAGGCCAAGATTGGTCTACATCCAACGTTAAGGTAACCGCCGAAGCAGTTGAGAGGGTAACCGCCACTCCACGTCACCAAAGCAGTTTCTTGGGACAGTTACTTCTGGTGGCTATAAATAGGAGGTGAAGATGACAGAGAAGAGGTTCGCCAAAATCACACCAGACAACACAATGTCAAATTTTATCCTTTTATCTTTACCTTTTCCTCTGCAAATGTAGTCATAGCCATAGTTGTAGTTTCGGAGCTCTCGCTGAACCTCCATAGAAGTAGGGCTAATTTAATGTAGATTTGCCTCGTAGTTCATCAAAACATTGAACACCCTTGTTTGAACTTTGTTTAAAGAGGTGTGAACTGTGTTGTTTGATCGTTTGTTTGGAAGTCAAAGGTGCAAAATCCAATTCTGTTCATCTAGTTTTTCTCGCCGGGAAAACAGTTTGTGACGTAAAAACTATTATGAAATCTCTCTTAACAGCTCCAGTTATTGGGACCTGTTGGTTTATGATATGTGTACGACAAACCCAAACCAGACTGACTATCAAAACGACCGAAAAGAGAGGTCTTTTATAATTGGGTTAATACCCTAGTTTGGCATGAAGTTTAGCGTTAGTGACAGTTTTGGCCCCATTTTTCAAATAAGACGTTTATGGCCTACTTTTGAAATTAATGGACAAACTTGGCCCCGAATTTTCTTTGACTGTTAATATTGACGGTCAAACTCTATTCCGTCAGTGATTTAGAAAAAAACAGCTGATGTGGCATGCCACATCATTAAATAATATTATTTTAATTTTATAATTCAATTAAAATTCAAAATTAACAAATTAAAGAAATCCCCTCTTATCCCAAAACTCCAACCAAACCCTAAATCTATATGCTGCCTCCTTATCTAAACACCCGCCGGCAACTTCTTCTTCATCTTCCACACCGTCCAGCAGGCGCCGCACCGCGACCCACAGCGACCGCGCCGGAGATGATGAAGCAGTTGGGGATTTCCGAGATCATCCCCACCCACACGATCTGCGACTTGGACTTCGACCCCACGACGACCACTTCTATCCGCAGTTCGCGAGCATACCCCTTGACGCCATCGGCGGGGGAAAGAAGGCCTGCCGCCGGGAAAACCTGCAGTTCACGTACCACCCCCACATATGATTCTCAAAGACTATTATGACATCCCATCATCATTCCACATATCCCCCATACCAATATACCTTCAATTTTGACAATTTTGTCTTGCGCAAATGAATCTGCATATTTCCAACGATTCAGAACTTTTCCCCCTTTTAGCTTTCTCTCCCGTGAACAGATATTCGCCCATATAGAAGCCAGCAGAAGTCGGACAGTGCGCATGGGAGTCAGAGGAGTAGGAGTGGCAGTGGTCGTCGTTGGAGTTCAAGCGGACCGTCTTCCCTAGGTCGGGTTCGCCATCGGGCTTGCCTCGATTCTGTTCGGAGTCTCGATTAGGCTGGGTGAGGAGGAGACGACGAAGAGGAAGAAAGGGATAAGGAATTAAAGGGAAAGTTTTGTTGTGGTGGACCATTCCCTTTTGTTTTGTTTTTATTTAATTTTCAAATGACGTGGATGAGTCTAGTCACCGGTGAAAGCTGAGTCATTAACGGGCTAAATGGTTGACCGTTAATCCTCACGGTCAAATATTCCTATATGTCAAATTTTTCCAATAATTTCAAAAGTAGGTCATAAACGTCTTATTTAAAAAATGGGGCCAAAACTGTCACTAACGCTAAACTTCGGGCCAAATTAGGGTATTAACCCTTTATAATTAGATATCTTGTACGTCGATCTTTCTAAATAAAGAATGAAACGAACTAAAATACCGGCTTCCAAATCAAATTATGATTTTCCCTAGCCTAGCCCGCTAGTGGTATGTAATAGTGACTAGCCCAGCCCAACCCAATCCTTCCAAAAGAGAGCGGTGGCCCATTGAACGAAACTGTTCTCAAAGTCGACGACATGTCGTTCCGACTCCCTAGTTTCAGACTTTTGGCGATGAACGAAACACGTGACTGAGGTCTCTGAGAGGTCAAAATCCCGACGCCGAGACTTCATTCGTTCGTCGGCCGGATTCGATTCCGATTATCTCAACCACCAAGCAAGAAAAACGAAGTTTGAAAGCAAATATCGAAGGTCGAAGCACTGGAAGACATGGTGGCGATCTCGCTCTACAGGGGGAATCTCCACCGGGTCCCCGACGCCCCTCGTCGATGGCTAATGCCCACCCGCAGCCTCTCCCTCAGGGACTTCAAATCCCTCCTCGCCCGTCGCTCCAGGGCTCTTTCTCACCTCCGACCCTCCTCCGCCGCCGTCGTTGTCCCAGTCGGTACTACCTCTAACCCTAACCCTGACCTTACCAAGCTCGATTCCAAGGAAGTCGGGGATCCTCCTACGCCTCAATTGAGGGAGATAAAAGCTGTTGACGACGATAATCATCGCTGCGATGAGGAAGAAGGGGCTCCCGGCAGGGCTGGAGGAGAATGTGCTGAAGCGGACCGGCGGTTGTTGAACGGTGGAGATTGCTCGATGAAGCTGGAGGATGCGGCTGTTGAGAATCCTGAAGCAGTTGAGAAAGGTGGAGTTGAGGTTGTTAATGGTGATGGAGTTGTGCAGGCTTTGCTCGCCGTGAAGGTGGAAGAATCGGCTGAACCTAGTGCTGAGGTAGTCATGTGGGAGAATCTTGAATGTTATTGGCGCTTGCGTTTGTTTGGAAGTGTTTTATGCTGTGATTCAAGCTGTCAACTAGGCTACATACTCATTTCTTTGAAGTGGTGGATTCTTAAGCTTCTGAATAAGTTTGTGCTAACTCTGAATAAGGATTTTGAAGGAACTAGAAACAGGGAAAACGGTCCGAGCCACTCAAATGCTGTTAAGCACAGGAGTACCAGAAGTATGGCGATTCAATAGATAGAAAATTTGACCATCAGTGAGCCCAAAACGAGTGCTATGCGTAATCTCCCTTGGTTGGGTTCAGACTTCCTATGAATGTTTATGGTTGTCTGACTATATTACAACTTCACAACTGACACTAGAAACTATAAGAGTTTTTCTGGGTCGTATTGTGTTTTAAGTGTTAGGTGTCGAATTGCAGCTGACAGATTTGGAAGTCTAAGGGGTCGATGTTCCTCATTGGGACGTTTGGCCTTCTAAACTTATATCAGTATTGTTTTGCTGCATTTGAGAGGTTTCTTGATGTTTTCAGTGGCTACTGCACTGTTTTTATGATCTTGAGTTTTCTGCTCTACATTGTTTCTTTATTTGATGATGAACTCTGATTTCATATGTTTCTCCCCAGGGAAAAGACGAACCTGAGCTGTCCGACGAAAAAGCAAAAAGGAAAAAAGAGGTTGAGGAGAAGTTGGAAGTTTTGAATGCAAAGAAGCATAATCTGGTGCAACTTCTAAAGCAGGTAATTTTTTTTTATTCCATCGCATCCTCATTTTAATTGTCTGTGGAACTTTAGGAACGTCTGCTTGATTTCCTGTTTTACTAGTTTTACCCTCTGGCTTCATCACGTTTTTTCATGAGATCTGTATGAAATATTTGCTTTCCGTTGACAGTTACTAAATGCTGAGGAAGAGTTGAAGAGGCGAAGCACTATGCAAACAATGACAACTCGTCCATCTGGTTCGCTTCAGGTAGATGTCACAAATGATTCTGGGTCATTGACCAGACACCTCACTCCTAGGATGGGGTCTGAGGCTAATCTTGGGGCAGATATGGAAGGAGCTGAAAATGAAGATGTTTCGAATCAAAACGTTCATTCTCGTCGTTTACAAAGAATGAGCAGTACTTCTCCATCTTCAGAGTCTCCCCTTAGAAGACCTCCCTACAATGTGGTAAGTAAAGTTTCCTGTATTGTTTGTAATCACCTTGATGAAGAGCACAATGTCTTACTAGTCCCTCTTGCTTTTGTTCTTTGCCTGGGAATACCTTTTTTTGTCATGACCATTTTGGGAGCTACATTGAGTGTCTTGCTGAACTTTGTTCTAAGAAGACTGTCCGTACGCTTGCATCAGTTACAACTTATGAACTAACGATGTTGCTGTCTGGAATGGCTAAGGAAGCGATATTAGGTCATAGAGATATGTACTAGTTGCATCCATTAAGTGACAAGAGTAATAGGCTAGACTGGCTGAGTGCTGAGAATTACAAGGTACAGATGGCCAAAGTAAGAGTTGACTTCGTTGGTTGTTATTAAGGTCCGGCTTGTTTATATCTAGCTTTAGGAATCTTTCTTTGTGTTTCCCAATACGATTTGAATAAATATCGTGCCTCATTAACCAACGCATTTACCCTTGTATGTGGTACCCTTATTTGTAGTTGTTAGGATTACTTGTTAACATTACCTGGACTTCATTTTCTTTATGTGAATCGTCCCAACTGTTAGCCCTCGTAACTCAATAATAGTTTAGCAACCAAAGATGCCCTTGTGCTTGACTGAGATTCATTTTGTGGAAGATAACCCTGTGAGGAACATTTTAGTATGTGATTTTCTGCGAGGTAGAAAATATGGATGGGGATGGTGCAGCTGAAGGTTTGTTGTGACTGTTTTACCCCTCTTTGTAGTTCAGTGTTTGCAAACAGCATTTAGGTGAAGGATTTTTGTTGCTCAGTGATCGAGATATAATTATACTTTCTACTCTTTGCCCTCTTGCATGGCATTGCATTGAATCCAGTTTGGTTTTGCATATTCATCAATGTTTTGTCTTCTGAATTAGTATTGGTGGTGCCTGGAAACCCCTTTCTGTGTTTTTCAGTCGTCTCATTGTTCAATTCTTATGTATGAAAAACGTGAGGTGAAAGACTGTCTTCTTGTTTTGTTACTTTCATAGGTTCCTCCCCTCCCATCTCGAACAAGTTTGGGAGCCAGCCCATCGAGGTTTGCACCAACAGGGCAACAACATCATCCGGCAAACCCACCACCCACAGTATCCATATCTGGAACGAATTACGCACCGTCTTCTCCTTCCCCTGCAGCATCTGGTGGCACCTCAGCATTTCGTGATGCTCGCCAACCTAGCCCATGGAACTAGATCTATCTCGACATCTTATCCCTGTATGGATGAAGTGCTGGAATTCTGAAAATTTAAGCAGTCATCCAAGCACGCTACCATGTTTCATCCTCCTTGGCTGATTCTCATCCTGTAGCTCTAGAACTTGTGGCAGACAAAAGGATATCCAACCATCTTCAGGTTTTGTCTCCTCTCCTCTCCTCTCCTCGTCATCATTCTTCATTGTACATCTAATTAACCTGTATTCATTAATTCCATTCGTAAATCGTTGATGTTGTCATTTGCAGTGCTGTATATTTGTAGTCTGCGCAACTCCCATTTGAGTATATTTGTGCACCTTATTTGTAGCTAGTTATGAATTTATGATAGGTAACACTCGTCTCTGGTTGCTCCTCTAAACAGAGCATTCATGAGAGATGTACGCTCTCTTGTTGTTCGTTGATGAACTATCACCGTGGTGGGGTAATATGCTTGTGCAATGAAAGTGTTGCCAGTCCAGTCTTTCTTACTGCCCATAAATTGAATCTTCTTCCACTGGTTTGTAAGTTTTGAACCATTTCTTATTTTTTGCTTGCATGTATATTGGCTCCCAGAGCCCACCACCAAAATCTGCATCGCATGGTTTCATGCAGAACCATCATTACCTCACGGCCACTCAAGGTCTCTAGGCACCTGAGATAGCCAGCTAAACGACTTCCGGCTCAAGGCTCTCTCCCGCATCGCCTTCCCCTCTTCCTCCACCAACACACTCCTTGCAATCATCCTCTTAATCTCCTCCATTTTCATCAATAGGACATCGTTTCCCTCGCTTTTCAGCCACACCGCCGCCCGGAGCTCCTCTGCTAGCAGGATGGCGTTCAACTTTCTGTTCGACATACATCGGCCACGCCCCAACGTCGAGTTCCATCCATAGTGTGACAAAAGCTCACCTACGGACGGGTGGGTCAGGATCTCCGCCTGTGGGGCCCACATGGAGATGAGAAGCCCGCGATCTTGTGTTCTGGAGAAGAATCCATTAGGAGATTCCTGTGGATGCCTTCCAGACGGCCCATTTTCTAAGCCCAAGAAGAAAGTGATCGAAACATCGTCGTTCGTGGGAGTAGGGTGGACAATCCACACGAATCGCTGCCCGCTCAGCTCGAGTCCCCATGCCAGCTCAACCAGTTGGGCGTGTGGGAGGGCCCCACCATCGCAGAACGACACGTAGATGACATAATGGCCCGACCATTGGACGACCAGGAGGTCGATGTGGCTCTTGGACTTGTCGTTGGTGGTGGTCCCTGAACCATTGGATATTAATTATTTTCATATTTTTTTAAACCGGCATGAACCGGCACAAACTGGTTATACCACCGGTCGTACCATTCCATTTGCCAAACCGGCACAACGGTATAAACTGGTTTGACAACCTTGGTCTAAACATATTTTTATTAAACTATACAAAATTAAACTCTAATAATCATTTCATACCAAGTGATAACTTGTGTGACCGTTCATATGATAATTTCTCAATCTTTTATCCATTGACGACTGACGAGTACATTATAAAGCATTAACAGAGAGTAGGGATGGCAATGGGTCGGGTTGGGTCGGGTTTTGTCAAACCCAAACCCAAACCCATGGGTTTATCCGCCAAAAAAACCCGGGGTAAAACCCGTTGGGTTTGAAAAACTCAAACCCAACCCAACCCGCTGGGTATCCGCGGATTTATGGGTACCCGTGGGTTTTTTTGGTAAAAAATTTACAATAACAAGTTTTTTTCAAAATAAAAGTTTAACATCAATTTTCTCATACAAATTAATCATACAAAAAAACACCAATCTAGAGCATACAAGCAAACCGCAAATGATCAATACAAATTGTTCAAAATTAAAGATAAACATCTATAAACAAAAGATTAATTGAAAGTTTCTTCCTCGTCAACTAAGTTTCTTCACTCTCCACTTCATAATATCAACTTCATTCTAAACAATTAGAAAGAACAAATTATACATGTCTCCACAAACATAAAGAATATTAATTTGTTAAGGAAAATATATTATTTAGAATATTAAATATACCGGGAAAGTAATTATATGTGTGGGCGGGTACCCATGGGTCGGGTTTACCTAAACCCAAACCCAACCCGACCCGGTGAATAATGTAGCGGGTTTAAACCCGAACCCGGCCCAAAACCCGTCAACACGGATTTTACCCGTGTTGACCGGGTTGGGTCGAGTGGGTACCCGTGGGTTCGGGTTTGATTGCCATCCCTTAGATCTGAGTCAATGGTCAAAGCGAACGAGACAACGGCCTTTCCATTCCGTTCCAATTTCCCATACCCGTGGCATGGTTTGCATGTTAGGAAGAAGACAAAACCAGATCTCCACCTTCACTCGCCAGTTCCTCATAACAAAACCTAGCTTAGCAGAACCGAACAGACTCCAGCAGCCTAGTCTGCTGAAATCTAAGCAACATTCCACCCACCACCAACCTTCCTTCACACCGCCACCATGGATCCCACTTCCCAAGCATCCAAATCCCACCACCCCACCAACATCATTAACAGAGATCCTCCTCCAACTAAACCCTGTGGCGGCAGTAGCAGGAGTTCATCTTTCATGTCTAATTACTTGTCTCCCAGACTCCTAAACCCATCTCACCACCACCACCACCCCCGCTCCAGCGACAAAATGACCGCTTCCGCTGATTTCGAAGCTTCTTCCTTGTTCCCTGCTGCTAAGGCCAAGTACTACTCCCAGCAGAGGAGGCAGAGTGATGGCAGGGACGAGAAAGAGACCCTGAAGAGGGTCGTTGGAAAGCACAAATCTTTACCCGAGGGGAAGATCAAGAAGCAGGATTTGGATGTTGGTTTGGTGTTGGTGGAGGAGGAGAAGAAGAAGAAAGTTTTGGTTTTGAGTGAGAAGACCAAGAAGAAGAACAGTAGCAGCAAGAGGGACGATGTTGAAGATTATGAGTTTGGGAAGAAGGAATTGAGAAAGGAAATGGATCTTTTGTTGCTTGAAGGGGTTGATGATGTTAAGAGAAGGAGATCCATGAGTGATTCGCGAGTGGAGTTGGGTGATTCCTTAGCAAGCAAAAATGCTAATATTGTCTCGGTTGATATGCCCCCATTTATGCAGATCCATGCCATTGATTGTGCCAGGAAGACTTGTGATAGTCTCGAGAAGTTCGTTGCCAAGACCCTCGCTCTCACTCTCAAGAAGGTAACAGCTGCTACTCATCTATCACATCTCCACATTGCAGAAGTGGAATGTCTGGATTGTTAATTGATTGATTGAGGGATTGTTTCAGTTAATTCAATGGGTTGTGTCTACATTTGCTGATTGATTTCTTTGCAAATCATCTCTATGCAGGAGTTTGATAGTGTTTATGGTCCGGCATGGCATTGCATTGTAGGGACAAGTTTTGGGTCCTTCGTGACCCATTCAGTTGGTGGGTTTCTCTATTTCTCAATGGACTCCAAATTCTATGTCCTCTTGTTTAAGACTACAGTCCAGAGAGCAGCAGTTTCAGTTGAATAATTGGGATTACAGGACGAACCCATTGAAATAGAACCACAAACTCTTTCATTCCTCTCTGTCATAGATTAGATCAGTTTTGTGGAGCTGAAAGAGCTGGTGCAGAAGCTAAAAAGAACTGCTGTCTCTTCTACATATCTGTATTTTGAGGATTAATTTTTTTTTTCTCTTTGGCTGTAGAAACTAGGAAAGCACCAAAGCAAATGTGTGAATATGATATGGAAAGTTTTCACCTTTTCCACCCTTTGTTTCAAGGACCCCATTCCTTCTTTTACCACAAAGTTCTCCTAACTTACTGAGTAGTTTCACTGGTCAAAATTGCTGCTGCTTTCTCTCCCTGGCCACTTAGTTTCTGAATTCCATAGCATTACAACCTGTTCTAGTTTTAATGTTTGTGATGAATAGATAGATAGATTACTATAATCATAAGAACAGAAGCTGTGACTCAAACTAGTGTAGATGGATCTACAGATGAACTTAGAACACCATATCTTACAAAAACTCCACTTTGTGTTATAACCTTCTCATTTGCACCTTCCCCTTTCCAGTCTCCATACATATCCCATTTTGTCTGTGGTGTGTGGGGTTATCTTGGGATTCCAGGACCACTCCACCCTTAAGAGGGAAATGAGACAAAAAGGGGAAGAAAGTCTTTGTTACCCAGAGAGTGCAATTCTGTGTGGGTAGTTTCAGGAATCTGGTCCTAGAAACCTACAAACAGAGAATTGGCCTGGACTGGAAGTTGTGCACTATGTGGACTGTAGTTGGGACCAAACCTATGAACAGAAGTCTCAATCAATGATGTTGATGATGCAGTGTCATTAAGCTCTTTGAGTCGTTAGAATGCTGTGAGTGGGATGGTAGGCAGTGTTAGAAATTTGCTAAGAGATTCTGGTTTAAGACTCTCCATTGTTCTTTTTGCTTTTCTTAATTAGGGTAGCTTTTGTACTTTGAATTGGAAGACACTCAATGGATTTTTTTTTACAATGATTACCAACTTTTATTCCACCAAACAACTGAAAGACGAGAAACTCGGTTACAATTTTAAAGAAGATCAGAAATGAGATCAAGAATATTAATCCAATCATCAGAAAGCGATGCTCGAGCTTTTGATCTTGCAACCCAATCTGCTCTGACATTAAGTGTTCTGGGCACTTCTTTGATTTTGATGAGAGGGTATGTCCGAAGGATAGAAATAATCGATCCGATCCATGCTGCACACCTCCACGGCCAACGAGAGCGATCATAATCCAAAGTTCTCACCAGCACATGACAGTCGGATTGAACCGTACATTCAGATCCATATTCTTGAGCTAATTTCACTCCTTCGAGAAGGGCCTTAGTTTCTGCTTCAATCGGGGTGGAACAAAGAAGATTCTCAGCTCTCCCATCACACACTTGTCCATGGTGGTTAACAACCACAACACCATATGCCGCCGACTGGGAGTCGCTAATGAACGACCCATCACAGTGAATCACCAAAGGCTGATTACTTGACGGTGGATTCGTATGAGACTGGGTTCCCCTGAGCTGAGTGGGAAGGGAGGGCTGGGGAGGTGGGGACCTCGGGCACGAATTCCATTCAGTAAGCTCTTTAAAAGTAAGTTGGCACACCTTCGGAGGCCACGGAATTCTACCCTTGAAGGAGCATTCGTTCCTCGCCTTCCAAATGTTCTAACAGAGGAAAACAATATGGATCAAGGAGCTATGTTGAATAACATCTTTAAGGGAGCAGAACCAGTCAAAGAACAAGGTTCCCTGAGGTGGTAAAGGGAGAGACGGAAAAAGAGCATTCCTTGCCACCTTGGCATGGGGGCATTGGAACAGGCAGTGATTGACGGATTCGACAGGGTTCTGGCACACCTGACAAGAAGAATTGGGGGCACACTTCCTCTAGAGCAATCTCTCTTTCGTTGCTAATCCATTCCTGGAGCATCTCCAAACAAAGAATTTCAATTTCGGGGGGATGTGAAGGCTCCATATCCATTTCCATTTTTCCGTATTCCCGCTTGGTTGCGTATTGGTGTTGGCTCTGTGAATCGTATGGTATGCAGATTTCACCGTAAACTTTCCCTCTTCATTGTAGTTCCATGCCCAAAAGTCTTCAGTTCCATCCTCCCCGACTGGAATCCTGAGGATAGCTTCAAGTTCTGAGCTAGACACATGTCCCTAGATAACATCCGGAATCCACTTCCTTTCTCCAGGATCAATCCACTCGTTGACCTTTTGATGATTCTGGGGGCCAGTCCTGAGAGCATAATTGTCCAAAGTGGGGATCCAGGGGTCCCGATCGATCCACGTTTCTTCACCTGATCCGATCACTCGAACTGCTCCCAAACCTAGCACCTTTTTTGCCTCCCAAAGACTAGCCCAGATTCATGAAGCTTTGCTCCCCTTTTTAGCATTAAGAAAATCACCTCTAGGGAAATACAAACCTTTCAGTAGACGGCTCCACAATGACTCAGGGGTAGTGAGGAGGTGCCAAGCCTGCTTAGCGAGAAGGGCAAGGTTAAAATCATTGAAGCTCCTGAAGCCCAAACCTCCCTCATACTTAGGCAAGCATAGGATTTCCTTCCTACACCAATGGAGGCTATTTTTCTGCATCGACCCTGACCAAAAGAAATTACTAAGAAGAGAGTCTATTCTCTTAGTGAGTACCTTTGGGGGATAGAACAAGCACATAATATACGATGGAATAGCTTGAATAACTGCTTTCAGAAGGATTTCTTTTCCACCATGAGAGAGAATGAGCCTTTTCCATGCTTCCCCCATTTTTTCCATCCTTTGAATGAGGAAATTAAAAGGTTCTTTCTTCGAGTTTCCCCACTCCGTCGGGACCCCAAGATACTTTGAGTGACAATTCGAGGAAGCGAAGCCAATGCTCGCTATGATCTGATCTTTGACGTTGCATGAGACATTGGCACCGAAGATTTGTTAATATTAACCTCTTGACCTGTGATAGCTCCATACTCCCCAATGAGATCGATAATTTTCTGCGCTTCCTGGTAATCTGCCTTGCCAAAAATGACTGTGTCATCTGCAAACAGGCAATGGGTGAGCACTGGGCATCTAGCGTTCAGCTTAATCCCCTTCAGACTATAGTTCGCCACAACCTTGTCAATCAAGAAGGTGAGGGCGTTAGACATGAGAATGAATAAGAATGGTGTGAGAGGGTCTCCCTGGCGAATGCCTCGGGAAGGCCTGAAAGAGTCAGTTGCTTCTCCATTGAAAAGAATAGAGAAGCTGACTGTTCTAATGCAAGCATTGACCCACCCACACCATTTAGTGTCAAACCCATACTTCTTGAGGAGAGCCTCCAGACATTCCCAATCCAACATATCATAAGCCTTCTTCATATCCAATTTCAACATCATATCTCTTCTCCTCCCCAATTTATGGTGCTTGAAATGATGAAGGGCTTCATGGACAATGATGATATTATCTTAAATAAGCCTGCCCCCAGTGAATGTTGTTTGGAGTTCAGATACCAGCTCGGGAGTCCATCTCTTGAGGTGCGTTGCCATAATCTTAGATATGATTTTATATCTAAAATTACAGCAGCTAATAGGACGGAATTGGCTTATCAGTTCGGGGTTATCGACCTTGGGGATCATTGCAATATGAGTCTCATTCTATCCAGCTGGCATATTAGCCGTCTCGAAAAATCCTCTAACTTCTCGACACACGGTGTCTCCTAGGATGTCCCCGTATCTCCTATAAAATCTTCCTGAGAATCCATCAGGACCAGGAGCTTTGCGAGCACCCAGAGAGAATCAGATTCCTAGCCTTAAAAAGATCCATGTAAAACTCTTCTGCTAGTCTTTTGAGGCTATTTTCATCTTCTATCCAATTTCCTTCTCCATCTTTGAGTTTCAGGATTTTGTTTCTATGCTTTCTATATATAGTGCTTGAATGAAAGAAGGATTTCTGATCACCTTTTTGGAGCCAGTTAACTCTTGAGCATTGGCTCCAGAATGCTTCTTCATCCCTCCAAAGTTTAGTCAATTCAATAGTAAGCATCTTCTCCTCCTCCATATTCTCCATTATTCTTGGTGGATGTTGAAGAATTTCGAGCCTAGAGAGAATTTCTTGCTCCCTCTGCATACTATTCTTATGGAAGTCTTTTGCCCACTCCTTTAAATCTCTTTCACATTTGTTCAGCTGGTCCGTTGATTGGCCTCCCGGGTCCCACGCTCGGGCAATTATCTTCTTGCATTCTTCTTTCTCCAGCCATCTTTCATCAATCCTAAAGGGTGTCTTTTTCCTCCTGTTTCCCCGATAATGAAGATCCAGTCTGATCGGGCAGTGATCCGACTCCACCATATTCTCATAGAAGACCACTGCTTCGCTAAATTGTGCACGCCAGGACGTTGAGCATAGCACACGATCCAATCTCACTCTCGTCAGGTTTTGGCCCGTTCTCTTGTTGGTCCAAGTGAAGGGCTCCCCCTTGTACCCCAGGTCAATAAGAGCATTCTGGAATATGAACCTCTTAAAAGGTTCAACATTCTCGTACCTAAGAGGGCATCTCCCTTCCTTTTCATTTTCATAAATTGCAGCATTAAAATCCCCTACAACCACCGAGTTATCATCCCTACTACTCCGCAGAGAGCTCAAGTGCTCCCAAAAATCCCTTCTACTAACTGCTGTAGAGGGCGCATGAACAAAAGTACAGAAAAATTTCCTACCCATATCTATACTAACATCCATGTAGTAGCTATTACTACTTAATACCGTAATATTGATACCCGATTTCCACCATAAAGCAAAACCCCTAGAAGAGTTGACCGGTTCAACATACTCTCTACTGGCGAACCACCGCTGCCCTTGATTCATCTTCCTGACTCTCCGCCACCTCTTCTGATCTCGTCCCTTTTTTAGCACTTTTTTTTCTCTATTACCTTTCTTCTTTCTGTTCTTCCCCTCTTGACCTCCCATAAAAAATGTTCCATCAGAAATAAGAGGGCCTGTCGACTCCAGCCTGCTAGTCCCCTTTCTCTTCTTTCGGGCCCGACCCGCTTCTTCCTCCAATTCTTCTTCAGCATGGTGATACAGGCCCGCTCAATCACTTAAGAGCTTTCCCTGGGCCCTCTCATCATTTCCCTGGGTCTGCGGCCCAAGGGAGAGTGTTGTTTGCACTTCCCCAGCCCGACCGCCATAGCCCATTCCCACTTCCCTGGTCTGGTTTCCAGCGCCCAAACCACCGCCGTCCTCTCCCAATCTCAGACCCCATTTGAGTTCCTCCGTCGCTCTCTCCAGATCGATGGAGATGTCTCTACCTCCCATCCCTTCCCTGTATCTTCCCCTCTGCCTACCCACGAACCCCTGGTCTTCCCTCTGTATTTGCCCTTCTTCCTCTCGTTGGATAGTGAAACCTGGAGGGATTCTCGGCACCCCCCCGATGAGCCGCCCATCTCCGCCGACGAGTCGCTTTCAACCGCCTCATTCCTCCGATAATTCCCTCTTCCTTCTCCCCTGTTCCTAGCTTGAGCCGCGGAGCTTCTATGTGGCGAGTCGATCCCCGCCTTAAGAGAGGCGGTGTAGACCTCCGACAGGTAAGCCACACCATTCTTCTTCCTTTCCTCATTCATTCTTCTACATGTTGGCCAGTTATGCCCAATTCTGCCACAGAAGTAGCACAGCTCCACCAATCTCTCATATTTGAATTCAATCACATCGCAGTGCTCTACTCCTGTGAATTCATCAAGAAAGGGGAAATCGAAACCAACTGGGACAGGTTCCCTGATATCTACCTCCACTAGAATGCGAAGGAACTTCCTGTATCCGGTATATTCCAGGCTTGTTCTGTCAAGATCCAACATCTCCAAGAAGTAGCTTGATCCAATTGCCTCCATATTCTCCTCACTCCTTTGACTTTGGTGCACGCCATGGATCTGAACCCACATCGCCATCTTTTCGATCGGCACATCTTCGGGCTTCCCTCTTCCATTGTACTTCTCAATTGCCGTCATAGTGTTCGACAAGCTCTAGGGTCTATCTCTCCAAATCTTGTCTCTGATCTCCATGCTATTGAAGGTAAACAGGAACAGGTTTGGTGTTTCGGTTGGTTGAATGTTCACCTCACCGAAGCAGCCCCACGTGTAACGAGCCGCTCCAGTTGCTTTTGCCACTACAACCTTGCTCTCTGTCAGCATCTTCCCCAACAGTATGGACATCCCTCTCCCTCCAATTGAGGACAGGACAAGGCGTCCCCCTCTGCCCCTGGTTGACGACTGGACTAGGCTTCCCCTCCCCTGGTTGGTGTTTGCTTCATTGTTGATGGACTCCATCCTTGGGCACAGCAGCTTGGTTTGAGATTTGGTTTGTGACAGAGGGATTTTTTCTTTGCTAAAGGTGGGTATTGAGACCAACAAGAACCAGGGAGAATAGGCAGCAGTACTGAAAATGTGAGCACAGCCTTCTCTTCCCCTCTTCCACCTCCCTTTAAAGCTTTTTCCTCTCCTGTTCACCTCTCTTCCCTCTTGAATGCGGTAGCTATCTTTCTTGTCAATCGCTTCTTTATTCTTCAGGGGACTTGGTAGAGCTTTCCCCTGCTTTTCCCCTGTCATAACAGAGGCTCTTGGCTCAATGTTGCCTCCATTTTGCTCGAGGTGGATGGCATAGTCACAGATCAGAGATTTAGCTATTGATTTTCCCCTTTTCCATTTACTTCTCCTTCCTCTGCTTTGGCTGGGAAAGCCTTTATTGCCGCCATCTGGAGGTTTCCAAACTTCCCTCTTCTTAACACCATCTTCTGCTTCTTCTCCGAGTAGTCCAATCAACATAAGAATCTTCCCTGCCCCTGGATTTATGGTACTAACATCATCTTTATGCATAACAGGTGGGTGGGGAAGATTATTGGTGTGAGATTTGGTCACCAGAATGCTCTTTGCAAGAGCTGGAAGAGTCCTAGCTAAGGGGACGGAAAATGAATCGTTGCTTGGTTCAGAGAATGTGTCCGTTAGAGAGAGAGAGAAGAGAGAGGCATTTTTTTCATCAGGAAAGCTACTACTCAATTATGGATTCAAAGAGAGATGAACGACTCATAAAGCAGGGGAGGCTTAAAGCCATCCAATGATTTTTCCTTAGTTGGTTTAAGTGCTAAGTGGAGTGGAGGGCTCTTTACTACCAAGAAGAAGCAATGTACTGTTGAAGTTTAACATACAAAAGACTGGACTTGATGTTGAAGCAAAAAGCCGAAATGACCACATTGGAGACAAAAACAAATGTAGAAGTTTAACATACAAAAGACTGGACTTGATGTTGAAGCAAAAAGCCGAAATGATCACATTGGAGACAAAAACAAATGTAGATAAGAGCAATTTTAGATCCTAAAAATAGAAGAGCATATCTCTCCAGACTAACTAAGCTTCTTTCACAAGCAATATTCTCTTATTGGTATTCTTCTACCAAGAAAAATACGTGTTAGATGAGAATACACATCTAAGATTTGTTCAAATACAATCTCATTAAGGAATCTCTCGCTTTTTAATACAAGCCTTGAAACACATGCACATTGGATTTTCATACCAAATCTTTGGATAACGTCCAAAAACAGCATCTCCGAACCTGAGTTGACAGGTAATGTCACACTTTCTAGTAATAGTATCATAATTCCGACTGCTTGCGTCTATATGGATGTTTGCAAAATTGCAAAACTCTGCATCTGCTCGTACCATCTCGTTTCCTATTTCATTAAAACAATATAATCCCAACAAAAGAAAAGGTTTAGCCAAGTAATACACATTATCAATTACCATTCTACATGAGTAACAAAAATTCAAATGAAACAATAAAAAGATCAGAGAATTACCATGAATGAGACAAATCATTAGGATACCAAAGATAAAGATCGACAAATACATTGGATATTAATTATTTTCATATTTTTTTAAACTGGCATGAACCGGCACAAACTGGTTATACCACCGGTCGTATCATTCCACTTGCCAAACCGGCACAACGGTATAAACTGGTTTGACAACCTTGGTCTAAACATATTTTTATTAAACTATACAAAATTAAACTCTAATAATCATTTCATACCAAGTGATAACTTGTGTGACCGTTCATATGATAATTTCTCAATCTTTTATCCATTGACGACTGACGAGTACATTATAAAGCATTAACAGAGTAGGGATGGCAATGGGTCGGGTTGGGTCGGGTTTTGTCAAACCCAAACCCAAACCCATGGGTTTATCCGCCAAAAAAACCCGGGGTAAAACCCGTTGGGTTTGAAAAACTCAAACCCAACCCAACCCGCTGGGTATCCGCGGATTTATGGGTACCCGTGGGTTTTTTTGGTAAAAAATTTACAATAACAAGTTTTTTTCAAAATAAAAGTTTAACATCAATTTTCTCATACAAATTAATCATACAAAAAAACACCAATCTAGAGCATACAAGCAAACCGCAAATGATCAATACAAATTGTTCAAAATTAAAGATAAACATCTATAAACAAAAGATTAATTGAAAGTTTCTTCCTCGTCAACTAAGTTTCTTCACTCTCCACTTCATAATATCAACTTCATTCTAAACAATTAGAAAGAACAAATTATACATGTCTCCACAAACATAAAGAATATTAATTTGTTAAGGAAAATATATTATTTAGAATATTAAATATACCGGGAAAGTAATTATATGTGTGGGCGGGTACCCATGGGTCGGGTTTACCTAAACCCAAACCCAACCCGACCCGGTGAATAATGTAGCGGGTTTAAACCCGAACCCGGCCCAAAACCCGTCAACACGGATTTTACCCGTGTTGACCGGGTTGGGTCGAGTGGGTACCCGTGGGTTCGGGTTTGATTGCCATCCCTTAGATCTGAGTCAATGGTCAAAGCGAACGAGACAACGGCCTTTCCATTCCGTTCCAATTTCCCATACCCGTGGCATGGTTTGCATGTTAGGAAGAAGACAAAACCAGATCTCCACCTTCACTCGCCAGTTCCTCATAACAAAACCTAGCTTAGCAGAACCGAACAGACTCCAGCAGCCTAGTCTGCTGAAATCTAAGCAACATTCCACCCACCACCAACCTTCCTTCACACCGCCACCATGGATCCCACTTCCCAAGCATCCAAATCCCACCACCCCACCAACATCATTAACAGAGATCCTCCTCCAACTAAACCCTGTGGCGGCAGTAGCAGGAGTTCATCTTTCATGTCTAATTACTTGTCTCCCAGACTCCTAAACCCATCTCACCACCACCACCACCCCCGCTCCAGCGACAAAATGACCGCTTCCGCTGATTTCGAAGCTTCTTCCTTGTTCCCTGCTGCTAAGGCCAAGTACTACTCCCAGCAGAGGAGGCAGAGTGATGGCAGGGACGAGAAAGAGACCCTGAAGAGGGTCGTTGGAAAGCACAAATCTTTACCCGAGGGGAAGATCAAGAAGCAGGATTTGGATGTTGGTTTGGTGTTGGTGGAGGAGGAGAAGAAGAAGAAAGTTTTGGTTTTGAGTGAGAAGACCAAGAAGAAGAACAGTAGCAGCAAGAGGGACGATGTTGAAGATTATGAGTTTGGGAAGAAGGAATTGAGAAAGGAAATGGATCTTTTGTTGCTTGAAGGGGTTGATGATGTTAAGAGAAGGAGATCCATGAGTGATTCGCGAGTGGAGTTGGGTGATTCCTTAGCAAGCAAAAATGCTAATATTGTCTCGGTTGATATGCCCCCATTTATGCAGATCCATGCCATTGATTGTGCCAGGAAGACTTGTGATAGTCTCGAGAAGTTCGTTGCCAAGACCCTCGCTCTCACTCTCAAGAAGGTAACAGCTGCTACTCATCTATCACATCTCCACATTGCAGAAGTGGAATGTCTGGATTGTTAATTGATTGATTGAGGGATTGTTTCAGTTAATTCAATGGGTTGTGTCTACATTTGCTGATTGATTTCTTTGCAAATCATCTCTATGCAGGAGTTTGATAGTGTTTATGGTCCGGCATGGCATTGCATTGTAGGGACAAGTTTTGGGTCCTTCGTGACCCATTCAGTTGGTGGGTTTCTCTATTTCTCAATGGACTCCAAATTCTATGTCCTCTTGTTTAAGACTACAGTCCAGAGAGCAGCAGTTTCAGTTGAATAATTGGGATTACAGGACGAACCCATTGAAATAGAACCACAAACTCTTTCATTCCTCTCTGTCATAGATTAGATCAGTTTTGTGGAGCTGAAAGAGCTGGTGCAGAAGCTAAAAAGAACTGCTGTCTCTTCTACATATCTGTATTTTGAGGATTAATTTTTTTTTTCTCTTTGGCTGTAGAAACTAGGAAAGCACCAAAGCAAATGTGTGAATATGATATGGAAAGTTTTCACCTTTTCCACCCTTTGTTTCAAGGACCCCATTCCTTCTTTTACCACAAAGTTCTCCTAACTTACTGAGTAGTTTCACTGGTCAAAATTGCTGCTGCTTTCTCTCCCTGGCCACTTAGTTTCTGAATTCCATAGCATTACAACCTGTTCTAGTTTTAATGTTTGTGATGAATAGATAGATAGATTACTATAATCATAAGAACAGAAGCTGTGACTCAAACTAGTGTAGATGGATCTACAGATGAACTTAGAACACCATATCTTACAAAAACTCCACTTTGTGTTATAACCTTCTCATTTGCACCTTCCCCTTTCCAGTCTCCATACATATCCCATTTTGTCTGTGGTGTGTGGGGTTATCTTGGGATTCCAGGACCACTCCACCCTTAAGAGGGAAATGAGACAAAAAGGGGAAGAAAGTCTTTGTTACCCAGAGAGTGCAATTCTGTGTGGGTAGTTTCAGGAATCTGGTCCTAGAAACCTACAAACAGAGAATTGGCCTGGACTGGAAGTTGTGCACTATGTGGACTGTAGTTGGGACCAAACCTATGAACAGAAGTCTCAATCAATGATGTTGATGATGCAGTGTCATTAAGCTCTTTGAGTCGTTAGAATGCTGTGAGTGGGATGGTAGGCAGTGTTAGAAATTTGCTAAGAGATTCTGGTTTAAGACTCTCCATTGTTCTTTTTGCTTTTCTTAATTAGGGTAGCTTTTGTACTTTGAATTGGAAGACACTCAATGGATTTTTTTTTACAATGATTACCAACTTTTATTCCACCAAACAACTGAAAGACGAGAAACTCGGTTACAATTTTAAAGAAGATCAGAAATGAGATCAAGAATATTAATCCAATCATCAGAAAGCGATGCTCGAGCTTTTGATCTTGCAACCCAATCTGCTCTGACATTAAGTGTTCTGGGCACTTCTTTGATTTTGATGAGAGGGTATGTCCGAAGGATAGAAATAATCGATCCGATCCATGCTGCACACCTCCACGGCCAACGAGAGCGATCATAATCCAAAGTTCTCACCAGCACCTGACAGTCGGATTGAACCGTACATTCAGATCCATATTCTTGAGCTAATTTCACTACTTCGAGAAGGGCCTTAGTTTCTGCTTCAATCGGGGTGGAACAAAGAAGATTCTCAGCTCTCCCATCACACACTTGTCCATGGTGGTTAACAACCACAACACCATATGCCGCCGACTGGGAGTCGCTAATGAACGACCCATCACAGTGAATCACCAAAGGCTGATTACTTGACGGTGGATTCGTATGAGACTGGGTTCCCCTGAGCTGAGTGGGAAGGGAGGGCAGGGGAGGTGGGGACCTCGGGCACGAATTCCATTCAGTAAGCTCTTTAAAAGTAAGTTGGCACACCTTCGGAGGCCACAGAATTCTACCCTTGAAGGAGCATTCGTTCCTCGCCTTCCAAATGTTCTAACAGAGGAAAACAATATGGATCAAGGAGCTATGCTGAATAACATCTTTAAGGGAGCAGAACCAGTCAAAGAACAAGGTTCCCTGAGGTGGTAAAGGGAGAGACGGAAAAAGAGCATTCCTTGCCACCTTGGCATGGGGGCATTGGAACAGGCAGTGATTGACGGATTCGACAGGGTTCTGGCACACCTGACAAGAAGAATTGGGGGCACACTTCCTCTAGAGCAATCTCTCTTTCGTTGCTAATCCATTCCTGGAGCATCTCCAAACAAAGAATTTCAATTTCGGGGGGATGTGAAGGCTCCATATCCATTTCCATTTTTCCGTATTCCCGCTTGGTTGCGTATTGGTGTTGGCTCTGTGAATCGTATGGTATGCAGATTTCACCGTAAACTTTCCCTCTTCATTGTAGTTCCATGCCCAAAAGTCTTCAGTTCCATCCTCCCCGACTGGAATCCTGAGGATAGCTTCAAGTTCTGAGCTAGACACATGTCCCTAGATAACATCCGGAATCCACTTCCTTTCTCCAGGATCAATCCACTCGTTGACCTTTTGATGATTCTGGGGGCCAGTCCTGAGAGCATAATTGTCCAAAGTGGGGATCCAGGGGTCCCGATCGATCCACGTTTCTTCACATGATCCGATCACTCGAACTGCTCCCAAACCTAGCACCTTTTTTGCCTCCCAAAGACTAGCCCAGATTCATGAAGCTTTGCTCCCCTTTTTAGCATTAAGAAAAATCACCTCTAGGGAAATACAAACCTTTCAGTAGACGGCTCCACAATGACTCAGGGGTAGTGAGGAGGCGCCAAGCCTGCTTAGCGAGAAGGGCAAGGTTAAAATCATTGAAGCTCCTGAAGCCCAAACCTCCCTCATACTTAGGCAAGCATAGGATTTCCTTCCTACACCAATGGAGGCTATTTTTCTGCATCGACCCTGACCAAAAGAAATTACTAAGAAGAGAGTCTACTCTCTTAGTGAGTACCTTTGGGGGATAGAACAAGCACATAATATACGATGGAATAGCTTGAATAACTGCTTTCAGAAGGATTTCTTTTCCACCATGAGAGAGAATGAGACTTTTCCATGCTTCCCCCATTCTTTCCATCCTTTGAATGAGGAAATTAAAAGTTTCTTTCTTCGAGTTTCCCCACTCCGTCGGGACCCCAAGATACTTTGAGTGACAATTCGAGGAAGCGAAGCCAATGCTCGCTATGATCTGATCTTTGACGTTGCATGGGACATTGGCACCGAAGATTTGTTAATATTAACCTCTTGACCTGTGATAGCTCCATACTCCCCAATGAGATCGATAATTTTCTGCGCTTCCTGGTAATCTGCCTCGCCAAAAATGACTGTGTCATCTGCAAACAGGCAATGGGTGAGCACTGGGCATCTAGCGTTCAGCTTAATCCCCTTCAGACTATCGTTCGCCACAACCTTGTCAATCAAGAAGGTGAGGGCGTTAGACATGAGAATGAATAAGAATGGTGTGAGAGGGTCTCCCTGGCGAATGCCTCGGGAAGGCCTGAAAGAGTCAGTTGCTTCTCCATTGAAAAGAATAGAGAAGCTGACTGTTCTAATGCAAGCATTGACCCACCCACACCATTTAGTGTCAAACCCATACTTCTTGAGGAGAGCCTCCAGACATTCCCAATCCAACATATCATAAGCCTTCTTCATATCCAATTTCAACATCATATCTCTTCTCCTCCCCAATTTATGGTGCTTGAAATGATGAAGGGCTTCATGGACAATGATGATATTATCTTAAATAAGCCTGCCCCCAGTGAATGTTGTTTTGAGTTCAGATACCAGCTCGGGAGTCCATCTCTTGAGGCGCGTTGCCATAATCTTAGATATTATTTTATATCTAAAATTACAGCAGCTAATAGGACGGAATTGGCTTATCAGTTCGGGGTTATCGACCTTGGGGATCATTGCAATATGAGTCTCATTCTATCCAGCTGGCATATTAGCCGTCTCGAAAAATCCTCTAACTTCTCGACACACGGTGTCTCCTAGGATTTCCCAGTATCTCCTATAAAATCTTCCTGAGAATCCATCAGGACCAGGAGCTTTGCGAGCACCTAGAGAGAAAACCGCTTTTCTAATTTCCCCATCAGTCACCGCAGTACAGAGATCCTCGTTCATCTGCGTAGTCACTTTTTCAGGGAAGCCTTCCAACAAATGGTTAAAAGGAATCAGATTCCTAGCCTTAAAAAGATCCATGTAAAACTCTTCTGCTAGTCTTTTGAGGCTATTTTCATCTTCTATCCAATTTCCTTCTCCATCTTTGAGTTTCAGGATTTTGTTTCTATGCTTTCTATATATAGTGCTTGAATGAAAGAAGGATTTCTGATCACCTTTTTGGAGCCAGTTAACTCTTGAGCATTGGCTCCAGAATGCTTCTTCATCCCTCCAAAGTTTAGTCAATTCAATAGTAAGCATCTTCTCCTCCTCCATATTCTCCATTATTCTTGGTGGATGTTGAAGAATTTCGAGCCTAGAGAGAATTTCTTGCTCCCTCTGCATACTATTCTTATGGAAGTCTTTTGCCCACTCCTTTAAATCTCTTTCACATTTGTTCAGCTGGTCCGTTGATTGGCCTCCCGGGTCCCACGCTCGGGCAATTATCTTCTTGCATTCTTCTTTCTCCAACCATCTTTCATCAATCCTAAAGGGTGTCTTTTTCCTCCTGTTTCCCCGATAATGAAGATCCAGTCTGATCGGGCAGTGATCCGACTCCACCATATTCTCATAGAAGACCACTGCTTCGCTAAATTGTGCACGCCAGGACGTTGAGCATAGCACACGATCCAATCTCACTCTCGTCAGGTTTTGGCCCGTTCTCTTGTTGGTCCAAGTGAAGGGCTCCCCCTTGTACCCCAGGTCAATAAGAGCATTCTGGAATATGAACCTCTTAAAAGGTTCAACATTCTCGTACCTAAGAGGGCATCTCCCTTCCTTTTCATTTTCATAAATTGCAGCATTAAAATCCCCTACAACCACCGAGTTATCATCCCTACTACTCCGCAGAGAGCTCAAGTGCTCCCAAAAATCCCTTCTACTAACTGCTGTAGAGGGCGCATGAACAAAAGTACAGAAAAATTTCCTACCCATATCTATACTAACATCCATGTAGTAGCTATTACTACTTAATACCGTAATATTAATACCCGATTTCCACCATAAAGCAAAACCCCTAGAAGAGTTGACCGGTTCAACATACTCTCTACTGGCGAACCACCGCTGCCCTTGATTCATCTTCCTGACTCTCCGCCACCTCTTCTGATCTCGTCCCTTTTTTAGCACCTTTTTTTCTCTATTACCTTTCTTCTTTCTGTTCTTCCCCTCTTGACCTCCCATAAAAAATGTTCCATCAGAAATAAGAGGGCCTGTCGACTCCAGCCTGCTAGTCCCCTTTCTCTTCTTTCGGGCCCGACCCGCTTCTTCCTCCAATTCTTCTTCAGCATGGTGATACAGGCCCGCTCAATCACTTAAGAGCTTTCCCTGGGCCCTCTCATCATTTCCCTGGGTCTGCGGCCCAAGGGAGAGTGTTGTTTGCACTTCCCCAGCCCGACCGCCATAGCCCATTCCCACTTCCCTGGTCTGGTTTCCAGCGCCCAAACCACCGCCGTCCTCTCCCAATCTCAGACCCCATTCGAGTTCCTCCGCCGCTCTCTCCAGATCGATGGAGATGTCTCTACCTCCCATCCCTTCCCTGTATCTTCCCCTCTGCCTACCCACGAACCCCTGGTCTTCCCTCTGTATTTGCCCTTCTTCCTCTCGTTGGATAGTGAAACCTGGAGGGATTCTCGGCACCCCCCCGATGAGCCGCCCATCTCCGCCGACGAGTCGCTTTCAACCGCCTCATTCCTCCGATAATTCCCTCTTCCTTCTCCCCTGTTCCTAGCTTGAGCCGCGGAGCTTCTATGTGGCGAGTCGATCCCCGCCTTAAGAGAGGCGGTGTAGACCTCCGACAGGTAAGCCACACCATTCTTCTTCCTTTCCTCATTCATTCTTCTACATGTTGGCCAGTTATGCCCAATTCTGCCACAGAAGTAGCACAGCTCCACCAATCTCTCATATTTGAATTCAATCACATCGCAGTGCTCTACTCCTGTGAATTCATCAAGAAAGGGGAAATCGAAACCAACTGGGACAGGTTCCCTGATATCTACCTCCACTAGAATGCGAAGGAACTTCCTGTATCCGGTATATTCCAGGCTTGTTCTGTCAAGATCCAACATCTCCAAGAAGTAGCTTGATCCAATTGCCTCCATATTCTCCTCACTCCTTTGATTTTGGTGCACGCCATGGATCTGAACCCACATCGCCATCTTTTCGATCGGCACATCTTCGGGCTTCCCTCTTCCATTGTACTTCTCAATTGCCGTCATAGTGTTCGACAAGCTCTAGGGTCTATCTCTCCAAATCTTGTCTCTGATCTCCATGCTATTGAAGGTAAACAGGAACAGGTTTGGTGTTTCGGTTGGTTGAATGTTCACCTCACCGAAGCAGCCCCACGTGTAACGAGCCGCTCCAGTTGCTTTTGCCACTACAACCTTGCTCTCTGTCAGCATCTTCCCCAACAGTATGGACATCCCTCTCCCTCCAATTGAGGACAGGACAAGGCGTCCCCCTCTGCCCCTGGTTGACGACTGGACTAGGCTTCCCCTCCCCTGGTTGGTGTTTGCTTCATTGTTGATGGACTCCATCCTTGGGCACAGCAGCTTGGTTTGAGATTTGGTTTGTGACAGAGGGATTTTTTCTTTGCTAAAGGTGGGTATTGAGACCAACAAGAACCAGGGAGAATAGGCAGCAGTACTGAAAATGTGAGCACAGCCTTCTCTTCCCCTCTTCCACCTCCCTTTAAAGCTTTTTCCTCTCCTGTTCACCTCTCTTCCCTCTTGAATGCGGTAGCTATCTTTCTTGTCAATCGCTTCTTTATTCTTCAGGGGACTTGGTAGAGCTTTCCCCTGCTTTTCCCCTGTCATAACAGAGGCTCTTGGCTCAATGTTGCCTCCATTTTGCTCGAGGTGGATGGCATAGTCACAGATCAGAGATTTAGCTATTGATTTTCCCCTTTTCCATTTACTTCTCCTTCCTCTGCTTTGGCTGGGAAAGCCTTTATTGCCGCCATCTGGAGGTTTCCAAACTTCCCTCTTCTTAACACCATCTTCTGCTTCTTCTCCGAGTAGTCCAATCAACATAAGAATCTTCCCTGCCCCTGGATTTATGGTACTAACATCATCTTTATGCATAACAGGTGGGTGGGGAAGATTATTGGTGTGAGATTTGGTCACCAGAATGCTCTTTGCAAGAGCTGGAAGAGTCCTAGCTAAGGGGACGGAAAATGAATCGTTGCTTGGTTCAGAGAATGTGTCCGTTAGAGAGAGAGAGAAGAGAGAGGCATTTTTTTCATCAGGAAAGCTACTACTCAATTATGGATTCAAAGAGAGATGAACGACTCATAAAGCAGGGGAGGCTTAAAGCCATCCAATGATTTTCCATAGTTGGTTTAAGTGCTAAGTGGAGTGGAGGGCTCTTTACTACCAAGAAGAAGCAATGTACTGTTGAAGTTTAACATACAAAAGACTGGACTTGATGTTGAAGCAAAAAGCCGAAATGATCACATTGGAGACAAAAACAAATGTAGATAAGAGCAATTTTAGATCCTAAAAATAGAACAACATATCTCTCTAGACTAACTAAGCTTCTTTCACAAGCAATATTCTCTTATTGGTATTCTTCTACCAAGAAAAATACGTGTTAGATGAGAATACACATCTAAGATTTGTTCAAATACAATCTCATTAAGGAATCTCTCGCTTTTTAATACAAGCCTTGAAACACATGCACATTGGATTTTCATACCAAATCTTTGGATAACGTCCAAAAACAGCATCTCCGAACCTGAGTTGACAGGTAATGTCACACTTTCTAGTAATAGTATCATAATTCCGACTGCTTGCGTCTATATGGATGTTTGCAAAATTGCAAAACTCTGCATCTGCTCGTACCATCTCGTTTCCTATATCATGGTAATTCTCTGATCTTTTTATTGTTTCATTTGAATTTTTGTTACTCATGTAGAATGGTAATTGATAATGTGTATTACTTGGCTAAACCTTTTCTTTTGTTGGGATTATATCGTTTTAATGAAATTTTTGGGTCATCTAATCAAGAGTTGTGTCGAGAATTTGAACTAATCATGAAAGAAACGTTTGAGATGAGCTTAATGGGTGAGTTGACCTACTTCTTAGGTTTTCAGGTAAGTCAATTTGCTAAAGGAACTTTCATAAATCAACAAAATACCCTTTGAACATGCTGAAAAGGATTGGGTTAGAATCTCTAAAAACTGCCTCCACTCCAATGGCTACTAACATCAAACTAGACAAAGACGTGTCTGGCAGAGATGTAAATGAAAAATTATATCGAGGTATGATTGGTTCACTGCTCTATCTAACTGCCAGCAGACCTGATATAGTATTTAGTGTTGGTTTATGTGCTCGTTTCCAAAGTAGCCCTAAGGAAAGTCATTTGTCAGCAATAAAACGCATTTTTAGATACCTGGCCAATACTCCTTCCTTAGGACTATGGTATTCTTCAGATTCTAGTTTAGAACCTATTGGATATAGTGACTCAGATTATGCAGGGAGTCTAGTGGATAGGAGAAGTACACCTGGTGCTTGTCACTTTTTAGGATCTTCATTGATTTCCTGGTCAAGTAAGAAACAAAACTCTGTAGCTCTATCGACTGCAGAAGCTGAGTATATAGCAGCAGGATCCTGCTGTGCTCAACTTTTGTGGATCCAACACCAGTTGTCAGAATTTGGCATTAATCTTGGTTCTTTACCAATTCTCCGTGATAACACTAGCGCTATAAATATCACCAAGAACCCTATTCAGCATTCTAGGACTAAACATATTGACAATAGGTATCACTTCATTAGGGAATTAGTTCAAGATGAAAAGGTTCACTTAGAGTTTGTTCCCACCCGTTTTTAGTGGGCTGATATCTTTACAAAACCCCTAGGTTTAGAAAATTTTGTTGGCATTAGAAACGAACTTGATATGTTTTCCTTGGAAGAAGTAAATGATATTACTTTGAGGTAAGTTTTTGGGCAGATTTTGGAGATTGATTCTCAATCATCTTTTGACAGGCAGCAAAGTTTGGTAAGTCTCCAAAATTTTCTTTCTGTTTGTCTGCATACCTTGATTCTGATCTTGTAATAATTGGCCATTACCTTTGCTGAGATTTGGCTGTTTATTTGAAATTGATCTTGATTGCCGTAATTGATTCATTTTCTCATCAATGAAATTTTCTTTCCTGAACTCATCTCGTCAGTTTGAGTATATAATTCTTCCTCTCTTCGGCTGAGAAAGTCACTCATCCAAAATCTATTACCATCAATCGTCTGTGCTCACCTCTCCCATCATGGAGTTCAACCCTCAACTGTCCCTTATCATTGCTCGTGCTTCTGGGTTCAAAAACAATTATGTTTCTGAACCAAAATACTACCCTCACTACCTTCAAAACTACCGCCATCGTCGTTTGTTTCCCTCCTTCACCATTGAACCCTCAACTTTCAATCGTTATCGTCTGAGGGTTTCTGAGCTTATCCAAGGCCTTGGGTGGAGACCTCTCCTAGAAAACAGGAGGTTCACATACTGTCCTGAAGCAGTTCGACTGTTTTATGCCAGTATGCGCAAAGATGCCAACCAGCGTCCTGCATACTTTAATACCACAGTGTATGGACACTCTGTCACCATCACTATGGAATTTATCTCTCGTCTACTGGGTATGTCCACTGAAGGAAGGACGCTGATGTCGGAAGAAGACTTCCCTCTCTTTCATTTCAATCTCCAGGAAGAGATTAAACTCCTGGCACCGTCAACTAATGATGAATACACTGAGGCAAATTATACCCATGTGAAATTCTTGCCAGATGATCTTAAAGTGCTTCATTTCTTCATAACCAGGGTGTTTCTTCCCAGATCCTCCAACCAAATGTTGGTTACACCCACAGATGTATGGATTCTATCCCATGCAGTGTCTGGATCCCGTTTGAGCTATCCTCACCTCCTTTTCAATCACTTGCTATCCTATGGAGATCCCAGAAATCCCGACTATCTCCCTTGTGCCCTTTATATCACCAGGATGCTTTGCTGCCTTTTGATTGATCTAGAAGACAAAGTCTCCACAGTCAATGTGCTCGACACTCTGCGCGCTCAGCATGTTCTGTGACGTGTTGACGCAGTGTAGGAGTTCGAAAGCTTGTCAATCACCAAGGGGGAGAGAGCCTACCCTCCCACAGCTGTTGAGCTCTTTGAGGCTGAAATAGGGGATGGTCATCAGACCCTCTTCTACAACATCAATGAGGACCTGGCAACTTTAGCAAGGGAGTGAAGAAGGCAACTGGATCATCAATTGCAGACAAATGAAAGAGGAAGATTAACTCTTCTAACAGTCAAGAGATGCTGGGGAATCACTTCAAGGGGGAAGGAACTCGTCCTACTACTGCTGGAAAGAGTATTAAGATTCGGATTCATGGAGACACAGCATCCAGTAGTCGTCTGGAAACTCTGCAGGAAGAAATCGAACCCGAGGAAGCTTTCCCTGGAGACATTTCAGATTATGAGACCGACCCGGAGTTCGATTACTAAACTGTTTGGAAATCTCTATTGAGAGAAGTCTACTTGATAGGGTGGTCTAGTTGTTTGCTTGTTTCCTTTAAAACCTTGAGTTTGAATAAGCCTACTTTTCAGTATGGCTAGTAGTGTGAACTGGGTGAGTTATTTATTTTAAGTTGCTGGATAAGTATGAACTGGATGAATTGTTTAAGTTAAATGATTGGTTGAGTTTTCGTGTGAACTGGGTGAGTTATTTATTTTAAGTTGCTGGATAAGTATGAACTGGATGAATTGCCTAAGTTAACTGATTGGTTGAGTTTTCGTCGAATACTGTTAACTCATGAAGAACTATTTAACGAGTGGAGCAGTTGGAGTGCTATTCTTTCCTTCTTTCTTCTTTTCACAGTTTTGGGAATTGCCAAGCTGAGGGGGAGACTGTTGATGTCAGCTTGGCAAAAGATCAGAAGAAAGCTTCGTCCCCAACGGCTAGTTTCGACAAAGAAGGAAAGAAAATGGACGATGGAATCCTAGGAGCTAATCAAGCGATGTAAAAATCAAAGGCAAGAATGCGGTATACAAGCCTAGAGGATCAAGTATAAAGGGGATGGTCTGCAGAGTGATTGGGACAGCTTTTCAGCAGAGAAAAATGATACAACATAGAGGTGCGGGTGAGGGTTTTTTCAGAGTGAAAAGTGGGTCAGTGATAGGGAGAGGTTTCTGGGTTGAAATTGGTCTCTCTATATTCTATTGGTTGGGTAGTCAATAGGTGAATAAGAAAGCTGAATCTCAATCGAGCAGGGAGCTGATCGAGGGGGAGTTTGTTCCGATTTTCTTTGAATTGTTGTTAGAGCTGTAACGTTAACATTCTTAGTGAAATATCAGAGATCGCGGGGTCGCGAATCTCTGATCGTGGAATAATCGGTGCATGGATTCTTATTTATCCCTTCACCAGAAACCACGTAAAAACTCCTGTATGCTTGTTTGGTTTCAAGTCTAAGTGTGTAGCTGCTCTGTTCTCGAGCTAAAGAACAGGTTGCAGGGGAACTGGGTTCATCCTTGGAGATGGTGGATCAACCGACAACTGAACCCAGTAATACGACTGCGTTTAATCAGCGTGGGCTTGATAACTAAACGAAGGAGTGTTAATACGTGTCGTTTTGGGCCCTAAGCCCAAGTCGGGTATCTGAATCTCACTGGGATCCTAAAACTCGTCGAAGGAGAAAATGAAGAGTTAATTTCAATCAAATATTTCATCTCTTCATTCTAGGGTTTGTTCATTCTCTGAAAAATTAACAGAAGGGAAAATCAGAAGAGGAATTCGTCGGTGATCGTCTTACAGCAGCTTAACAAGGGTAAACGTCTCGCGCTCGACGTACCAACACTAATTTGAGTGCATCTGTGCGTACATATTTGATTATTGAAGTATAATATATACTCTAGTTTCAAATTAACTAGGCTAGTATTAATCATGAAACTTAAATTTTTATCTTCCGGATTTTTTAATATGATAATATAATTTAGAATTACAACTAATCTACATATCTTTACTCGTTAGTTTATTCTTATATTGGTCATTTAATGAAATCTTGAAGCTGTATCGAACATGTTTTAGAAATACTCGAAATACAAGAAGATCGTAAATAACTTTCATGTAAAGTCACACAATTTCTTTTTTCAAGATCGTTTTGAGACGAACCAAATAATTAAAATGACAAGTACCATCATTGATGTGCTGCGAAGTAGGCTAGGTACAAAATATGAATATATCACTCATCCATTTCTCTATAGACTAAACAAAAATTTATTGACCTTTTCTCTTTTCACAGGCTAGATCGATCCCTAACTTGTTTTCTACCAAAAAAAAAAAAACAAATTGTAATTAGCAACTACACCATTTGAGAGCTTGCTGGAATGCGCAGTAGTAAGTCATTAGAGAATCTCTCAATCAATTGATGACACAAGCCTTGAAACATGAGCACGTTATTTCGTCATACACAAAGTACTTGGAAACGCGTCCGAACACAGGGAATTTGGGGAACTTTTGTAGGCACAACTCGTCGCATTTCTTGGGCAGGGTATCCCAACTCCCCATTACGTTCTGGTATCGGGTATCTAAATGAACTTTTGCAAACTCACAGAGCTCTGCACGACACTCTTCTGGAACTGCTACCGCTTCCTTCCCTGTGTTTCGTTGCAAAAAACAATCACCAAAGCAACCGCAAAAATCAATTTGTTAATAGTTAACACCAATAATTACATAATATGTGAATTCACATAGTAAAAAGTTAGCGATGAAATAATATTACGCGACATCAAAATCTTGAACCATTAAAACGAGAGATAGAGAGATAGAGAGAATCACCGTGAATGAGACAAATCATTAGAAGAACAAAGATCAGAATCGATGAACTTTTCATGGTTGATTTTCCGGCTTTTGTTGAGTACGTGCCTAGGGTTTTGGTAGTGGGAAGTGATTTTTCTAACTTGAGCATCTTTTTTGAATATATTCATATAGGGAAATTTGGTAACTAAAATTCATATTTTACGGTGGCCTAACTTCTCCAGAGCAAGAGGTGGAGTAAAAATTATTATTATTTAAAGATTCCATTTTAAAATTGACCTTGCATATTTTACTCTAATCATTTGAATATTGCAGTGTGTAACTCTCGTCTCTTTAAGTTTAACCGTTTGCGATGAATTTCGAGGTTAATGTTAACAAATAGTCAAATATTGTTGATGGATTTAACCAAATGTTAAATTTATTCGAAGAACATATAAAAATGACGAGGACTTTAATATATATATATATATATATATATATATATATATATATATATATATCTATTATTAGTATCAATTCACATAATTGTCGCTCAAACAAGTAAACTTAAGGGACCAAGAGCTGCGGACTGCAATAATCATTGGGTTAAGGCTAATAATAATATTTGTGAATGGTCCTTTTTTTAGTTTTTTGTATGAATCAACGAAAGATTATTTTTAGCTCACCTATTGTTCCGGGGAAGATAAGATCTACGAAAATTAAGAAGGTTTTGTTGCCAAAATTTCCTATATGTGTGTAAAACTATGTACCAGTTCAAAAATCACCTCACTCAATAGCTAGCTAGCAAGCAACACAACGTTAAACAAAAGGTGAAAAAGCAACCATGAAGATGTCAACGATATTCATCTTTGTTCTCTTAACGATTTGTCTCGTTCATGGTAATCAATTTAGTATTTAGATCTTGGGTTTCTCATGGTTTCATGTCAAATTTAGTTATTGATGTTGCTTAATATGTATTAATTATTTCATAGTTGGTCTTGTTTCATCGAATTCATGGATTATGATGTATGTGGGTAATTATCTACGCAAACTAACCAAGTGATTTGCTTCTTCTTGTGATTATATATTTGTGATCCTGAAATAGGGAGTAAGGTTGCAGCTAGGGGTGGCTATACGGTCCGGTCCGGTTAAATTGGACAAAATTGATCCGGTCCCAGTCCGGTCTTTTCGGGAATATAAGGACCAAAGATTGGATTGGATACACTCCGTTCTTGATCCGGTCCGGTCCCAATTTGATTTTGATTTTAGATTGAGCTTGTGGGGATTTGAGTGTTGGGGTCTCTTATCCGGTCTTTATACGGGTTTTACCTCAAATCTAAGCCCGAATATGAGATTGGATTGTTTGCTAACCGGTCCCAGTCCGGTCCCGGTCCGTGTTATACGGTCCGATTTCGGGCAAAACCAAACAGTCCTGGACCAAATTGCCAGCCCTAGTTGCAGCAGCAGCTGCTGAGTGTCGTGCCAAGATCTGCGAGTTTGATACCATTAAACTAAGTGGATTCCATAGAAATGTCGGCGGCTGGGTTCCGAATCCCATGCGCAATATCTGCGACTCGCCGACTGGGCATGCCAAAATAAGTTTGGAGATTCTGTTTTTGGGCGTGTTTCCAAGGGCTTTGTGCCTGAAGGAATAGCTTGCACGTAGGGATGGCAAATTACCCACCCATGGGTAATTACACCCAAACCCAAGTAGACCCATTGATAATAGGTTGGGTATGGGTGAAATGCATATGGATTTGGGGGTTTATAGATGGGTTTGGGTTTGGGGCTTCCATAATCTAAATGGGTATGGGTTGGATATGGATATCCATTTACTTGAGGGTGTTTTAACTACACATACAAAAATTGGACCTATTTGCAAAACTTGAAAAGTTTAGGTACCAAAATGTAAGACCAAAAAAATTTAGGTACCAAAACATAATTTTCCATTGATATTTTGAGGGCTTGTATGCAAAAAAAAATTAAATTTTTAGGTACTAAATATGCATGTCTATTAAGTTTGTGTACCAAACTGTAATTTGTATTTGGGTATGGGTACAAACCCAAATCTATTTGATATAAACCCAACTCAACCCAAAGTAAATGGGTATGGGTACAAACCCATCAAACTCTACCCATATCCATCTATTTGGATTTCATGCCCAACCCAATTGGGTTGGATAGTAAGAAACCCATGGGTATGGGCAAAGTTGCCATCCCTACTTGCACGTGCTTCAAGGCCTGTGTTATCCATTGAATTCAAGAAAGGGATTCACTAGTTGTTGAAAAGTTTTGAAGTTGATAAGCAATACGCTAGTGAGTCATTTGCTTCATGAATTGAAAAATGAAGGTTTTGGTATAACTTGGGTTTTGTAAAGCCATGGATATATGAAGTTTTTTGGTTCATTATGGACTTGAAAAATACCATTGTTTGTTTCATAGATTTCATGATGGAATTGGTTAATTAGATTTGTATGTATGAAGTGAAATTTACCTTTATTGCCCTTATTGGTATAAGAAGAGAAATGAAATAGGAGGGGTAGTTTGGTCTTAAATAACGAACTTCAAAGTCCATGATGAATTCACACCTAAAGAGGTGAAACTTTCAAGTCTGTGGGATCCATGGATTTGAACCCTTAAAAGTTTGTGGGACCCAAAGATTTGTTACCCCTAAATATATGAAACAAACAATGGAATTTGGACAAAGTTCATCATTCTAATACCGAATATGTATTTGGAAATCACCCCGTGAATTTGACACAAATCCAAATACCGAATATAATTAATATTCAAACGAATGATTTGAAATTTAGTAATCCCAATCACAAATGCCAACTCCAAATCATTCTAACCAACACTATTGGGCCTTGTCGTTCGCCTATTCAAATCTACTGCGGGCCTGAAGACACCAATGGCCCACTAACCAAACCCATTCAACGTCTTCCCACTCTAAGACCTCTTCAAGCGTCTGCGCCTTTACTCTTCATCAAAATCATCGAAGACTGGAGAAGAAGTTCCCTGCACATCGATCGTCGTTCTCATCAAAGCAAAACAACGGTAATCTGCAATAAAGAAGGAAGAGCGAGGCGATGCTTGCTGAGATTATATATAGAGCAAATCACGAAGAAGAAGGCGACGGTTTCCCTGGCTCGGTTGAACTGGTTAGTTCTTTGGGAGCTCTCGGATTGGGTTCTTTGTTATTGTGTCTGTTTGAATTAGAGTTGGGGCTCCAAGCCAGGAACTCTAATTCATCCGGGCGTAGCTCTCTCTTTCGTGTCTTTCGTCTCTCTTGTTCTTCCAGGCCCTTAGGGCCTTGTTTATTTCTGTCTTGTTTTTAGGGTTTGAACTCAGAATCTATCTGATTAATTGAATCAATCAATAACATTCTCTTCTCTCGATCTGCTTAAATCAAGGATGCAATTCTAGTTGATTGATTGTGTATGAATGAATCAAAGACATAGTTGAATAACAATTGGTATCAGAGCCTCCTTTTCGTGGAACCTACTGTTGCCGAGAAGGAGATCCTCTTCCTCTCTATGTCTTCCCATTCCTTTCCCACTAGTTCTAATCCTCCATGGTTCTCTGGTAGTAATTACTCAGTATGGAAAAAGAGAATGAGAATGTACCTCCGAGGAATCGATTGTGAATTATGGGCAATTGTCCGTAATGGGCCAATTGACATGAAAGAAGATGATGAGGAGGATTGGTCTGATGAACAAAAGAAAAGTGCACAACTAGACTCTAGGGCTATGCACATTTTACTCTCTTCAATATATGATGATGAAGGAGAGAGAGTTAATAAATGTGAAACAGCCAAAGATATATGGTCAATTCTTGAAACAACACATGAAGGAACTTCAGAAGTAAAAGAAACTAGGATTGATCTGCTATTAAAAGAATATGAAACATTTTATATGTTATCTGGAGAGTCAATTTCTGAAATGGATAAAAGATTTTCCACCCTGGTCAATAGACTAAAGGGACTGGGAAAAACTTTTTCCAGCAAAGAACTTGTTAGAAAAGTTCTTAGATCACTTCCTCTTGAATGGATGGCCAAAAGAACAGCCATCGAGGAAGCAAAAGATCTTAATGTTCTAACTCTTGAAAACTTAATTGGCTCTCTTCTGAGTCATGAAGAAGATCTTAAACAAACGAACTCGATTCATGATAAGAAAAATAAATCCATTGCTTTTACATCTGCATATGCTAATGAAGGAGAAAAACTGGATGAGGAGTTCGAAAATGAACTTGCTCTCACCAGCAAGAAACTCCAAAGAATGATCAAGTTCAAACATGATCAAAACACTAAAAGAGGAAATCAGAACAATAGTTACAATACCAGATCTTCTGGTTACTCATTCAACAATTCCTCTAGATCATTTGGACGTCAATCTGGTGGAACTAATGAAAGAAACTCATTTGGTTCTAACAGATCTGACAGCAGTCCTAAAGATAACAAAAGCACTAATGACAGCAAAAATGACTCAACCATCTGCTTTAAATGTGGCAAAACAGGTCACATTAGAGCCAACTGCCCACTAAACAAGAAGAAAGAAAAGGCAACGGTGGCTTCTTGGAGCGATTACAGCTCAGAGGATGAATCAGAAGCTGTTGCCTACATGGGTCTCAACTCCAATGAAGAAGATCATCACAGTGATCAGGTATGGTCCGAATCTTCATCTGAAACTTTTTCAGACACTCATAATGAAGATTTCTTTCTTCATGCTCTCTCAAATCTTCAAGAAGAGTGCAATAGATTAAAAAGTAAATTTTGCATGACCATGACTCAACTACATGAAAAAGAAACAGAAGTCTTGCGTCTCAAGGATCTAGTAAAAGCTCAACAGATTGCTCAGAGCACTCAGGATAATCAAGTTGCATCTCTTACTGCTGAAAATAAAAGATTAAAGAGTGAAATCAATTACTGTCAGAGAATAATGAAAAAGAATTACATAATGCCATATCATACTCAGAATGTCAGCTGGTTTAGATATGCATATAAGCATGTAACTCAATTACAATCATCACCTGCTAGAAATTTCTCCTTATCCTGTACCTTTTGCAAGAAGTCAGGACATGACTTTCATCACTGTTACTCAAGGAAAACTAAACCCAAACTTGTTTGGGTTGTTAAAAATTCTAACTAATCTTCTTCTATTTTTCAGAACAATAAAGGTACTAATATCTGGTACTTAGATTCTGGATGCTCGCATCATATGACTGGTAATAAAGACCTTTTTACTTATCTTAATCCAAAAAGAGGAGGTAAAGTGTACTACGGAAACAATAATAGTGCTTCAGTTGTTGGTAAAGGTACAATAAGTAGCAATTCATCTCTGA